AATCCTATTAATTTTATTTGGAAATCTTAATAATAATCATAGTTTGATGTTTCTTTATTATCTCTATCGATTTTTTGTTAGATATAATAAATCCTAATTTGTAATAGGATTTTCTATACTTCTTTAATTTCTAAATTATATTTATTGTATTTTTATACTTCATTGAAGAATAAAGAATTTATATCTATAATATATCTTCTGATATTGTTTACCTTAATATTTTTTTTAAATATTATATAATAAATATTATCGTATATTATTATATAAAATATTAATAAAATAAAATAATTATAGATTTTATATTTCTCAATAAAATCAGGTTTCTTTTCTTTATAATAATATTATATTCGTTTCTTATCTAAATAATTGATTAAATATTATAATTCATTTTCCTGAAATAAATAATAAAATTCAATTGTTTATTAATTCTTTTCGAATTCCTTAATTGATTTTTTGTTTTTTAATTCAAGATCTTCTAAAAGTTCTTTTTTATAATCGATACTATTTTTAATACTAATTTTAGGGTTTTGATTATTAATATTCAATTCTTTTAATTATTCAAAATTGAATTAAGATAAATCTCTTTTCAATAATCTTATTTCCTTCAAATTTCCTTCTAAAATTCTTGTTTTTTAAGAATTTTATTTTCTATTTTCAAATTTCATCTATTTCTTATCTTTTATAATGAATAATTTTTTCTTTTAAAAACAATTTCGGGATATATATTTGTTTTTCTTACAAATATAATATAAGTTATTTTCTTTATATTTTTTCTTTTTGTTAATATTTAAATTATTTGGTTTTATATAATATTATTCGACATTATTTAATTCTATTAAATCATTGATATTATAATACTTATTCTAATAATAAGATTTTTAAAATTTTTGTTTTTAAATAATTCTTTTTTTTTTTATTATTTATAAAATCGATTATTAATAAAAATAAAGATTTCGATTAATTCGAAAAGATTAAATAGTTTTGAAGCTTTTATTAATTTGTTTTTGATAATATTCTTCAATCCTTTATAAAATTATAATTTTAGATAATTATCATTTTATATAATATATTTAGTATATTATTGAAACTTGATAATATAGATTATAATTAATTCAATCTATTTGAATTGTTATAATACTCTTTTAATTATATAATCAAGATCTACTTTTTTAAATACTTTATCAAATCTTTGTTTAAATAATTTATAATTAAAAAAGAAATAATAAATCTCAAATTTTATATTATTATTTAATTGATTATTAATAATCTTGATTATTAGATTATTGAAAAATGATTCAATTCAATTGAATATAATTCCTCAGAAAAAGGAAATCAATTACAAAATCTTTTATATAGAAATCAAGAAAAGTTATTTATTAAAAATATAATAAAAATCAATTTGTATAATAAAAATTCGATATTTATTATAATCTTTATAAAATAAATTAAAAATAGATATTTGAATCATTTATCTATATTTTATAATAATAATAATCTGAATAAAAGTTCTGATTGAATTGAATGAAAATAATTCAATGAGTTATTAATTGAAAATTATTATATTATATATAATTTAATTATAATAATATTCAAAATATAACAATCTGATTAAGATAATAATTGTTTTAGATTTTTATATAATTGATAATTATAAATTAAAACTAATAAATATATTATTAGATTAATTGAAATATATATAAATTAATTAATAATTAAATTAAATATAAAACTTTTAAATTATAAAACTATTTTGATTATATATTAATTTATTTTGGGAATTTTTAAAAGTATAAACTTTTGTAGGTTTTTTGAAGTTTTTAGAAATATAAATTCTTCGAAGTTTTATTATATAATTAAAATTAGATTATATATCCAAATTTGTTAAAGATAAAAAGATTATATGAAATAATTATCATACAAATTCATATATAAGTTGTTTTGTTTTTCAAAAAGGTCCAAGTTTATAAGGACAGGTTGACTGTTGCCTTGTAACACTTTATAAAATGATTTCGTGACATGTTTTCATTTTTGAAAGGTTTATCCTTTCAGAATCTATTTCATTTTTTCATTAATAGATAACTAATTTTATTTTCTTTTTCAATATAATATCTTTATAAATTAATTTTATATATTTTGTAAATAATATAATTCGATTTCCTTATATAAATCATTATTATAAAAATAGTAAATTGAGATATATATATCCTAATAATATATTATAAAAAGAGAATTAAAAAAGAAAACTAAATTAGATTATATTATAATATATCACTTATAAATAAAACAAGATTTATAATAATTTTAGAATTAATATTATATAAGTTCAAATATATATATATAGAAGATTAATTATTATAAAAAAAAAAAACAAAAAACTCTTCTTTTATATCTAATTATAAAAGGTCATGTGATTGATTAATTAAAACCTTTATGTATTTGATTTATAATTCCAACTTTCTTATAATAAAAGCTCCTTCCGACATTAATCTGAAAAGGCGATGGGTATATATATTTCTACTTTCATGCAAGCCACAGTATAACACGACCTTGTGCTTTCCTTCAGAGGCCAAAAATCGCATGCTAATTGGAGTACTAGCAATCATCCGCTATGTAATGATGTGTATTCTGTATAACAGAATGAAAACCAAGGAGAAATGGGCAGATGAAAGTATAGTGATGGACTCATGGGGCCAGAAAGTGTGCAACACGTTCCTATACAGGCTTAGATTTAACGCGGGTAATGCTATTTGAGGGATAAAAGAAATATAGGTCCTTCAGATCTATACTAGATCTAGTAAGGTTTTTGAAGTAGATTGGAGTATTCTACTTGCTTTTTATGCAAATCTCCAATTAATAAAGTGGAATTATAAGAGATAATCGATTCCATAAAGGTTTTTCCCCGCCAAATTTAAGCCTATCTAGGAAGGTGTATAGTTTCCGGCATGAACACTTGATTTTTAGAACTTCAGTCGCACTCCCTAAGTGAATAATTTAGATGTTATTCTAGAATTTCCAGGCCCTAATTAACGTTCTAATTCCTGGATGGGTTTCAAACTCTTGAATAAGATTCAAGGTTTTTCCTTCGAAGAACCTCATTTAGAGCCAAGGCAAAGGCTTTGATCCTACTGGAGTACCACAACTTTGAATTGCTATTAGAACCATGAATTAGAACTTCAATTATATGACTTAGACTACCTTCTTCAGAATATGCATATGCCAAAAATTGCCCTAGAAGAGAACAAAGATTTTACCAAGGTAGTGTAAGTCGTCGTTTGCTACGAGTGAGAAAAGCCGGCTTGGCTCTCGAGTCTTGAGTAAATGTGCATCTGACAACCGTAATTTGATGTTACATTTCAAAAAAGTGAGAATAAATAAAGGAAACATTTCTGCAGGTTTAGAGATGCAAACCTTGTCTAACGTTGGTCGCTCTGGAGTTTACTCCCCGGGGCTACTTTTCCCACGGGCATTTGAAGTCTTTTCAGCTTGTAAGAGACTCCATTACTTGATCTTATGCGTTTGAATGTGTTAGGATTATTACCAGAAGGCATGTCAGGCGGGCGCACAACTGCTCACTAGTCATTATTTGTAAATAGAAAGACAGTCCCCTTCCCATTAAAAGATTCTTGAAGCAGGACGGACACTACAAGCCATCGGATCCATCCTGCCTTGATACTTCAGAGCCGACGGGGCTAATGTGCATTGACTTTAGTTGCGACCAAGCGGGATATCCCAGAAAAGGATGGCACGACCTCCGGGAATCTTGGTAAAGCTAATAATACATCAATCTATGGTTTGTGCCTTTAGGATACTTGTCTGGTAGATAAGGATTGCTTCGGGGTAGGTACTGCGAAATTTGTAGGATATCCCAAGCTCGGCTGACCGATATTCTTTATCTAGAACTTGGCATTTCCCGATGTCTTTTATTAGGACTGCTTCATCCAAAATACATCGTCAGTCGCAAAATTCTGTAAGTGAGCTGCGACAGACCCATTCCACCTTTTCCTCTCGGTCTCTAAAAGTTCCGGATTCACTATGGCGCCTGCCACAGGCTGTTATGGAAATGCTCTAGAGCCAAAAGGGACGTGTCGATACGCTTGTAAGAGAGATACCATTCATCATAGAATACAGCATAACTTTCTCTGTAACTACAGAGGGGTGTGTAGGACACCTCATTCAAAGGCAAACCAAGTACCCGCAATAGTATATGTGCGTGCTTCGCGATATTCAATTGAAGCTCCGCCCATAAACCTTGTGGCGACCGACGTCGAAGGGATCCTGGATTGACAAACAGATTTTTGATCTCAAGGCTGACATGTGGCCCTGGTGTTCGATCGGCTTGCAATTGGTGGTCTATTCGTGCGACAAAACCGCCACCCCGGCTGGCAGGTTATATATATAGCATTCCCACATGAAAGGATGGATATCCTTAGGGAATTGTTGAACTGAGGGAACGCCCCAGGGCTGGAATTTCGTCCCCTGAAGGAAAAGATATTTTTTGATCCGATGTAAGGCGATTTGTAGATCAGCCGAGGGAGCTCAATTCTTATTACTCAGCATGTATACCCGACCTAATCAAGTCGTTCCAAGAGTTCTTCTGGCAAAATACCTAAATTTTCAAATTCTACAATTTAAATTTTCAAATTCTATCAAATCAAATCTAATTCGAATTTAAGCTGAATTGTTGAATATGTCAAATTTTAATCAATTCTCAAATTTCATAGAGTAGGCATGATTATGAAACGCCACAATTACTCTGCCTCCTGCGTAGAATTCATCCAATATTTGGTGCTGCCAATTGAATCATTCATTCTTCTTTTTTGCTTTTCTTCACAGCTCGAGTGATGAAGAAACAAGGAGAAAATCTTGAATTTAGTATTAGACGTCTCTTATTTTCCCTCATCCTCCTCCGTATCCTCCTCGTCCTCCTCATCCTCCTCATCCTCCTCATCCCCCTCATCCCCATCTTCATCCCCATCTTCATCTCCATCATCATCTGCATCCTCATTCCTACCCCCTTTCTTTCCCAAAACAAGCTTCCCGGTTGGTGACCGATGGCCTGCATAGCTCATCATTGCTGCTATCATCTCTTCTCTCAAATAACGTCCAGGCGTGCCCCAATGCTGGGTAAATCTTGCCTTTTCCTCCTCAATCCTTTTCAGATTCATTTTCTTCCCTGTCGCAACAGCGATACATACCAACCAGTGATAATAGAGGTATCGTTTTCTTGGGCGATTTGTATTCAAAAATGCCAATTTTTGGCCATGAAGAGATTTAAATTTCCCACCCGTGCCAAAATGTGGTTGATTGAGCAAGTGCTTATCCATCACTCTTAGCTCCCACGCACCTTCATCGGACAAACACGGGACAATTGCCAGCTGGTAATTGTCGAAATGTGTTTCAATTGGTTTTCTAACATCAATCCGTTTTTAACGGAAAATAGCTCTTCAGCCGCCTCTTCTCCAAAAATTTGCTTCATTGGCAATTGTCTTAATCTGACAGGCATTATATGCGCGGCAGTACGTCGCTTTGGAACACCCCACGAGTGGCTGACAACGCACCGGCACTCTTTGATACCATCTCTGGTACGTGTCACTCCATAATAGTCCATCAGATTGTCTCTAAAGCCCGATTGCTCTTTGCTAGATCTCTTTGCCTTGACATAAAGCTGTAATACCAGCTCAACATGGGCTCTCCCCGCTGCCCCTAACACATTTTCGTTCTCGTGGTTGGCAGGGTTGGTAGGGTTGGCTTGTCGATGGTGTTTCGAGAACGCTTCGCCGATCATATCCAAGTATAGAGTTTTTCTTCTGTGCCACGCTCGTTTACGACAATATATTTCGGATATTGGTGTATCTGGAGGTGTATCCAATGCTATCTGCTCTTCCTCCTCATTCATCTCCTTTAGAGCATTTCGCAACATCTCCACATCCTTGGGCCATTCAAGGCCGGAGCCTGATATATTCTCCTTTTTCTTCTTATCGTTCTCTGCTTGTTTGTTCGAATTACTACTGTATTTCGGTGAGAGGTAGCCATGATTTCGACCATTGTAGTATCTCTAGTTGTTCGTCAATAAAAGAACACGTAAGAAAGAACTTGTGAGAGGGAGTTGTGGGAGAGGATATGGGAGATATGCAAGAGAGAATGTATGAAAAGAAAAATGTAAAACAGAATCTACGGGGGAAAAAGTCCCTCATATATACCCTCGAAAAAAAAACAAGTGCGTCGTAGTTTCCACATCGCCATAATCCGTCAATTCACTAATGGCACTAAACTATGTACTAACCCGTCTAGCTCACGGTGTATGAACGTTCTTTCCTAATTCGGGGGGGCGACTTAGGTAAATCTCTACCTACCAAGGCAGCTACAGTTTTAAAAGTGATCGGAAGGTTGCTATAGTAAATACTACGTCCATCTATTTTAGTGTAGGTATCAATGAAGCTATCCTGGAATAATTTGAATTTATGATTTTAAATGGTATACCCTTCAGCTCCTCATTCATATCCAAACCAGCAAGAATATGAGTGGAAGACTGATCATAAGATATCATGAATTCTCTTCCTGGGTTAATTGTCGGTAGGTAGAACAGGAGATGGATGCACTTACTAGAACAGGAGATACACCTACTAGAACATTAAAAAACACGAACGAGACTTACAGACAACAACCGACAATCATTCCAGACGGCGAAAAGAAGATTGAGAGGATCGGATCTATATACTGGGTTAGAAATCATGTAGTAACTCTTTTCCATTCCCATTAATTGATTTGCTTATTTTTAATATACAGGTACGTAGAGTTCATGTCGGAATACTAGTCCCACCTCAATTTTTTTTCAATGCTAATGGTTTTGCAAGTGAAATGATTACTGGAATCTGAAAAATCCATGGATCTTTTTGCAATTTCACACCGCAGCTCCAGTTGACAAAAAGAAAAACCAAAAGAAAAATTTAAATGAGAGCAGTCGCCGAAAGCAGCTGAAGGCTATGCGAATGTGTGATTCTGAAAAATAGAAAGGATATAACTGCATCGGCGGGTCCCAGCTCATCTGTGACGGTGACTCGAATATAGATAGATTGGCATTTTACCCGGGAAACACCGCTGTCCAGCCACATTTGAGGGAGCAAGGAAAAAAAACAACCGTTTATCCCCTAGCATAAGGATGGAAACCTCTGCTACCACCCCTTCCACCTCCTCTATAGTTCGCACCAGGCTTTCCAGCATTCTTTGGACCCGTTGGCGCACCAGCAGGCGCATTAGGCGCAACGGCTGGTGGAGCAGAGCCTCGGTCACTTCCTCCAGCCCCGCCTCCACGACCTCCTCTCCCACCACCAAATCCACCACGACCACCACCACCACCACCGCCACCACTGCTACTACCTGGCTGAGGAACATCATCGTACATACCCTCCCAAGATGTCGGCCCGCCTCCACCTCCACCCATTCCATATCCGCCGCCACCAGCGCCGTATTGCTCGCGCTGAGCTCGTCTCATCTGCTGTTGTTCATACTTTTGTTGCTCGAAGAGTCCTTGTTCATATGCATTATAACCGGGTGTGCCCATTCGACCACCGGGGTTACTACCACCACCAGCCGCGAAATTACCTGCTTGTCCACCCATTGCCTGCTGCATTTGCATTTGTTGCATTTGCTGCATTTGTTGCATCATAGCTGGATTCATTCCGGCCATTGCTGCCATTCCAGCCGATGGACTTTGAGGGCTTTGACTACGTGCATCGGCCCCCCCTCCACCTTGCATTTGCTGCTGCATTTGTTGCATTTGCTGCATCTGAGCCATTTGGGCCATCATAGCAGGATTCATACCACCGGGCATTCCGCCTGGCATTTGTCCTCGGCCTCCACCCATGGCCATTTGTTGCTGCATTAGTGCAAAATATTGCTGCATGCGCTGCCAGTACTGGGCCATTAACTGAGGAGTCATACCGCCTGGAGCATTCATTTGACCACCTTGTTGCTGTTGATTAGAATTTTGAAAGTCATCACCGGCGTTTCCCCCTTTTTTAAATCGACCGCCTCGTGGACCTCTGACTTCTTCCTCCTCCCGTATGTTGCCTCGGGGCTGTGCCTTCTTGACCTCGATAGGCTTCCCATGAATTTCAAGTGGGCCTTCCAGGCATGCTTCAACAGCGGCTTCACTATCGAATGTGACGAATCCAAATCCTCGCGGCCTACCGGTATCTTTGTCCATCATCAGAGTGGCATCAACAACCCGTCCGAATTGCATGAAGTACTCTTTGAAATCTTGCTCGGAAGCATCTTGACTGACACCACCTACGAAGATCTTGCTTGTACGTTCTTGCTCGTCTCTTGGAATAGCGCGTTTGGGATCGATCTTGAAAGTTGAATGTGAGCTTTTGTTTTTTGAGGCTAAATAGTGAAATTTGGAAGGATAAGAGCGTAAAGAATTATTGAAAGTTTTGAGATCGGGTCTTACTATTTTGCCGTCAAGGTAATGTTCCTTAACCATGACAATATTGACAGTCCGGGCATCTTTGAATGTCAAGAATCCAAATCCTCTAGATCGACCAGATGCACCATCTCTCATAACAGTACATTCAAGTACCTCACCGAATTGTGAGAAATACTCTTTCAATGATTCTAGAATTTAAGAGTTAGTGGCCATACAGGAGTTGAACCTAACATTGGTTTTCAGCCATCTTACGATCTGTAGTCTCCCAATTCAACCCGCCAATGAACATTTTACTGCGCAAGAAGAATTAGCATGTTGCCCATTTTTATCAATTACTATTGTGACAAGAGAACAGGCAATGAAGTCATCCCGTGTTGGAAATTCTCAAAGATTGAATCAATGCTTTTTCCCAGGGTCCGTTTCTATGTCTGGAGTAGTGAGATGATGTCCATTCCTCCATTTCGTTGAAGATATAATCTAACTGGGCTGCGAGCGAAAGAGCAAAAGTGGGTTGGGATTCTAAATGGGCCACATTTGGCATTTGATGAAGCTTTCGGTAAATCCAGCAGTATGTCAATGCCAGGCACACGCCCAGACGAATTACCATCGAAGCGATTGCCTGCGAATCATGCAATAACGATAGAACAGATGGCACCATAAGATATCCAAAAACAATCGTGTCTTTTGCTATCGTGATGCTAGGTACTGGCGTCGAAGCTATGGGCTATGGCCTATCTGTGTCTGTGGCTCTATGAAGATTATCTCGACAATAGGCTATGTAGTAGTAGTAGCAGCAGGTTTGACTATTGCTGTTGTGGGTGGCGAATGCATGAGGTTTATACCCCATTACCTCAAATCAAATGACTCTGAGCTTGTTCCACCGCCATTCCCTATCCACGTTCCCGTAGTCGGAAACCAAGCCCAAAGTATATGCCCAGCCCCAAAGCAGGATATAACATTGGATCGTCCGCTCAATACCCATAACATAATACCCTACACCCCCAAAAGCTCCCATTTTTTATTTCGCCCATATCAGCTCAATTGACCCCATGCCTGAGCCTAACTCCAGTATTGTTGTCTTTACCTCCTGCCTCCATCCACAAAGACCTAGTTTTATCATATCCATGGTCTTCATCTCATGCCTTGATGTGAATTGAGCCCAAAGCTCAAGGGTATCTACAGTCATGTTGCAGGTTTGAAATATAGTAACTGGTGAAGTGCTAAAGAAAAATTCTGCAATCTTACCCATCTTCCTTGATACCCGGTCCCTGTGCTTCATCTCTAGTTGGAGGAGCATCATAACCAGTGCCATTCCCATTATCATTCCCGCTTCCCAAATTGAAATCTATTTCATCATCCATGTCTTGGTCACCGTTATACATTTGTTGATCTCCATCTCTATCACCATTTTGTGGATTTTGCTCAATGTCTTGTTCGGCTTTCACTTCAGCTCTTACTTCTGTAGCAGGGGCTGAAGGCTGGGCAGTAGGTTCGGGTACTGCCTCTGCTGGATTTGCGGCGTTGTCGTCTTCGGTATACCTTAAGGCAATGTATCAGCTCGAGGTTCTGCGGTGCGTTCATAAATGTGCGACCGCCAAAGTAAATAATGGGAAGGCATCGCAAACTCTAAGATGGATGGGACATACAAATCAGCGAAGAGATCTTCCTCGAAATTTTCGGCTTCAGCCATGATGAATCGATCTATATTCTGTGAGATATCCTAATTAGATTCAGCCCAGCGTCAATCTGTAGACGGATGAGCAGCTTCGTGCACTTCTCGTTAAAGAAGCTTCGTGAAAAGGTTGCAGTTGTCTTTGATTGCAAACACCAGAAGTATTCAGAAATGTGAAGAGACAAGTTGATGGAGTTTTTGTTTTGGGATTGAAATTGAAGTAGGAGTATGTAGATTGAGAAAGAAATTGATATAGGAAAATCCAGTGAGAGTGAATAGATTCAAGGTCTTCCTCTTTCCCCAATAACATTTGAATTGCGCGCCCTGGTCCGTTCCGCCTTAGCATATTTTTAGCGTACCGAAATCCAAGGCTAGCGGGGGATTTCCCCGCCTGAAGCCCGCGCAACACAACACCAAACATTGCTACAGTACTTCATTTTGGATGGCAGAAGAGAACTGCAATACTCTAAGGAATGAAAACGAAATACTAAAATCTAATTATTCTAAGAGGGGCTGTGAAGATGTTCTCTTCTTCGAATGGTAACAAAAAACCAGTCCAACAGGTATGCGATAACACCATTCCAAGTCCCTGGTTTATATAGCTGACTCGAGCCGCTATTGTAGGAGATGGTTCAGGTTGGTCAGTTTGATCCCCCCCACACCTTTCTATTTCGAAGCATGCGCAAAGTTCTGCAAGTTCAATTATGCGTTTTCTACCTTTCTCACTTGGCTGATATCTAATCCTGCATTACAGAGCGTGCTGAGTACGTTCCCAGTCGAGATCTCTTTGCGCCACGCCTAGCAGAGCTTCAATTTGTGGTGTCGGATTATAAATACCAAGGACTGACATGAACAGATCATCATCTCCTTTCTGGCGTGCTCGAACAGCAAGTGGACGCGCTGATGCATCGCCAAAGAAACAAAGTAGCGAGTCGGGATCTGGACTTGTTGTGGGAGCTGGATACTCTCATGCTGACATACTGAAGTTTGACAACTTGCACGTCTCACAACGCCTTCATCTTGAGAAACGCCAGCTAACCTACGTTTAGGTCATTATCCAACACTTCGCGCCCCAGGACACCCCCATCAGTTCCCTCGCATAAACATCGAAGCGATACTCCTCCGCAACGAGGCCCGGCGACGTTGTCCCCACCACCTCGTAGATCCTATACAGATTTCATATCACATACGAATAACGATTGGGCCGCCGACGACGAAGAAGAAGAAGAGGATGAATACGGTTACGAGGATGACGATGGGGACGATTTTGGCCTTCCGAGTATATCTAGCAAGAAGCGCAAAAATCAAAGTCGACTGAAAAGTGCGTCAGCTGGTACCGCGCTTGATGAAGGCAATATTTCTCCATGGCGCTCTAGCTTTGGCGCGAATGCAATGGGATCAGGATCGCGAAGAATGTCAAACAGTGCAGATATCGCGATTGAAAGGCCTGCGCCAAGTTACCCGGTTGCGAAAAAGAGCGAAGGCAAGATACTCCGGCCTCAATACAAAGAAATACTTCGAGATCCGGCCAATTCTCTACACCTGATCGATCACCCCCCAGTAACACCCAATGCTACTTCAAAAGAAGTCGAAGCACACGGTGCTCGGATAACAAGAATAAATAAATTTAAGAAGATATTACAAGCTACCTCCATTCCTTTGACCGAACTTAGAGATGCTTCTTGGAACGGAATACCAGAAGAAGTTCGCGCAATGTCATGGCAATTGCTACTTGGGTACCTCCCTACTAGTAGCGAAAGACGTGTGGGCACATTGGAACGGAAACGGAAGGAATATCTCGACGGGGTACGACAAGCTTTCGAGAAAGGTGGCACCAGTTCTGCCTCGACTGGTAAAGCTAGGGGGCTCGACGAAGCAATTTGGCACCAAATCAGTATTGATGTACCAAGAACTAATCCACATTTAGAGCTTTACAGTTATGAAGCCACGCAGCGATCCTTAGAACGAATACTTTACGTATGGGCAATACGTCATCCTGCTAGTGGTTATGTGCAAGGCATCAACGATCTTGTGACTCCATTCTGGCAAGTTTTCCTAGCTACCTATATCGCAGATTCGGACGTAGAGAGTGGTATGGACCCAGGGCAGCTTCCCAAACCAGTATTAGATGCAGTTGAAGCAGATTCCTTTTGGTGTTTAACGAAGCTTTTGGATGGCATTCAGGACAATTATATTTTTGCGCAGCCAGGGATCCAACGTCAGGTGGCGTCGCTCCGGGATTTAACCGCAAGGATCGATGAGCCTCTAGCTAAGCATCTTCAAGCAGAAGGTGTTGAGTTTATACAGTTTAGCTTTCGGTGGATGAATTGTCTCTTAATGCGAGAGATCAGTGTTCAGAATACTATTAGGATGTGGGACACTTATCTGGTCAGTAGCAAACACATTCTTTCTTTCCACTACTAACGCGAATTTTTAGGCCGAAGAGCAAGGCTTTTCAGAATTTCATCTATATGTGTGCCTCGCATTTCTCGTGAAATGGTCGTCTAAATTATTGAAAATGGACTTCCAAGAAATCATGATGTTTCTTCAGGCGCTACCGACTCGAAATTGGACGGAAACTGATATAAACATGCTTCTGGGAGAAGCATTCGTATGGCAATCACTTTTCAAAGGCTCTTCATCACATTTACGTGGTAGCAGTAGTACTACGCCATCGAGTGCTGCTTTTTAAAGACTCTTTATTACGAATATCTTTACTATTCGATACCATTAACAGATGATTGGGATTCAGGCTACAGGATATGGCGTCATTGGCGAATGGGACATTAAAGATTCAACAGTCGAGCGTATATAACGACAGGGCCACACAGCTTTGGGAACTTGCGGAGGGATGGACATGCCTGTTGAGCCTTTGATATTCAGGAGAGGAGATCTAAGGCTGAGCTTAGACAGTCAGGCGGCCATTGTAGAACCTCGGGATCGCAAGTGCGTGTCGCCTAGGCTAGTGGCTATTATCTGTACGTAACTATTGAACTAGGTAGGCAAAATCCAGAGGCTAGGAAATGAAAATATATGCATTCACGTGCATGTCTTATATACATATCTTCCATTATGTGAATCAAATGACAATGCTAGGGAGAATAGTAGTATAATTGTTGGTTTCAGATCGGTATGACATGGGATGGAAAATTACAATCTGATAGGATTCAACAATATAGGTAACGATATTGTAACTATTGCTATATGTTGCAGTAAGACTACAATGTTTTTATTTACTATCATATTTGTTCATACAAATCTATCCTGAACATTGCTCATGAGTTTATAATGTTACTCATTGATCCCATTCCTCTCGCATCTAACTCCCAACTCCAGCTTTCACGACTTAGGAATCGTCTATCTCACCCCTTAGTCACCCAGACGAAAAGGCCTTTACACAATGTGACCCGTGGTGACGCATGTAAGGAAGATAAAAAAAGGAACCAGTACTTCAAACCCAAGTCCCATTCGAGACCGAAGTACTCAATTCCCGCAAAAATGAACCTAAATTTTCTAAAACACCACCTCCCTAACCTTTCCCATCCGTCCCCAAACATCATACTCGATCCACCTCGCCATGCCCCTCCTCCCCCTCGCCACCACACTCCCAGGATTCATAACATGACATCCTTCATACGTCAAGCAAAAAGAAGGGCTATCGACATCACATATAATAATGGCTGTAGGTAATGGATAGATACTCAACGCGTTTGAAAAATCCCAATGTTGGGGTGCGATGTTGAGGGGAAAGGGCGAGAGATGTCCTTGATCAAGGAGGGTTTTGGTGAGACGACGCGCGGCATAGATATCGGGGTCGATTTCTGGAGGAGGGGTGGAGGATGGAGGAGAAGAAGGTGGTGGTGGCGGTGACATGTCTATATCTTCATCTTCGTCGTTTTCGGCTGTGGGATTTTTGGAGGAGTTGAGGGTGACGGCTGTTCGTCGGAGACGTCCGCTGATGTCGTCCCGGAATACTACTATTTCACAACTCATACCGAATAGGCTGACTCTTGCTGGGTTACTCGTCCAGATGGCGTCTCCATCCCCCCTTTTCCCCTTTTCTTTCTCCGTTTCGGTATTAGCGCTTGCGAATGCGCGTTTTATGCGGGAAGTGAACATTTCTGGCACGGGTTTTCTGGGTAGAGGGACAGAGGAGCCGGATGAGAAAGCCGAAACCCATGCATCATTGGGGCCGGGTATGAATATGAATGTTGCGGTACTGAGAAGAGTAGGATATTCTGAGAGAACGGCGGCAAGAGAGTCGAAATATTCTTTATATTCTATAGAACCTCCCGATCCGCCGCGCGAGAGTACGGCATGGGAGACAAAAGAGCCGAGTAGGATAAAAGTCATAGGTGTGCACCCTTCTGGTTCAGATGAGTAAAGGGAGAGGATTTTCTTCAAGGCTTGAAGAGTTTGGGGAATATCAAGGTGTACCTCGCCTAGAATAACCACACGGCCTTTAGACGGAAGCGGGATGTCGTCTGTATCCGAAGAGTGTGGAGGAGGTCGAAGAAGCTTTTGTTCGAGCCGTTGCATTTTGTTGCCCAGGGCTCGAGAACTTCCTACACCAAGAAAATCTACCCAACCGAAACCGCCGCCAGCAGTAGTATCTCCTTTACCGGCTGTGCCTAAAGTGACATGACGACGTTCGGGAGGAGGATGACCAATGGTGAAGCCGATAAATTTACCGGAAATAGTACCGCCTACCCCGCCATTTCCACCAAGGCGAGACGATGATCCAGTTTCATCCTCCTCATATGTGCCGTCGACCAGTACAATCATCCCAGGTACGAACCAGGCGCCATCTTCAGGAACCGCTTTCGCGTGTGTGAGATCAAGAGCAATAGTGCCCGTTAGGTCATTGATTGCAAGGGTACCAGTCGGAGAAATACTGAGGAGACCGAGGAGCATGTGGATGCTGCGGTTGCGGCCGAGAAGGTTGGCTATCGGCGTTAATTTATATGATTGCTGCGGAGTGGCAATAGCAGAAATGCTGCGTTGAAGAGAGGCTTTTCCGCCTTGAAAAGCGGGCGTTTGGAAGGATTCATTTCTTAGTAGACGTTGATGGATAATATTATAGCGGTTCTGGAAGAGGAGCGTTTTATGGGATGCAGGAGGGAATAAGGAGGGCTTGGAGGTATCCCTGTATCGAATTAGTGGATTTTTCAGAGATCCCATTATTGAAACATACCTATCAAAGTGCTTCTTAGCAACATTGTATATCAATCGAGGTTGCTCAAAAGCATCAATAACCTTCAGCCACCGCCTTGGATCCCTCAGACCATCTTCACCTTCCTCGTCATCCACCTCCAACATTGACATTCCCAGAGACGATTGACTATCCTCTCTTTGTACATTCCCCGGCCGTAATCCAAGCCTAGTATGATTAACTTCCCCATGTTGTGAGGATCCCAAAACCAGACTGTTCTGCCGGCTCAATTCCCTTCCTACGACTATCCTCCCACCACTCATATTTCCCTCCAAGGCTTTCAAGATCTCTTTCAATTCTGTCCCTTCTCCATCGACAATAACACCACCACTCCTATTCTTCCAACTCTTTGCAACCTCCTCCAAGACCCTCTCTGCCAATCCTTCCTCTCTCCATCCTGTCCCACAATGCTTCCCAATGAAAGTAGCTAACACTTGCAAAGCCGACGACGTCAAAGTCAAACTATGCTTTTTTGTGAAAGTCCGAAAAGCCAAAGGTCTTAATGTTGCAGGTGGTAGGAGAATCGGGAGAATACTAGTTTTCGGTATGGGAACTGCGCCGGCATTGAAAGGTCGTATAGGATGTACTGGAGTTGCAAATGCGGGTGACGAGGAGGGGATAGGATTTAAATTGGTAGTGGGCGTAGCAGGAGGTCTGAAAATTGAAGCAGCATTTGATTTCGGTATAGGATTTGGGCGACTCATATTTCCAATTCAAAATTTAAAGTTTCCATTGATATTAGTTGTTAATCGTCCTCAATCATTTATTTCATGAATTCATATACTTGAGTAAACTTTCTACAAATGTCGATATTTTGGTCAAGGCTTGTGAGACGCGTTTTGACGCGTAAAGTGGTTTCTAAGTTCGCGTAAAGCTCTTGTGATCCCTGTAACTTTCAATGCTTCAAAGTCTTACGACTTTTCCAAGCTTCAAAAACAAACTGTTAACTTATTTATCTGTCGCAAATACAATTTTTTAGATCTCATCCTAATTCCATCTTGGACTGTTGAGAAATTGCAGTTTCCATATAATTGATATATCTTCCTTCTACAAAGCCCCATCAATTTCTCCATCGCACCTTGCAAACACTTAGTCAATTACCTTAAACACAATGGCAGAACCAATTGAACCACCCATCACCGTATCCCAACAAGCAGCCGCGGATCTTGAAGCCTATAATTCTGCTAAAGTATCACTTGCCGAATATTGTGCTAAAGGAACTGCCGAGTATGCACAAAAGCGCTACGATGATGCCGTAGATCACTATGCGCAGGCCTCGGAATTGCAAGCTGAAATCAATGGAGAAATGGCGCCGGAGAATGCAGAAATTCTGTTCTTGTACGGAAGAGCACTATTCAAGGTTGCGCAACAACAAAGTGATGTTTTAGGTGGTAGGGCTGGTGGTGAGAAACAAAAACCGAAGAAGAAGAATGGTGGAAAGAAAGTAGGTACTATCGAAGAAGAAGATGAGACTGTGAAGACGGAAGTAGAGAAAAGGGATGAGACTATGAAGACAGAGGCGGAAGAAAAGGCCGATGAAGTGGCAGAGGAAGCAGTTGCGATAATCGAAAACGGAGGCGCAGCCAAGAAAGAGGACAGTACAGATCTAAAGAAGCCTTTATTTACTTTTACCGGAGATGAAAATTTTGAAGACTCAGACGAAGAGGAAGAGGCAGAGGGAGAAGATGATGAAGAGGAGGATGACCCTCTTAATCTTGCTTTCGACATTTTGGATTTGGCGCGTGTACTATTTGAGAAGAGGTTGCAAATGGATGAGGGCGAGGGCAAAGGAAAGGGAACCGGTGACACTGCTATGACTACTCATATAAAAGAGAGGCTTGCGGATACACGCGATCTTTTAGGGGAGATATCCCTCGAAAATGAAAGGTCAGAAAGTCACTGCTATGAAGTCCGATCAATTGCTAATACTCTTATAGATTCCCAGCTGCGGTGTCAGACTTCAGAGAATCACTCGCTCTAAAAGAAAGTTTATACCCAGAAGAAGATGAACAAATCGCTGAAGCTCATTACAAACTATCCCTCGCGCTGGAATTTGCATCCATTACACAAACAGAAACCGATGAGAAGAAGCCCAACGCAGGAGCCGAAAACGTCGATGAGGAAATGAGAGCTGAAGCCGTTAAAGAACTAGAACTCGCAATCAAGAGTACAAAACTTAAGTTACATAACCAAGAAGTTGAACTGGCAGAAACTGCCATTGCAGAAGACAACGATGTTACGAGACACAGAATTGCCGACGTTAAGAGTATTGTTGCGGATATGGAGCTTCGTGTACGCTGTCCCCTTCCTATTCGTACACTTTGACTCCTTGACTCTTACCGCGTGATATCCGCTAACACTACTATTCCACAGCTAAAAGAGCTCCGCGCTCCACCAGTCGATATCAATCAAGCCGTTGCTGCAGCCCTCGCTCCAGCCGGAGCACCTCAATCCAATACCACGAGTGGAATTTTAGGAAATATCCTCGGTGAATCTGCATCCGACACCGCAGCACGCGTTGAAGAAGCCAAAAAGACAGCCACGGATCTAACAGGTTTAGTTAGACATAAGAAAAAGGAAACCAAAGATTTACCAATACAGGCAGGTTCAAAGAGAAAAGCGGAAGAAGAGCCAGAAGCGGAGGGCGAAAGTAGTGATGGAGGAAAGAGAAAAAGCAAAGGTGGCTAGTGTAGAGGACAATGGCGAGGAAGCTACTTAGTTTTTCTAGTTCGTTACGAGAAAGATGCGAAAAAGATACGATACCGGCACTTATGAAATTGAAGCATATGAAATGAACAGCGGATGGAGGCACGGTACCGAGGAGCGGATGTAATGTAAATTGGAAAGCGGCAAATAGGCGTCTATATGATATTAAGATTACACAGGATACCTACTTATTTACTATGAGTTATCTCCGTGATAATTCAAATCAAGTCTTACTATGTAGATGTATGTATGTACGATGAATGAATAATTTGAATATGCTTTTCTCTACTCCATCCATATACATGAGCTTGGGAATTCAAATTCGAAATTTTGTATTCTTTTTATCTAAGCACACAATATGAGAGGCTGGCTCATCGGTGATTATTATAAAACAGTAGAAGTCTCATCTAGTTATTATAAACTACCGGTGAATTTTCATCATTGTAAGATTAATTAAATCTTAATATTACTGAAATATATAATTTATAAATCTCAATCTTCAAATCTCATTCTCAATATTTATAATAACAATTAACTTTTTAATATTTAAAATTTTCAAAAGTTGAGATCTTATAAAACAAATCTCAAAATCTCTTTCTTTATAAATTAATCTTTTATAATATAATTCTTATATTAAAAAAAAAGAAAATAAAAATCAGAATTATATATTAATATTATAAATATTTTATAATATATATATTAATATTATAAATATTTTATAATATATATATTTTATTTTATAAAGTATTTATTTATTTATCTACTCATTTAATAAAATATTATTTTATAATTTATAAATTTTTATATTTAATTATAATTTATAATTTTGTAATCTTATTATGTAATCTTATATTTCATTCTTTAATATTTTTATCACATTTCATTCCATCCCACCCATTTCCTTTCCCCCCAATGTAATTTCTTGAACCTTAAAAAAGTCATCGCCGAACTCCATGCTAGACTGACTAACTAATATTACTAGATACTAGGAGGTAAACCTAGAAACCTGATGGAAAAACACCGCGCAACGCAAAAGCTCATTTGTTGGACTGTGTCCCACAAATGAATGCGCATCTTCTCATCTTTTGTCGAAGCTTATCTTCTTTTCCCATCTTCTGACTAGATTTTTTTGGCCACGAGACATCCCACTTCATTCCATTCACCACCATTTCTCCTCCTCCCCTTCCCTCATCTCAACTCCAACAACTCCTCATCCAACACTCCAAATAACAACTCTACCTCTCTCTGGACCCTTCCAATTTCTTCCGCCAATTGTCTCGTCACCAAAATGAAAGCATATAAGATTTCATAATCTAAATCTGTCACCGTGATTTCCTGATCAAGTCTCTCCTGCAGTCCATTCCCTTGCAATCCCAATCCAATAGATACCGGCAACTCTTCTTCATCATCGTCCTGTGTGGGTACATCATCCTCATTACTGCGACGATTACTAATCGACATTTGTCTTCTAAATTGAAAGATCTTTGCTAAAAGGCGATCGCGAGCGTTAGCCGTGCTGGGAAGATTATCCGCCAGGAGAGGGTATTCGAGCTTCATTGAGGAGGCCATAACTATCTACTATTAGCGTTCTGTGAAGTAATTAATGAAAATTGAACGACAAACCTTGGAACAAATGGCTAATTCTTGCACAAAGTTGTGCTCTCTCCTCTTCTGTGTACTTCAATAATAAAGCTTCACCTTCACTAGCTTCGGCATTCTTTTGGATGACTACATTCATAGCATGAAATGCATCGAGCATTTTAGTCGTAGACTCGACTATTCGCCCATAAGTGGCGGATGGGAATGGGCCTCGAAGCTCGAATTCGCTTGTGGCTGCGCTTCGAAGTTTGTCCAGTACAAATACGTATCTTTGGAATTCGAACTCTTCTCTCAAATTCATATACGAATATTGAGGTTCGCCTTCTACAATCGTCGATAGAGGATCTCTCTTCCAAACGAGCCCCATTCGTAACCACAGAAGAGATAGTCCTTCTTTGAACTTTTGTCTTGCTGAAATTGGCCATACCACCCTTGTGATGATCAAACCCCAGATACAACCTGCAAGAACCGCAACGACTCTGTGAAAGGCAATCTCGGTAATGATGGGCCTGACACCACCTTCATCGTCATCGTGATCGGAGTCCTTGACTGATAAAGAATATGCGTATAAACAAGATAAATTGTATGTAAGCATGATAAAGCGACCAAACGGACCATTACCTTTTGCAATGATGATGTAGAAACACGGTAAACTGACTACCCATCCGCAAAAAGCTAGAGCATAAGGATTACCGACACAAATGACCCATATAACACATGCGATTACAGCGCCAATAAAAGTACCAATGAAACGAGCCCAGCCGGTCGTATTAGATGCTCCGATTGTCATGCTGCACACCAACATGTAAGACAAAAGTCCCCATTCTCCTCGGTAATGCTGATATGTTGGTCTTGTTCCAGGAATGAAAGCAAAAAGAGCATAAAGAGCTGCTCCAAGGCCAACCTTCACAGCAAATCGAACTAGAAATCGGTAAGCAGGAATTTGCAAACTTATTTTTGGGACAAAACTTACTATCATCACGATCCAGGAACCGAACCATAAGCATTGCCTTTCGTCGTATGACACCGCCTTTGGTCCCTGGGTTAATCTTAGCGGCGATTTCTACCTTGCTATATCCAAGTCTAGTGCTTAAAGGATCAGGAATATCTTTGGGCAATTCAGTCCCTGCATCCCTCGCGATAAGTTGCTCCTGCTCTTCATTGTCGATAGCATCTGATTTCGATTGGCTCTTGGACTTTCGCCAAAACATCAACCATCTCCACGAACGATGCTTTGGTCGTTCCACTTCTTCCTTCAACTCTTCTAAAATTGCCAAATAGTTCTGCATTTCGCTTGCAAAATCTTGTAGATTGAAACTAAAATGGCCGCAACTTGCAGCCACCTCTTCGAAATCAGCTTCAATGCTCTCCGGGCGTGTCTTATCAAGCTCTTTTGATTTATAAAGTTCTTGAAGTGCTTGAGCTCTTGCGTTGCTGTAAAGTTTCCTACAAAGAATCTGTTAGTGGCTATACCGAAATAGAGATCTAAGTATCATACAGTGCTTCAGTCAAACTCGATCTGAAATGTTCATTTATAGTGATGCGGTAGTCAGGACCTTCGGCAAATGGTAGCTCTTCTAGTATCTGCGACAGAGTATATGCGAGCGACTTCATCGACGGGCCAAGATGAAGGATAAACCTTCCAAAAATTTCCGAAGGTGTTCGAACTGTAGGCATGGCGATACTAGATAATGTGGTCTCCGTACCTTGCCGAGTAAGAAACTTGGGTCTTTCTGAAACGGCGTCAAGATCACTGCCTTCTTCTGGTGCTTCCTCAATAGCCCCAAGAACTGCAAATCGGTCTGATTTGCTACTGATAGGTCGACCAATGGGATATATTTGAGAAGATGGGAACCCATGTGAGCCTGTGGGTGTTGCGCTACTTACTGGAGGTTCTTGAAGCAATGAAAATTGTGTCAAAGCAGCACTTCGTAGACCTCCAATGGATTGAGCAAGTGTATGCATGCAACAAACAAGCCTTGCCTCAATTGCATATTGGTTTTCTGTGCCTAGAACATAATGTTCCAGCTTTGCCTCTTTTAAGTTGTTTGTGAGCTGGGTAGCTACTGATTTATATTGCTTCTGAGCCCGTTCGAAGGTAGTTGAGCTCAAATCAGTTTCCGCACCACTCAGAAATCCTCGAGTAATCATAGTAAGCATACCTCCAAAGGAATCAGTAGTTTTAATCATGCTCTCCCGAAGCTCTGTTCGTGCGGATATCGGCCATACCTTGAATGAATTAATAATTGGTTTTGAGACGTTTGATGGGTGGGTATTAACTTACTAATAAACTAACAATTGACGTCGAAACCATTCCCATAATAACCATTTTCATCACTTGAACAATTTTATCGTCCGAGAAAACCCCTACTTGCACCGCATTCTCCTTTGTGAGAACCGTAATGATTGCCAAACTTGCCAGACTACAAGCAACACTAACCAATGGAGCATTGTAGGCCTGCTTGAACCAACCGATGAATCCTAGGCCTCCTCCGCAAAACACTATAAGTATGAGGGCATAACCAAGCTCAATTAGGCCCAATTGCGTTTCGCAGTATACTGAGACCGCCATACTCGATACGGATATGAAGACTGCGTATAGGAATGCCGAGATACCCAGTATAGCCGCTTCAATCATAGATCCCGATGATCTCGCAGGATGGAAATAGACCGTGATTGTAGCCACCATATGTTTTCCGTCTTGATGTCCGAGGAAATTCGCCAGGTATGGTGAGAAAGTCGCCAAACTTCCAAGTGTGTATGCCAACGAACATTTCAATATTCCCTTCCCAACAGGTGATTGTATCCATTTTGAAAATTCTGTCGAGGATTCAGCACAATAGGTCCAACTCTTTTGGAATATGTTTGTATCTTCTCTCCTCAAGTTCAGGCCTAAACCCAGCCCTTCGTCGTATGTGTATTGTCGCGCCGGCCCATCAAAGCCTGATGGACTTCGTAGAGTGATTTGTCTGCGAACCCGTTCCCCAGTACTAGGTAACACAAAAGTTCCGTTCCGTAATTTCTATTGTGATGCGACATGAATTAGTTCCTAAGCTAGCATGTTGCGCAGGACCTGTAGCAACGTACCCCTCGCTTTGCCCCATGCTTTCCAAATCTTCTGTCTCGTTGACCATCTCTAATCACAGGCGATGTGCTAGATCCCTCTGTAGCCGACGGCGAGGAATTCATTATGAGAATTTCGGTTCTTTCATAGCTTGTTGTTAGTTGTCAGTACCAATCTTTGGATTTTATTCCGTCCCTGCTACCTACTTGAAGTTGGAGTCGGTGACTTGATATTCTTGGTGGCGCAGGTTCCGGCGCTAAATTAAAGTTACCCCAGATTCATTGTTAGGCGGTAAGTGGGCCTGTGGGAACCTTGGTCTTAAAAGACAGCCAGGTACTTCATCTCTTCGAATAATTTCAAGCAGAATAAAGGAATGGTTTTGAGGATTCAAAAGAGGCGAGAGGGTAAAGACGAAAAAAATAAACATTATTCAATATCATATCACGATAATGAATGTATTCGCATCAGCCAGGAAATATATCTTGTGGTTCCCATCATTTCTAAGTATAGCTTTTGAGCCATCCCGAATAGCATATCGCGACATATATCCACTTTGATCGTCTAGTCGCGTGGTTATCGACGGGAATTTGATGTGATAAGATATCAAGATTTGAATAGCATCAACATTCATGATAAGTACGATACTCACCCCACGCTGCATAAGTAAGTGCACATGGTCAAGTTAGCAGTTTCAAGTTATAGGGAGTCAATCTCACATGATTCATTCTCATGTCAAATAACCCCCACAGGGTCTGATTCATGATCGACATTTCACCGATGGTGGTAACAACTTATGTTACACATTAAGAACATCTTCCATCCCCAGCATTTCCAGCTTCTAATCCATTTTATTTAGTATTATTTATTTATTTAGTTTTATTTATTTAGTTTATTTATTTAGTTTATTTATTTAGTTTATTTATTTACTTTTACTTACTTAGTTTTATCATCTAGTTTTATCATCTAGTTTTATCATCTAGTTTTATCATCTAGTTTTATCATCTAGTTTTCCTTAAAAAAAGCAAGTCGGCATTAAGGTCATCATTCATGCTACATTCAATTCTAGTTTCCTCAACCTATCTACCTTTACATCTTCAATAAAAAGTCGCACAGTTCTTGATTTTCAGCAAAATAGGCTTCAGTTGGCGTTAGCCATCGAGAGGCTTCCGTATATCAACCTCAAGCATTGTTCGTTCAGTAGCACCTCCCGAAAGGACTGAAAAACACTGCTTGGCATGGTGGACTGAAATAACATCAAAAGCTGCGTTTGATCAGACCATCCTTTGAATAGACTCACATTTCCTCCCTCAGCCGTCTAGCAATTTGTCTCGCGGCATGCTGGTTGCACTATACTGGACTGGCTTTAAATAACACGATTATGGTTGACATAGCAAGTGTAAAGGCCATTTGATTTTCCTATCATTTTGCTTAGCAGCAATCATGTCAATGTGTAAAGACAAGTCTGCTAGCAGACCCTGCGTTGTTGCAATGTCATTGGGATTTAGACCTGATGGTAACCTGCAGTCTTTTAAATTCTAAACTGCTCTTAAAGTTTTTTAAACCTCAGTATTGCATGCATTAACGGTTATCACGAAAAGAAATTACGGACAGTTCCATTCATGGCTAATAAGCTCTTGCAAGATCAAAGGTCGTTGATAGCCCATTTGATAGACCTAAAGGAACTTCAATTCAAGTACATTCATGACCTTATCATCAAATCCCTACAAATTTTATTTTCCCAATCGAATTTCTACCTTTTTCAATCTGCCCAAGTTTAAAACATGCCTGAATGACCAAGTAAAAACTATTACCTAGCTAGAAGTCTTACGTTCCAAGCTCCGAACCTGACGGGTGTCAAATCTAATAGCTCGCCAGCAAGATACAACGATGAAGTAGCATCTGCTTTAATAAAGCAAGAATATAAAATCATAGAAATGAAGTGAAACGCATCGACCTCATGAAAAGATAGAATGCCCCTCGGATACTCACAAAAATACTCAAAGCCGCCACGCGGGCTTGATAAAGGGAATATGAATAACGAGACGAAAGGAAATTCTTAATTCGGTGCCGATCCAAAATTCTCCGCATATATTGTGCTAGTGTCAGTATCTCCAATGTTTTCAGAACCTTTGCGACAGACTTCCTCAAATGTCGTATTCAGTTACAAGATTACAATCTGGAAATGTAATACTTTTTAGATTACTAATTTTTGAATGTGCTTTAAGCGCAGCGCTATAATACCCCAAACTTCTCAAAGCCCATTTCAATCATAGATATCCTAATTACATTTCATTCCAACATCCAAACCGAGCCTTCATCATCACCCGGTCTTGATCCTTTATAAGACTCAGCCTGGTGACACAATGACCCGAGCCAAAAAGAACTATCAAGCGTCTAAATATACTCTAAAATCACTATTATAGTAATATTCGTAGTATGTCTATTCTTCTGTCAATTATCTGAAATTGTATAAAAATTGAGAAGGTTTAAAGAGGTTGGTTATTTTGATAGATTTGATATATAATAATAATATTTTATTATTCATTAGAAAATAAATATCGATCTCTTAGTTTTAGTATTTAAAGTTAATTCTATTCTCAATATAATCTTTAATCTAATTGTATGATCTTAAGCGAAGATATTATTTATACTTCTTTAAATATTATAATCTGATTATTTTAAATATTTAAAATAACTACTCTTAATGCAATAAAGAAACTCATCAATACCTCATCGAAATTCACAATATTCTTAAAATAAAAAAGAAAATAAAAATTCAATCAGATAAAAAAGAAGCGAAAATAAACAATCGTCCCATCAAATTCAAGCCCAGCCAACTACACTAGCCGCAGAAAGACCGTGACATAATCCCCTAGTCCGCGGTCACCTCACTTATATAAACAGAGGAATGACCGCACCGCACCGCACCACACCTCATCCTCCTCCAGCAAACCGAAGACCAAGAGACCGGGAACGGTAATCTTACCTTTGCTGTTATGTTCAATGTATGTTGGAGATTAGGTCAGAACTACTGGCTGGGAGTTGGCGGGTGTTCATCATCATTATCATCATTATGGTTAATTTTGATTTCACGAATACCTCTCTCTCCCCGAGCTCTCCGTATGAGAGATATAGATGCATGTGATGTCGATTTAAGATTAAAGGTTAAAGGTTACAATATAAGATATGATTTTATGCTCGATTATAATTCTAGATAGTAGTATTGATATAAATATTCAGACCCAACCCCCACCCAAGCTTTAAATTTAACGGTCTATACGCGGTAAGATTATAGAGAAAATACCTGCTATGTATGTTTATAGTACATAGTGGTCCATTTATCCATCCAACAAAAATCTTCTGGTAAACCCGCCGCTTTCTCTCTCTCTGTATATATATCCACCAACCCTCCCCCCTCTCCTCCCCAACAAAAAAAACGACAAATATAAACCCCAACACAAACAATACAAATACTAGATAACTCCACGATCACAAACACCAAAAAAAATCCCAACAAGGTCCTGTTTCTAATCCACAACTCTGACCTGTATATAAGCTTAAGCCTTAAGATTACGCTATAAAATACCAACGCAAACAGTAACACCAACACTCCAAATCTACTATTCCTTCTGATAGCAAACTAGTGAACGTAAAAGCGGAATGATGAATAACATGTCTTGTCATGTAACCTTATCTCTCTCTCTATTTTCCATATTGCATATATACTGGGTTGGGGTTGGAATTTGACATAAAGGACCAGGTAGGTCAGCCAGGTCAGCCGGGTCACGTAGTTGGTGTTTTAGGTACGCTATGCATTGTACTGGTGTATATCTTGATTGATATCCTTCGCGTTAAGGATATTGTAATCTTATTATCTGTCTATCACTTACTTAATAAAAGTTCATTTTATTGAAAAAAAAAGGGAAAAAAAAACTAGAAGACTCACCATCTCATAAGAAAGCACCAAACACCCCAAAACCATCTCATCTCATCTCATCCCCCCAACAGAATCAAATAATATAACATAACAAAACATACCTAAAAACATGGCGCCCACCCCCCCAAGCGGAGGGGGAAAATTCTCACTAGGAGGGACGCTCAATGTAAAACCACCTTTGGATCCCGAAAGAAAAAAACGGGAAGCAAAAGCACAAGCCGAAGGACTCGAACGGGAAAAAAAAGCCACCGAACAAAAAGCTAAAGAATCTCAAGCGAGCGCTGCTGCTCGGAAACCCGAGAAATTCTCCCTAGGAGGAAAACTTGATATTAAACCGCCTCTTAACCCTGAAGAAAAAAGACGCGAGGCGCAGAAAGCGGAACAAAAAGCTGCTGAGGAGAGAGAAAAAGAAAAACAACGCGCTAAAGGTGCTGAAGCAAATGCGAAAGAGAAAGCGAAAGCTACATCTACATCTAAATCGAAAATCAGAGCGGTAGATATACGCGAATTACGACATCCCGAGACACAAGTTGCAGATAAGTATAAACAGTGGCAATGGGATCCTGACCGCGAAGAAGTGTGGGCGCAGATATTGGATACGGAGGCTCCGGGCGGAGAGAGAACTATCTATTTATCATCGTGGGAGAGATGGTTGAAAAGTCGTCAGGAGGAATCGGGTGGGAGGGGGAGGAGTAAACGGTCGCCTTCTCCTAGTGAGCGAACGAGACGTCCGAGTAGGAAGCCAAGAGATCGTTCTGCGGATCAGAGTTTGCCGAAACCGGAGAAAAAAGCGGTGCGACCACAGAGAGAAAAGAAGGATTTTCAAGATTTTGCAAATTCACGGGGTTACGAAGGTCAGACGGAGACCCGAGGGGCTCGTGATAAATCTCGAGTAAGAGCCGGAAGTACTAAACAGAGATCAACTAGTAAAGCGAGACCTACCTATGACTCATTGGGTCAAAACCGTGATCCTGAAATCCCATATCGTTCGCGACGAGGTGATGACGGAAGAAATTCAAGAGAGGACGTCGAAGTGGATAAAAGGAGAGATCCAGAACGTAGACAACGAAGAGAAGGTCATGAAGAAAGACGCCGCAAGGAAGAGCGAGAAGAAGAATCAGACGAGGAAGGGCGCCGTATAAGAGACCACCGCCGAAGACAAGAAGAAGACCGCTTACAAGCAGAAAAGGACGCCCGAAGAGCAGCACGAAAAGAGCGTGAACAAAAACAAGAAGAATCAGATGAAGAAGGACGACGTATAAGAGACCACCGCCGAAGAAAAGAAGAAGACCGCTTACAAGCAGAAAAAGACGCCCGAAGAGCAGCACGAAAAGAATCTCAACTTAAAGAAGAGAAACCCCTTAGAAAAAAAGAGCATCGTAGACGAGAAGAGTATAAAGAAGATGAATATTCACAGAATGAAGAAACTCGATATGAACAACCGAGAAGAGATGATCGGATTGGCGGTAGAAATCGAAGACGGGACGGAGAAGACGACATTGAGAAAGAGCGTCTCAAAGAGGAAAATTTAGAGAAGAAAAGTAGACAGAGAGAAAGATATCGTGTCAGCGAACGACAGCGTGAATACGAAGAAAATCCTTTTGCGCCTGATTACGGTTCTGGATATAGTGGTGATCAGTATCGTCGCCATGGATCGAATAATGTCAACCCTAATGTATATCCAGACCCGCGTTTAGATCCTCGTTTAGATCCTCGTTTTGATCCACGTATAGACCAAAGTGGTCATTATAATTCCAGACGACCGAATCAGTACTGAGGAGTGTAATTACTAGTATCACGACCCATTAGCTTCAATTAGAAATAAATACAAAATTGCCGACTTTTATCTTTGCAAGTTGAAACATCGTTTAGACTACTTGTCTTATTTGCAGATTTTCAGCTTGGAAAAACAAATATATTTCACTTAAAATGAAGATCTAGTCCCTACCGTCATTATTGCCCGAAATATATGCGCATATAAAACTAATTCTCATCCAAGAGCCACTAAAACCTTTCTCGCGTTCATTCTCTCCCAAATCTCTTCTGGTATCTCAGCATTATTAACTCTATACATTATGCCATCCTCCCTCTTAACCTGCAATACAATCTTTGACGGTTTAGATTCTGGATCTGGAGGTTCATTGTTGGCAAGTAGAATAAAATCGAAGATGCCACCACGAGATTCATGCTCCTTTCGCTCTGAAATGTTATCATCCTGACTGCATATCATCTGTACAACCACATTGCCGTTCATATCACTAATGTTACGGACATAAAAAGTGTATTCAGGCTCCCATGGAGTGTTTCTTAAAGCTTCACGTTTTGTCTTGATAAGTTCCGACGAAACTTGCCTACCTATCTATTCATTCCTCAAAAACGAGGAGCATGATGAATATGATTGGCAATGAAATGAATAGAACAATCTCTAAATTCTTTGGTCAATAAATATCTAAGTATTGTAATCAGTCTTTTGGAGTTAGTAAATAAAGTAGTGAATTAGTGAGATATATAATTATAGAATATTATAATTAAAAGATAAGATAGGATAAAATAGGGGTTAGTTTTTGTATATATATTGATTGAGAAGTATAGATAATAAGAAGAGTATTTAATAAAAATAAGGAATAATGAATATGGATGAGGATGAGGATGAGGATAAGTTCTGTTCTTAAAAGAGGGTTTTGGGGGTGGTTTAGATAGGAGTTTAGTAGATTTTGAAAGAGAGAGGACAGTTGTTTCTTGTTTTGTAAATTGATGATATAGATTGGTAGATTGATGAACTGAGTAATTTGAATAGTTTGGATGGTTTAGATGTTTAATTGTCTGGTAATTTATGGAATGAGATAATAGGATGAATATGTAGATGGAATATAGTTTTGAATAGATATAGATAAATTAATGAAGATATAAAGATGAAGAAAAGAAAGAGTTATGAATAAATATAATGTGGATATAAATATCGGGGGTATAAATGGATTTTCACTCTCTTCGTTAGCTATTGAGGATGAGGTGGGTGTATTTGTTCTGGATGTTGATGTTCGAACTGAGCGACCTCCGTTCGGAAGAATATGAGTTGATCATCTGGAGTGTCGTTTAGTTTGTCAATGCTCAGTTCAAGACAGTGTACCGGTATGTCTTGCAACTCAATAAAGTTTGGACTCGTTCGTTGTGCTTGCGATGGATGAATATTCGTTTGTGCTCCTGGAACATCCAACGAAACTCCTGGGACTCGAACTAGTCGGAGTGGTGAATTTCGGAGTATATAACATACAATTTCGGGATTCATCCTGCAGGAATCAATATGTGAATGGTGTTGTTCTCTCTTCTGGCAAATGCCGTCCGGGTGCAAGACAAAAAAACTTACCCTAAGTCTCGATATCTTGACTCCACTCGTATATTAATTGCATCATGCCAACCCAACCAAGACCAAGACGGAAACGACACTTTTCTCTTCAAGGATGTCGTTTCTAAAGTCGTCAAATCTTTCCTTCTCCTAACCCCGCGTAATGAACCAGGTTCCCAACAAAGTCCCAACTCAAAGCGTCTTGTGGGTATCCCCCATAAGAAATTATCGCCGGTCAATTGCTTCACTTGCTCTAGTATGGCATGAAAAGCGTCATGGGCATCACCTGGTTTGGTTAGCTGACGCTTAGTATAATCCGAAACTAGACGTCTAAATTTATACCAAGTTTAGTCGATGACATCATTTAAGACGAAGAAATTCCTAAGAGAGGTATCAAGGAAATATTCTGTTTCTTGGAGTCTGAAAAAGCTTGCATGTGCTAATGAAGTTTCGCAATAAGTTTCTTCAAGTCTATGACACTTCCTACAGGCCCACAAAAGCTGTTGATCCGTGAAAATAATACTGCGTCTTGATAATGCCCGTTCTTGTAAAGTCCATCCCCTCCGACTCCATTCACTATCTTCAAGCTGGTGAGAGAATGAGTAGCCATTATTGTGAGGGTGCAAAGTTCTTATTAGCTTCATGGAAACTCGTGTATCGATCGTTGAAATGTCGATTTGCGCCTGTTTGCCCGTTCGAGGGGTTTGGATTCCTGGTAAGCCGGCTTCCGAATTTTTCCCAGAAGCCGCAATGAGAGTAACCTTTGAATGAGCATATATAGATCCCATTGTACCAATCTGTATGGCTTTATCAGAATCGCTGTCTTGGATTATGCAAAGAGCATCGACCCATAGATATTTGATTCCAAGTTGCTGTGAAAATCTCATTGCGTCCTGGATAGTCCTTGGAACACATCCTGTGAGAGATCCCGCTTTCTGGAGTGCTCCCTGGTTATGTTTAAGAGTAGTTTTCTTTGAGTATCACCTCACACATAACTTAATGCCGCATACTCAAAAGAAGGAATATTGGCATTACAAAATTCCACAATCTTACTCTCCCGGACGTCAATTAGACGGAAGATTGGAGTTAAACTATTCAGAAACGTCAGTACAGTGACTTTATGACCGTCGTGTAATAGACTTTCCTTGAAACTCCTCGATTTACGAGTTTTGCCTGGTAACATTCTTTATGAGTATCGAGGCATTCCTTGAGCCATTGAGCTGGCTGTTTGATGTCAATAATCTCCGGCCTTATCCTCCCAGAGAAGACAGTTGAATTTCGGTCGACAGACCCATTATTGTTACTGTCCTGGCATACCTCTCCATTGTAAGTTTGAAAGGCATCATCAATATAGTACCAAGGTGCAGCGTCAGTAGTCCTGTGAATTCCCGGTTCATCAGTCTCCTCACCACTCACTATTGGATACCATGATAGACCAATTCTATACAGATACATAAGATCGCGATCAGAATCCCAAGCCTCACCATCCATAGGCACTATGCGAGCAAACGATTTCATCGATGCCACACATTTGAAAGAGTCCAAATCACGAATAGGATTCTCTATTTGGTCAGGCACAACATCGCAAATCGCTGAACAAAAAGCACAAGTAGGCGACGATTGTTGTATGCGAGTATGAGGGCCAAGACTAAACTTAGGCGCCTGTCGATTGTGTATAAATGACTTGAAGGGATAACAATCTGGAACCTCAGATTTGGTAATGAGAGATCGTAACTCCTCGGTAGTTGGACAGCGAAGCATCTCAAATTCGATAGCACTGCAATATTGACAGAGAGTCATTTTGAGTCAGAATATTGTTGTGATTGAAGTTGAAGACAAGTCGAGTTTAAGCTTTCAGTTTTTTGAAATGGTTGAAGATGACATCGGAAGCCGTGACCGAATGGCCTCCGACCGCTGGTTGTAACGTTAACCATGTTCGACATGACCAATTGGACCTCAAAATTTAAGCCCGCCTGCCAAAGCTGAAGCTGAAGCTGTGGGATATTTTCGTCTTAGAATGCGAGGATATAAAATAGGATGGAAGAGGTAGTTGTATTAGTTTAAGAAAACAAAGAATTGGATCTAGCTCAAATTCAATATGCTGACTCAGAACAATCTACAAGGGACTCACTCATGCGCTTCGTACTTCTGAAAATTAGAAATATCTCATTATATTCTGCCACACTGCACCAATCTGCTACACTACACTATCACAAATCCCCGCAAACCAACAAACTCCCTCCATGACAATAGATCGATCATTCTCGAAAATCCCCCAATCCCTCTCTTCTAAATTTCCACTTTGCTCTCCGTCTTCCCCTCCATCATCAAACTCAACGGCCCTTTCTTAACCATCAAACTAAGCACTTCATAAAGTGCATCCGCGGCAGCCATAGTAGTATGTTCAGCATTCGTATCATACGCAGGAGCCACCTCGACAATATCCGCTGCGATTAAGTTAATACCTTCTAATCCTCTTAAAATAGTTCTCAGCTCTCTTGTAGACCAGCCGCCTGTTTCAGGGGTACCGGTTGCGGGTGCAACTTTTCGGGAGTTAGTGTTCTGTAGGAAAAGATACGAAGGTGCAGGATAGACTTACAGGCTGGATCTAAAGTATCGATATCGATTGATAAGTAAACTGGTTTTTCGAGTCCGACACGATCTCGGATTTTCTTAATGATACCATCCATACCAATCGTATCGATTTCTCTCGCTTCCACAATTTCAAATCCGCAGTAGCCATCATTTTCATAGTCGCTAGGGCCACTCAAAGTAGTCCTAATACCAGCATGGATATTCGTGTCGTTGGCGAGTAAGCCCTCTTGAGCAGCGTGATAGAAATAAGTGCCATGGTTGATGGAAGCAACTTTCGATGGACTTCCACCGAATACTTTTGGTTTCCAAGTATCCAGATGTGAGTCAAAGTGGACGACGGAGATGGGACCATATGCACGGTTGATGGAACGAAGTAGCGGGAGAGTAATTGTATGATCTCCACCTAATGTGATGACCCTAGGAAGGGTTTTCCCGTTTTTGGCGGGTCCGAGCTTTTTAGAGTCAGTCGCGGGCGCGCGGGAGAGAATTGAGTTGTGGCCTTCTTCGATTTGATGAAGGGCCCAGGAGTTGTCATAGCTAAGATGAAAGTTGTTTAGCACCATATATATGGTTGATGTGGACAAGTGGACATGTGAACATACGATGTGACCGGGATATCCCCACAGTCGATCACTGTTGCCCAACTATCAAAAGGATTTGTGGCTAGGGGAACATTGTATCCTCCACTAAATTCAGAAAACGTGTGAGTTAATGTATACGGATCGATAGTACTATGGTAAATTGTAGAAGATGAAAACGTACTAGAGATTGAGACGTCTTGAGCCCTGTCTAATTCCAGAAGGCCCAAATCGAGCTCCTGGTCTATATGAAGTTCCGGTGTCGAATGGGGCCCCTGAAAAAGATCAATTCACATTTCCTTTACCAGAAACTGAAGGATCACAAGTAACATGACGACATACCGATGAATGCAATGTCATATTTCACGTCGTCTGTTGCTAAGCATGGAGAATATGGTAATCTACCAAACGTCGAGATGCCCGAGAACACGGAATCAGCCTGATTATTTTCAGTTGGCTTCCTAAACTACTCTTCCATGAATGAACATACTTGAGTACCACCATCTCCAGGTAAAGTGTTATACCACAATGATTTGTGTGGTCCAGCAATTGGAATTTGACCTTCATGCTCGCCATGCGCGAGTACACCCGTATAAAGTGCGGCGAGGGTAATAATATGGGCAAACATCATGAGAAATAGAACTGAACAACGAAAATGAGGGAGTAGGAACTGTGTATTTCATAGATGCCGCCATCACCTTATATGGTTTTCTGTGCTGGTGCAGCTTAGATGCATTGTAGATCGAGACATTCAATATCATAGGTCAATTGGCCTAACTTCTGGGTATGGTCTTATCCTGTCAAGAAATGATAGGGGAATCTTGACATAATGGTTATCTGGCCGGCAACATACATGATAGCAATGGTGAATAATAACATTATTGCTGATTCGTAATTCTTTTTAGGTAAACCGGCGCTTCATCAAGTGGCAATGATGGTTGGATGAAAAATATGGAATCAGAAGAGTTTGGAGTTGCTACCATGGCAGACTGCATGATGCAAAGATAACCAGCTTGGTGTAACTGTGATAGGAAGTCCGTAAAAGTTCACGAAACTGAAAGTAATAGAATAAACTACTGTCCGATTGGATAAGGAGTCTTCGATTTTGAGCATTGCATGCAATCATGAAGATCAGATTATTTGAGATGGATGGTAGATAAATGGATGCATTCAACCCAATAGTTCACCAGTGGTTGTGGTGAGGTAATCGATACTGATATCATGGATTTTTGATAAGAAACTTGGAGCATTATCAAAAGGAGGGGTAAGGAAGTCCCGGAAAAGCAGCAACTAAGCTGGGGTAAAGGGCTGACCAATGAGAATGAATTGAGCATGGTACAACAGATCTTGAAAAGAATCGATGAGCAAGTGTCGAATCAGCAGCAGGAAATCCCGAGGAGTCGAGCACTTGCGTTTCCTTGAAACACCGACTGGAATTTGTAAGTGCATATATCTACTCCGAGAGATTTATTTATCAATTGAGATTAAATATATTTCAATCATGGAAACAAGGGAAACGATATGGCAGCATGAAATGGTTCAGTGAGTGATTTGATAACTGAGAGGAGTATCGGAGTGCAAAACGAACAAGGCTGGACATAGTAGATATAGCAAATCAGGTTAGAAATACCAGATAAAACTGGATATACTAGGTGTAGATATATAAGATAATAGCAGCACTGATAATTCTCAAAGAGCGGCGGCAAAAGAAAAACCCGAAACCCAAGTGACGTATGGTTGTGGGTGGGCGAAAACACGTGGATACACTCGGTACGCTGGTGGGGCTGACTCCCGTCTTCTGGGCCGGTCTTTGGTGTGTCTGGCTCGCATCTTGGAACAGTCCAAAAGCACTTCGAAGGTATTTTCATGCACCTCAACGGCACCGCCAAACTGTCAAGTCCAGCTGGACAATGAAACATTGAAACATTGAAACATCCTGGCCAATCAAATACCGGGGGGATGGTTCTCCCTCATCCGGAATTGTAGTAAGCATTTTCACACAAGCAAGATGAAGAAGAAGAGCAACAGGAAGATGAAGAATGAGCATGAGAAGATATACCGGTAATCGATGCGATGATCTTGGCGGTGTATATTGTGGTGAACCCGGCTTGAGGGTGGTTCATCCGAAGAAAAATGAGGAAACTTTCTTGGAAGGCGGGCTGGGAAGCGATCAACGAATGAACTAGCAGTGAGGGAAAAGGTAAGAGTCTTATGTTAAGTGCGGGAGATTCACCTAGTAACTATTGGGTTTACTATTGGTTCAGGGACAATAATACTGGACAGCTAAGTAACGGTAGGTACCTAAGTAATTCCATCAGATCGATCTCAATGAAACTCAATTTTGGTACCAGCCATCTCAATTTTTCCTTTTTCTCCTGCTCCGGAAGATGATGAGCGTGACGCTTTTATGCAGAAAAGACATGATGCAATGCAATTCACCCACTCCCGTAGGAGAAATAAGAAAAAGGTGCTTTGCAACCAAAATCTTGCTCAGCCATGGAATTCCTTCCTATCATATCATGTATCATGTGAATCCCGTCCATGTGTATGCGCGAGGGATCTTGGAGGATCTTATTCGTCAATTTATGATTGCCTGTTGGATGCATTGTGTAGAGTAGCAAAAAAAGAAAAGGCTCGATGTTTGGGTTATTGTGGTCGTGGTGGAGGTCGAACTGACAATTGAAAATGAATCCGAGGGAGGCATAAAAGGGTAGATAGGGAGGAGGTAGGGTAGGGCCACCGGTTTATGGCAGAGTAGAGTACACCTGTACTCTGTGTTCAGCACTCACCACTGAATCCCTCCCCCGCCTTCCCACCAATCACAGCGCTCAAGACCCCCCCAAACTTTATTCCAATTCAGTTCAGCACTTCTTATTATTATGTGAGGCAACCAAGGCACCGCAAAATAAAGAAGAATAACGACACAAACAAATAATATTCCGCTCCATCCACTCCATCCACTCCATCTGAACCTGACACCTCCTCCGTGTGTCCAACTCAGAATTGAACAGCACTAACTAACCTTCCCTCCTTTGAATTCCCCTGAGGCACATCGCATTGCCATCTGTCATTCACCGATGGCTCACCCACCACCTTTTACTACCTAACGTACTCTGATTCCCTCTCAGCTATCCGACACTCCGCTCCATTTCTTTTTCGCTACGTGCCTGTCGATTCTCAGTCCTATCCCATCAGAGAGGCCTTCGTGGAGCACCACCTGCAACACATAACCAGCGATCTGCGACCTGCAACCTGCAATTTATGCTGATTCAAAACTCCTCAGTCCATATATGGGATGTCCAATAAAAATCTACGAATCTCGATCATCTTCAGTCCAGACTGAATCAACACGAATTTACGAATCTCTTTTCATTTCTATTTTGGCCTTCTCGCGTTTTCAAGTGTACCACAATTAATCATTCACCAACGTTAAAACAACCCTCGTTACCCAGCCTACCTCCCCCTTCTGCCTTCTACCTCTACCAACTTGCGATACTGCACGAAGCCGATACCACGAGGACTACTTGCTTCATGCAAATTACCGACCTTTTTCGTCTTGAGAACTATGATCTGCTGAGAGTCAAAAAAACTGGAAAACTTTAAAGGATTTCCCCGGATCTATCTCATTTTCAAAGAGCCCCATTTTTACTCTACTTTATGCTCATAACACAGACGACGAACTGGCTCAGGATGCCATCCCGCGAGCTGGGGAGCTCTTCTGAAGCCCCTAATGGTGCTCAGAGTGTAGGATCGACATTATTGAAGAGGCATAAGATACTACCTCATCCCAGGGAAGGTCGCCTTACCGATACAAATACTCAATCCCAGACTTTCAAATCTCGCGATACAGATACGGAAGCAGGAGCAACGTCAGTAACTAATTCTGATAACTCGAATCCACGCATGCTAAAGCATACCTCGAAGAGGATTCGCGCTCCCCTACTTCCTCCCACTCCACCAGCACACTCGAGACAATCATCTAGCACCAGCAGTGTCTTGGTGGCTCCCGCACCGGTTGTTGACGTCGCGTCTGAAAAAGACCCCGCCGTAGAATCAAAACCAAGCACACCAACCATTCAGCAAAGTCCACCTACCCCTGATGTAACACCCCCGCGCGCAATGCCACCGTTGGCATTTCGTCCGGCAAACTCTCGATATCCTTCTTCGCGGTCAGATTCTTTCCGAACCGCTCGAGAATATTCCTCAGATGAAGAATCCGAGGATGAAAGTTCAACAGTTAGACCACGAATACCATCTGCGAAAACATCTGGGGCAGAAGTAAGTCAAATCCCGCGCAAGGATATCGGATTGGGCCTAGGTCTAGAATCTGATGAGGGCTCTACCACACCAAAAGCAAAAAAGGAATTGTCACAACAGGAATTTAGCACTTTTGATGGAGAATGGGGAGTCTCTACGGGAGATGTAAGCGAAGTGGAACGGGAATGGGATGATAATCTCATGAGGAATGTAACGGTTCGAAAACGCCGCGATATGGACATGAGCTTTGATGAAGAACGGACAAGCGTTGAAGTGATGGAAGAAAATGTAATTGCACCGACAGAAGCGACAAATGTGGTTCGAGGATGGCCTTTCCCAGAGGACTTTGAACAACATCAATTGGACACAGACAGCGCGGAACCAACCTTGAAGGGTGGTACATGGCCTAGGGTACGGAAAGACACTACTGATTCTCCAACAATGTCAGACACAAAACGATTTTCTACCATGTCCAGTCGTTCGACAACTTCTACAGTCGTTGAAGCTTTTGTCGTCGATGCACCGCCCTCGCGAATAAGGACTCTTCGCCACACCAAAAAGCAAATTGGTCTGAGAGACTTTAACTCAAACGAATCTACCGTAGGCTCCGCACCACCATCCGAAAAGTCAAGCGAACAGCATCATCGTTTAGTGCATAGAGCCGAACGAATCCCTGAAAAACACAATGGAAGCATAAGATCAAATACTACTCCGAGCGTCGCTTCAAGTAATAAATCGCGTCGGAAGATTATACGCGAGGGTGGAGTGCCTGTCGTGGTAATCCCAGATCGTGTGTCATCTGCGAAGTCTTCTAGACCTCCATCTTTGCGATCAACAAGTAGCCGAAAGACTAAGAGGAGCAATTCATTCCAATCGGCGCCATTATCTCAATCCTCGAAAACGAATGAGCCTGGTTACTTCGATATCCTTCCTCCTACCATGAAACGCACAATGTCAGACTCAGCAGGGTCAAGCAACTCTGTACATACTATCGATTATCCTCCAAGTATCCCAACCCGAAGATCTTCACTTTCCGCCCCAACGAGTCGTAATACTTCAAGAGCAGGTTCATTGACTGCGGAGAGTCTCAAAGCTCACAATATGCTTCAGGAAAGGCAGTCCTTAAAGTCAGAGCCAGTTGTAATCTCCAGACCAGTCAGTTCAGAAAAGGAGATTGAGCCACAAGATACTCGTTCAAGCATAGATCATAATCGATTGAGTATTGATCACCAAGACGAAGGTCATTCTAATGTCAGAAGGTCTACGCAAGCTACACCATTTTCACAAGCATCATGTGATACAGCAGGAACTACAACAACAACCGCTGAAATTTCCCAGGCTATGGCAGTATCGATGGTTCCACATCAAAATAAGTCATGGACAGTCATACATCGGGAAAGCGAGCCATCGCCTCCTACGATGAGACGATTAATCACACAGCCAACTATTGAGGTTAATGGTGAGACTACCGATGGTCCTATTAACCCTCCTCAGAATCCACATGCCATGGATGGCGTTGATTCGCCGTTGCGAAACCCTCGTGCTCCACCTGGGCCTCCTGCAATCAAATTCATCCCTCCAACTCCATCTGACATGTCGCCAGGGGCAGAGGAAGAACGTCAACTAGGCTTTGACTTTGATACTCGATTAGACGAAGACTATGATGATCGGCCCTCATCGTCAGATAGACTCAAGCGTAACTTCTCCTTTCGCCGTGCTTTTGGCAACCATCGTTATTCGGAGGCTATAATAGCAGATGCAGGTTTGTTAAAACGTAAATTTTCAATAAGCGGTCGTCGCAAGGATAATTCAACTCAAACATCGAAGCCAGAGGCAAATCCTTCCACACACTTTCCATCCGTCCTTGATCAACCTGCTGATGATAGTAAGTTGCATCCATTCTGGAGGCCGGCAAACTTTTGGGATGATCTAGAAGACAACGATAACGACTCAGATGATGACGAAGAAGATTACTTTCCCGAGTATAATCGCCCTGGAAATAGGCGTTTAATTCCAAAACGTGGCATAAGTGGGAAACTAAAGCGCACATTTGCGATTCTTCCATTATCTTACGGTAACGATGATTATGATCAAGCTCCGCTGGATCGAAAGACCATGCGAAGGTCTCCTAGTGGCAATGCTTTGAGAGTTGTGAAACAGAGAAGCAATAATACATTGAGGCGAGAGGCAGAACAAAGAATTCTTCGCGAGGCAAGACCTGGAGAATTTGGACATGGATTCAAAGAGGGAAATGGAGGTCGTGTTCACACAATTCCTGGACTAGGTTTGAGAATTGAATATGTGGGTTTGAGAGGACTGGGGAAAAAACTCAGCGAAAGGAGAAAAGAGCAAAGAAATGCAAAGTTGCGGGCCACTATCAGTGGACCTAGAGAATTGAGGAATGGAGTTGATGAGGTTTTAGAGTCAAGAAGTGCAGACTCAAAAAATGTCATTTGAAGGAAGAAGAAACGTTTACGATTTGAGGATGGATATACCCGGGATGAATGAATGAATGATATTAAGAATTTCCGCCAACGAAAAACGACACATTGGGACGGTTTCTAGGCATGGTGGGATCACCATCACCTTTTGGACGGAAAGCAACAAAATTACGGCTGATACATGTATTATGAGGGGAAGGCATAATGTTTTCTCTGATTTTCCGTTTGGTTTGCTTTTCTGCATGTACTTTTTTGTTGATGTATTTTTGCATTGCTTTTTTCTCGCGTGTTTCTTTTCGACGGCGTTGCATCAAGCAGGCTTGGATGTTTCGTCAATCATTCCATCCATCATGACTCACGTGGTTATAAAATGGATAAATGTATGGATGATGGATAATGAATGTTTCAGGATTGAATGGGTCATTGATTGGACGACTGATGATGAATGAATTTCAGGTTCTTTTCGACTTTTCCTCAAAGGCAAGGTTTCCTGGATCGAATTACGCTTATGCTTACGCTTATGGCTTGGTTATGTCTTATTTCTAATTTAATTATGATGATGTTTCTCGGCTTGAGGCCTGTTAGTTGCATGGCAGCTGCAACGTGGTTGAAGTAATTGTGTTGCGTTTAGGTCCACTGACTTCAGTCTGTGTGAGCTGGCGGGCACATTGCAGTAGCTTGGGCGTGGTGGTAAACATTTGAGTGGCACATTTGAGTGAGTATCTAGGTTGATAGGTTGGAAGAGATACGGCAAAGAAGTGTGATGAGAGATGTAAGAGAGCTTATGCAGAAAAATTTCGAAAATTAAAATTCTTAGATTATGAAACGAAATAAAATGAATATATGATATGATACGATATTAAGCTCAACTTAAAATGAACCTTAGTTATTTTCACAATGTGTCAATATGATAAAAATCTAAAAGATGTGAGGCTTAAAAATACTTCTCCAACAAAATGCCAAGAAAGGAATAAGTACTAGCGGCCGCTCTCCGCAAAATTATTTCTCCACCTCTTTCGATTAAAAAAAAATAACTTTGGAAAAGCTTTACACCAGCTAACAAACGACAAGCCATTACAAAACAACATACTTGGAGGAGGAACTCCACGCATGAATATAATTCCGATACGTTGCAGCGCGTACTTTATCGGACAGACTGTCCATCGTCGATTGTTCGTAAATTCCTTTTCTCGAGGATCGAATTGAATACTTGGTTCGAGAACGAAGTATTCCCCATCACTTCTACATCGAGGCGCATCCAACCAGAAGCACAACAGTAATATCCCAGAAAGCAGCAAAAGAAGAAAGACAGACAGACAAGATGGTACAAGGTGCTCTTAAATCAACTAAAAGTGCATTGGCGGGTGGGAATAGAGCGAATGGGGCGGGGAAAAAAGCGGCGTTGGGACCGAAGAAGGGGCAGAGGGTTATTAAGGCTAAGAGGGAGGGGTTGAGGAGGAGTGAGGTTTTGAGGAAGGTTAGTGATTTTGAGAGTTTTCTTTTGGGGTTTTGTGTGCAGGGGATAGTGGAAGGTTGGAAAGAAATATGATGACGCACTTACATATGCATGGCTTTCCTAGTGGCTTCCTCGAAAGAGTTGAGGCTTCTTTGACGAGTACAAGTACCTGTCTGATTTTGGATTTCTTGTATTTTTAAGGGAGGGGATGAAGCGCGAGTTGGAATAATGAACATAAGAGTCTTTGCTAACGGACTCTTCAAATAGAAACACTCAGCAGGCTTAACAGCTATGACGGAAAAAACGCTCGGTGCGAAAGCGGGACATTTGGAGTTATTGGGTGTAGGAAAGAAGAGTAAAGCAAAGGATGGAAAGGGTGTGGAAACCAAGGGGAAGGGAAATGCCGGAGCCACGGTTCATGGTGGGCAGAAAGGTGGGACGAGGAAATTTGGTTAGGGTGGTGTTATGTTAAGTGCAACGAAAAGGAAGAGACAGGACGATGACTTCTTTAATCAATACTGGACTGGATGGAGTTTGGTTGGTGTTCACTTATGATATGACTGGCTGGCTGGCGTTGATGGATATGAATAAAGTCAGGGATATGGGAATGGGAATTCATGAGATAGAATTATAAAGATTCACATACAGAATGACGACTGAAAGAGACATTATAGATAAATCATAAATGCATATACACAGTACAATACTGAATAATATTACCCTTCAAATTTTCACTGACCAGCCCCCGCTACATCCAGGAAAAGTATGGTCAATTATGGTCATATGAATAAATTCCGTGGTGCTAATCTTATAATTATAACTTATAATTAAAAAGCCTCAAACTCATCAGCTCCGCATTTTCCAAATATAGTAAACACAAGTCCTTGTATTTTTATAAAAGAAATATGCTTTTTATAATATTATTTTTTCTTATCTATTAATAATATCATAAATACTAATAACAACATTAACTTAAAGTAGAATAGTGTTAATGATTCTTTTAAAATATTATCGATTGCATTTTTTACAATTGAAAAACATATTATATAACCCTTTAATCAATCTAATCTTAATCTTATATTGAAAAGACTCCAACTGATGGAAAAAGCACTTTTTAGTAATTAAGTCGCTTAATAAAAGGGGGGCAGTAATATAATATTGAACTCAGTCTTTTTAGTGCGAGCAGGATGGATCTAGAGAAACTTGGTTTAATAAATGGTGGTCGTCGAAAATACTGCTCCGCTAGGTAGGTGAATCGGGTTTCCTATCCATGAGAACATAAGGTTGTGCGAAGAATTCAAGACTAGGAGAATGAAAGTTGTTCAATTTGAAGATATTGACGCATGCATAAGGTTATGGTCTCAATTTGCGCTAGCTGGCGACGATGTGTATCGAATCACAGACCGACCCAGATTCTTCTATAACGAATCAATTTAAAGTTTAAAGAAGTGTTGTGGCTTTTGTAAGTGGGTGGTGGTGATAGATTTGGGATATTGATTCTATAGCTAACGATTATAAATATGTATTTCTTTTCTTAATTTTGAGATTTGTAGTGAGTGAAATTACAAGAATTAAAAGGCTGATGAGGTGAGTGAAAATGATAGAAGAGGAAGTGCCCGCGAGAGTTGGCTGTGATGAAAGGTATTCTGCGTCATTTCTTGCATGAGAAACGACCCTCCGCACCGCCGTCGCCAGCTTTTACAGCTACAACGGTGAATATTCCAAAATCCAATTTGGATGCTAAAAGTTTGATCTTGACCGAGAAACAGCCTAAGATTCTCCAGAACTGATATAAATGTTTACAGCGAAGGAATTGATTGAGAAGTAGCTGAACCACGTATTAGATCTTTCATTGTAGATTCTACTGGGTACAGAGAAGAATGCAGATTCTCTATTCGTTCGACAGAAGCTAGCTAACAAAGCTGCGGCACAAAATGATACAAGAAAGTGATCTTGGTTATTTGATTCGAGGTTATTTGCCACGGAAAAGATACCAATGGACCGAGGAAGTTCTGACCTATCCAGCTTCGATAATCATTTGGCCAATGGACTACATTGATATCTCTAGAGCCATCATGATAATTTATTTTCCTGAAAGAAGTGATGAAAAGTCAGCTCAAGGTTTCACCATCCCTTGAAATGTACAAAATGATAATGAAGTATCTGCAAAAATGTACGCACGCATCTCAGCCGAATGGCGTCGAGTCAGTACATCAATTAGCGAAGCTAGCCAGCGATAACTGCATCAAAATTCTCGACTCAAACAAAATCTAAGAAGGTTTTCAATTCCTCAAGTTCTTCGAACGGGCTACTAATGAAGAATTCAGTGATTTCTACACTCTTTTTTAACCTTACATATCTTATTTAGTGGACTAACGAAACGAAAAAGCAATGAGGAAATACAACACTTGAAAAAATTCCAAAGATAACTAGACTCAAAACTTCCAGCTCTAATTAGCAATCTAGATTTTGGAATCTGAATCAAGCTCGAGGTTAAAGTTTTACTTCCAATCAAGAATATTAGCAATGAGCTTGACATATTCGAAGTCTTGACAATGGAACAACAAGCAGTTCTCGGCTACCTAGACCGGATTATTGGTAGAATAGTTGAAGCGCTCACTGAGTACTCTAGCAACGTGGCTTTCACGGGATGCGCTATTCTAGATGGTCACAAACAGAGGATTTATCGAATGAGCAGGCTAGCACATAGGATTTATCGAGAGGTGAAGGATTCTCAGATAAGATGTGAAGTCACAGAGTATCTATCTCACAATTTAACCGGATTGCCAATCTTCTTGAACTCAAGCAGAAGTAACAGACAGTAATTAGTGGTAAATCTACGAGACGTACAGATAGCAAAACAAGGAAAAACTGTGACGATTGATTTTCACCTTCTCACAATCGTTTTTATATGTCTTTGCTACTACGAGTATGCACAGATTATTCCTTCGCTAATTAACGAATTAAGCTTCATTTGGCATTTGATATGGCCGCCTTCTTTGTTATAAATATGGATAGATTTCCCTTGGATAAAGATGGGAAGCTACAAATTGATTGCATACTCAAATATACGTGTAAGTACTTTATTTAGCAATTGAAAAAGCCAAAGAAGGTGGAGATATAGCAAGATTACTGAATTTTTAAAGTGACTATTTCACTGGCCATTTCCTTAGTCATGATAATTTCCGCCTTTAATAAAGATAAGGCATAGGGTTTTTTCTTTTCTAGAAAAATGCAGGAGATCTCGATACAGGAAATGGCTGTTTGAGTCGCTCAAATACGAATCATGTATACTAACCTATGGGAAGAACCCGTTGATTCGCGGCACTTGCGTGCAGAACCAAGGATGGCACAAACACCGTCACAATAACTCGGTTTACACCGGCGCCAAGTTATTTTGAGAGCTGTTTCAGGTGCTTGAGTGGGTAGAAACACGCATCTCGAATACAAAGGACACATTAGACGCCACAATTATTCCTCACTCACCATTCGTATAGGTATTTTACGCACACGAATTTGAGACTGGGAGCGTGAAACAAGTAGCAAATAGATCAGTTGATTGATATCTACGGGATAGGATATGATAGCATAGATAGCGATTCCTTTGCGACTGCATCCGGATTGCATCCTGCTCCTCGGCATCCACATTTCCTCTGCCTAATTGCCCAATAATCTCAAAGTGTTACAATCCATTGTGATCGATTGTCATTCAATGATTTCTTTAAACGAAGATTAGTCACCAGTTCATCAGAAAAATATGGTTATGATGAAGGTGAGTGATTGTTCGCCCGACCCAAGTTAGAGCGTCGCTGGGCTTGTGATGGACCATTTCTCGTACGCGTTGAGCGGTATGAGCCGTTGGGGAGGTACTGTGAATTCGATGAATCTATATTAATTTGTGACGGCGGAAGCGGAGGCCATGTAGTTGTTGGTGGAGTAGCTTGTCTAGGTAGCGCTCTTGGTGCAATATCAGAAGTATAATTGCCAGCATGTAAGCTCAATCTGTCCATAAGTCTATAATAGGAAGACTCATCCAGTCTGTAAGCCATAGCTTGAGAATTATCACCCCTAAAAGCTCTGAACCGGTCTAGTGTCTGTCTATAAACATGTGGTAGGCGTAGGCTGGAATGTTCGTCCAATTCAAGAGTTCCATGGCAACCTTCTTGGCGAGCCACATTTATTGTTCCTGCTTCCCACTTAGGCCCTCGAAGCCAGTATCGAGAACGGTATTTTTCAGGATGTGGTGTGCTATCATCTAGTGGAAAGCAATTTCCGATTGGGGAGTACTGGGTGCAGCTCAGGTCAGGATCCATCGGCGTACCAGTCATCTGGTAAATGTCAACGGATAGAAAATTTAGAACTTTATGATCACTAACCGCCACGTACAAAATGCTGTCACCACTGATTGTGAGGACAACAATAGGATGTATTTGACCTTGTTTATCCTGGCGACAAGCGTCTGGACACTTGCATAGACCTTTGTTTAAGTCTTGGCATTTCTCAAGCGTATTCCACACACATGGAATTCCTGCCCTTTTAGTTCCACATTTGACATCTGGACGAAGGAAACAGCCGACTCCGATATGATGCGGCTGCAAAGACATGGCAATCGCAATTTGGGAGGGAAAGTAAAAACTTGTGATAGGAAGGATTGTGGGGCCGGCAGCAGAATTCAAAAAATGAATAAGGAAACCAAAAAAAGTCTGAAAGGTCTGATTGCGAAGTGGATTGTCTTGTTGAGAATGCGCTCAAGCCCTCTTTAAACTCCATCGTCTTGAGTGGCGTTCAACAAAATAAATCAGTCTCATACTAATTGCATTGTAGTTGCTACACTAATAAGGTCGCTGCGTACTTGTGGTTTGATATTAGAAGAATTACTTTGTTGTATAGAGACACGAATGAACAGCATTTGGTTGCTCTGCACCTATAGAACATCCATCACCACCAAAGAGTCTCAAAAGATCAAAGAAAATCCGGTTAGAGAGCGTCATCACGGAAGTTATGGGGAGTTCCAGGGATTTCTGTGTAGTACACGACGTTTTGCCTTCAGTATTGGCTCCTCCAGAAGAAAAGAATAGTTCCAAGTCTCACAATTGAAGGTTTTCATGCATGGAAGTCGCGAAAGAAAAGCCTAGAACTCAAAAATGGCCAGAGCCTAAATTTAACCGATTACTAATCATGACCTCAGCCAATAAGAGGAACCAGCCGTCCTAATCACATCAAAATTGATGATATTTTACCTTTTTGAACCTTTATTATTTGTATCTAAGATTAAAACAATCTAATAAAATTTATATATATATAAAGATAATCAATTAAAATTCTAAAAAAATTTAATAAAATGTTGTTTTATTTTTGTTTTCAAATTAATTATTATATTTAAAATTTTCGATTAATTTTATTCAATATTAAAAATATTATTTTATATTTAATTTGATATAAAAAAAAATTATGTTTTTGTAGGGATTTTATTATGAATTCGAATGATATACAATAAGTAGATTCTAGAATTCTTATAAATAGATTACTGATCACAACTTTTAAATGCGTTCGGCTCTAAAGTGTATTTTTTTTTAAATAGTAGATCAGAGTCACCCCTCAGCCAAGGGCCCAACTTCAATCCTTAGTTATCTAAAAGTATACTTGTCAATTTTCAATAGATTATAATATTTCAGGGGAAATTTACATAGAGATATCGTGATTGAATGGAGATGGTTGATATAGTGCATTGCCAAGCTGCTCAAGAGAGCTTCCTAACTCTGCTGCTCCTCGTCTCGTTTGTTGCAGCAAGTTTTGCAATAAATATAGACAGCTCCGCTGCGAATGAGAATAGGAAACTGTCTCTATCTTATATTCTTAAATACTGATGAAAGTACTTTTGCAGCTTATTCGGAAGCGAAATACGGATGGTGGTATGATTGAAGCTACTTATCTACAAGTAAGGAAGTCATTTGTTTTCTCCGCCAGGTCTGTTTATAGGCATTCAATCTGTCGCCACTGAGCCATTGTTTGTGCGGCCCCATGAGGTGGGAATTCTGCTCGAAAAGATAAGCTAAGCTTAACCAAAGACATACCGGGAGTGCAATGAAGATATGAAAACTGTAGAAAGAATGGGATTAAAAGACATGCAAGAATCCTGGGCACATATTGGAATGATAGCTCTATTGATATCTAATATCTAGTCATTCCTGCCACTATTTTATAACATTCTGAAATCCTTACAGAAATGAGATAAGCTGGTGTTTTATCGAATCCAGAGTTATGAAATTGTAGCTTCTAGTTACGTAGTAGACGGCCCAGTCCAAGCCAACTCCAAGCCCATTCTAGTCGACTTGGCTTTCGTGAAACACTCAACTCCACTAGATAGATTTAATTTAGCCAAAGAAAGAATATCAGGTACGAAAGGAAATAACAGTGACTTACCGTCTTCTCCGGGGTAAATAGTCTCCGCTTGATATTGACTTGGGTCGTCTTCTGTAGAATTGTAAACGCTGAGATAGCTGACTAGTTGAGAAAAGATGCTTGAAAAGATAGAATTGTTTTGGGTACCCGGTTCAACTATGTCGGATCTATCGTTACCAGAACTAAGACCTAGTCTATCCATCAGTCTGTAATAAGAAGGTTTATCCAAGCAGTAGTCCATTGCTCTTGAATTGCGGCCCCCAAAAGCTTCGAATTTGGACAACGGCCGTTTAAAGACATGTGGTAGGCGCAGCATGGAGTACTTTCTGAGTTCAATGGTTCGCTCATACCCTCTTTTACTGCGAGCTTTATCTAGGGTATTTTCCGAAAAGTTTTCACCTCGAAGCCAGTAACTAGAGCGATATTCCTCGGGATGATGTCTCTTAGCGTTTTTTTTGTAGGAAAATAGTGCCCAATTGGAGAGTATTCAGTACCGCATTTGTCATTCTTGATTGGTGTACTGGTCATCTGTTAAAAAAGTCAGTTGACAGCCTGCATATGAACCCACCAATGTACATACTTGTACATAGGAAATATCATTTCCCTCTATTTGAATGACAATAATGGGATGCTTTTAGCCCTTTGTTGTTAATTTGCAGCCATCGAGACAGTTCATGTTTGGATTAATTTTCCGCCCTCGGGGCGAGCTCCATTGACACGGTACACCGGTAAGGACGAGACCAAGGATGTGAGGTCCTCTTCCAGTGCGTGGGGCGTCGACCTCACGACGTGGTTGAAGGATACAGCCTACCTCAATATCCTGAGGGTGCAACTCCATAGTAAATATTGAAGTGAAAATCGCGAGACTTTGATAAGAAAGTTTGGGGGTAAGATAAAGGCTGTGGGTTCGAGATGAAGTTAACATACTGAAGCGCAGCTTTCGAGCTTCTCTTATACTTCAACACCTTCCATCTATGTCCATCGTGGTGGATCAATATTAAGATAGTCTTATAAGAACTACGTTAGTTAAAGATGTATGTATTGTGCTAGAAGTGCTTTCCATATACTCGAGCATATGTTGAAACGCACAATCTTGAAAGACCTCCTTTTGCTTGAGGCTAAGATCTACCACAACTGCACCAGATTTGAATATACGAAAGAATATAGGTAGAATTGTGTCAAGTAAGCCATAGTGAAAACATCATTCCAATGCAATATCCAAGGTGTATGACACTTGCTGGCCGGCCGATTGGAAGTCATGGTCATTGTTTGGTCAGACGAATCCATGAAATAATATGCTCAATACAATGAGCTTGATAAATAAGTCTCATCACACTTGTGCCTTTTCTCTATCCCAAATAATCACTTCGCCGTGCTGAGCCAGGTTTTAAAACAGCCCACTTGGCCTCTTTGCACATCACCCAGCATCTCAAAAATGAAATGAATCTAGCTCAGAGAGTTTTATCAATTAGTAACCGAGACCTTTCAACAACTTTCTTGTAGTATTTAGAATTTTTCATCGATATCAGCTAACGGATTACTAATCATGACCTCAGCCAACCAGAGGAACCACCTATTCTGTACTCGGCTAAATTTTTAAAGATGCATAGATCAATTTCTTAAATAATCTCAAAATCAACAAAAACATATTACACTCCTTATATATATATTTTAATAATTTAAAAAATATTATATAAGAAATATCAATTGAAAGAACAAAAACTATATATTTCAAAAATTAATAAGATGGAATATATTAAAGAAATATCACCAGGGGCCTGCGCCCCTGTCACGATTCACGGTTTAGATTATAGTAGTATTATTGATGTCGGCGATTCATATGCCGACTACAGGGGGGGTGTGATTTAACCGTTGCTTACAAGGGCCCTAATCACCTACGAATAGGACCCCAAGATTCCTAGGATAAGTATCCTAAGCAATTATATTAGAATAGAACAAATATCCTAGCTAATCGGCTGTAATAGAACAATCACTCTAGAGGATATCATATCCTAAGGCTATAATCCTTAAAGGAAAGCTCCTAGGATAAATATTCCAGGAAACGAAAGGCCTCAGAATAAATCACATGATAAGGAACCCTAAAAGCTTGGAGAGCTCTTAAAGCTCCAAAAGGCTTTTGGAGCTCTCGAGCTCTACAAAGCTCCTTTCCATTTATTAGTATATAATCAGAATAATTTTATAGTTTAAAAACTTCATACTTAACTTAGTTATCAATTAGTTTATCTACATTCCAATTGATCTAGTAACGAATTCATTTTCAAATAGATAATCAGTAATTAATAACCTTAACCTACAACTACCAACCATACGAAACCTCAAGCAGCCACTGCCTCGACCAGATCGTTACAATTCTATCTACACCCTGATATATATTCAATATTTAAATTTAACTTTTTAAAATTTAAAATTTCATTAAACTTTCTCGAAAAGTCAGGGGTCCGGGGGGCTGTAACGATCTGGTCGAGGCAGCAGCTGCTTGAGGTTTCGTATAGTTGGTAATTGTAGATTAAGGTTATTAATCACTGATTATCCATTTGAAAATGAATTCGTTATTAGATCAATTGGAATATAAATAAACTAATTGATAACTAAATTGAATACGAAACTCCTAAACTATAAAACTATTCTGACTATATACTAGGTTCTTCCGGGAGCCTCGAAGAGCCTACGCTCCTGAGGGCTCCAAGGGTTCCAAGGAGCCTAAGGGAGCCCACACTCCTGAAGACTCCATCACATGATTCCTATCCTGATAAACTAATCCTAACAATCCTTTCCTACTATAATCACCTCAGAATAATCCCCTCCCTAAGATAGTTAATATCCTAGAAGAATTGTCCTAGGATAAATATCCTAAGGTAATCTTTATCCTAACCTATTTCGTAAAGTTAGGACATTTATCCTATTACATTATAGTTATTTAGAACACTAATTCTAGGAATCCTAGATTCCTAATCGTAGCGATAAGGAATCCCCCTGTAGTCGGCGGTTAAATCACCGACACTTACAATACCACTATAATCTTAGATGTAGGTGATTTGTGACAATTTGCTTGAAATTGTAAGGCTTATACCAAACTTTTTATTAGATTATTTATTGAGGTATTTTAAACCAATCAGATTATCAGGATCGCAATTCACTTAAACGAATTTCTCATTTTCTATCACCTACATCAAGTAAACCTCATGTACAGCAAGATTTTGGTGTCGGCAAGTCGACAATAATGCTCCAAAGTAAATACATCATCTATTTCAAGATTTCAGTATGACCCAACAAAATTATTGAATGAATCTATAGATATCAGTATTTATTCTATTTATGCAAACAAAAAGACTGATAGCAATATTGAAAGGATTGAATCATTTTTGATGGAGTTATAATAGAGTTAAATTGAGGGTTTATACAGGTTTAAGCACGAAATGAGGTTATTCGGGAAATTGGCCTATGCGTCTTTAAAAATTTAGTCGAGTACATATGGAATTAAACTCCAATCATCAAACCAACGCCAAGATCATCCATCGTAACTTCATCAAAAGAATATTACGATTTTATGTCCCTATGGGCAATTTATAACAATAAACTCCTTACGCTAGTATGCTTCAAGCAAAAAGACTAGCTTTTCACACGACGGTAACCAACAGCTGCGAAGCAAGTAATTCAAACTGCCGGCATGGCAGACGACCACAACTTGGCATTTCAAATCCCCCATGAAGTCTACGAAATTCCTCTTCGACTAGTCACATTTCCTTTTATGCTCCCCGATCATGTACCTAATTTTTCCGAACAGGGATGGTCAACCTTAGCTTTTTCGTCCACGGAGTCTATTCACGTTTCATCTCAAAAGCTGCTTCAAGCCAGTAGATCTTTCTTTGATCTTCCACCTGAGTATAAGTCTCAGTTTCTTACCGGAAAGGGTACTGAAGAAGGATGGAATCGTGTCGAAGGGGAGAAGGAATTCATCACTCTGCGTGAAGCTAGTACAACACCCCCGGAATTACTGGATGCAGCGAAAGAGTTCTGGGAAATTACTGGGGATGTCTTGAATAAGATATTGGGAGAAATCGCTAGTAGTTTGGGGATGAAAAATGAGTTATTGGTGAAGTTTTCTGAGCCATGTAGTAAACTTCAGGATAAGAGAACGGCGACTATGATTAGGTTATTCAGGTATGAGGGTGATGGGATAGAGGGGAAAGTGGTTTCTGAACGTATGTTATCATGTTCTGTTTGAAACAAAAATTTAAGAAAATACTAATTTTACCAGCACACCGAGATCTTGGTCTCTTGAGTCTGTCAATTAGTGACGCTCCGGGTCTCGAGGTTTTGGACGTGCAAAACAAAAGATCGTTCCCTATTGAAAAATCGTATGTGGGAATATCTGCCGGAACTTTACTTGTAGGGAGGGAGTTAGAGTTCCTGAGTAATGGCAGATACCATGCTGCTGGACACTCGGTACGTATATATCCAAAAACTGTTACGAGAAATGATCCAGCTGGGAAGGAGAAGGAAAATAAACAGGAGACGAAGCTCGAAAAATACTACAGGTACTCGATAGTTTTTGTGTTGCGAGGTCATGAGGACTTGGGGATTGATACGGATGAATTGAGAACACCGATTACAGGACGATGGAAGAAACCGATGAAGGGGTTGAATATGGAGATTCTATATAGGCACTTCCTGAGTAAGCATGTCAATATCAATTCGGAGATGGAGGACAGGCAAGAGCAGAGAAGGAAGTTACATGAGAAATTAAAAGGGAGAAAGGGAGAGTAAAATGATGGTCATGATATGAGGAATGAAGGCATGGCTCGATCTAAAGCGACGAATAGGAGATAGTCGAAGGTTAACTTCAATAGTTAAGCCTGCTGGCATAGCGCTGAATTATTGGAACATTAGACGTTGCACCTGAGATGACCCGGCATACCATAGCAAGTCTACAGCTGACACAACCCTGTTTTCTCCGTCTCCAAATCGTGAACACCACTGCTAGAAAGAATCTTTTCTGTTGTGTTACAGCCCGGCTGAATCGTTGCACTAATTTGACCAGCATTTTCGAGCAGCCAAGTAATATGATTCTCAGAACCAAGAGTGACAGAGAACGACGGAGAAGTCTCCGTGTCCAGTCCAATCGTATTGAACGAATGACATTCGAATCGAAGCGATTGCTATTATTCTGTTGGAGTCTCAAACGGAGGTGATGAAGGATGATTAAGCAACCCCGCATTTCACTTGGCTTGTGCTTTCCCAGATTTCCCCAATGAGAGCCATCAACAGCTTGGTACTACGGCAGTGTTCCCGAAAGACGAGACAACTTATTTTCTAGCTCATAAGAACTAGTAGGACTAGTAACTGACCGAGGTTGTACTCTTCATACACATACCCGCCGTTGTCAATTTAATCATGCAAAGAAAGTTGCTTCTTTCTTTACCTCATTACACTGCAAGCTAAATCCAAACACATTTCACGATTCACGAGTATCGGAGAATTAAGGACCACAATGGTAAGCAATTCTAACGAGCCTCCCCAATCTCTGCCAGTTGTTGTTAACGTGAATGTCATCACGTTTAGTCTTACAAGGATCAACCAATAGTTGAGTTCCCTGCAAGAGTTAGTGATCGCATTCAACTCGGACAAGGGACAACTTTTTTGCCCGGAAAGAAGGATCCATCAGTACAACATCTCATCGACCACGTCCTCGAACATGGCTATGTCATTCTACCCAAAATCTTCACGCCCCAACAAGTAGAGTTAGCAAACTCCGAAGTGGCACGACTTGAAACAATTGAAGCTGGACCGGCCGCACTTGCTGGTCGAAATAGCTTCGAGGGCTTCAAGACCGGAAGAGTATATGCTCTCGCGGACAAATCTCGAGCTTTTGACCAGTTTCCGATACATCCTACGGTTTTGGCCCTGAACGACTACTTCCTTCAACCAAATTATTTAATTAGCAGTTTTCATACTGTGGTGATATATCCTGGTCAAACTGCACAACCTATACATTGCGATGATGGATTGATCGCACTGCCAAGACCAAGGCCACTTATAGGTATTGTATGTTGCAATTGGGCTTTGTGCTGTATTTTTATGCGCGAGAAAGAAAGCTGACAATTTGAGTAGGGTACCATGGTCTCGTTCGACGATTTTACTGGCGAGAACGGTGCAACTACTGTCATTCCCGGATCGCATTTATGGTCGGACGATCGCATACCAACACGAGAAGAAATGATTCCGGTCATAATGCCAGCAGGCAGCATGGTTTACTTTCTTAATACTCTGTGGCATTCAGGTGGCGCGAATACTTCAGATAAGCCTCGACGCAGTATTACCGTTCAGTATTGCCAACCTTGGATAAGAACATATGAAAATATGACAGTTGCGATGGGTTGGGATGATTTGGATAAAGTTCCAGAGAAACTTTTGAGACTGATGGGATTCTCTACTCATGATTTCATGGGCTATGTAGATGGACGTTCACCGCGAGCTGGTGTGGAAATGCGCAAGAAGAGAATGATCGAGCGGGCTCTGAAAGAAAGAGATGAACAACGTAAATCGAAACTCTAGTGGGCTATTGAAGGACAGAGCAATACGCGTAAATATTAATAAATTACGTCACAACATTCGAACTGTTTCTTCTCTCCTGGTTTAGTAGTGCATGTGTGCGAGTTACCCTTCATAGATATACATCTACTTTTCCACCATGATATAATTCTCTTTTAGATCAACATAAGTTTTTACAACTTCCGGCTCTTTTACAGTTATTTTTCTTCAATCTCATGTAATCCTATCTTTAGCTTCTGTAGCGTAAAAAAGAAGCAAGGCATAATTTTGCCAAGGAAACTAGAAAACAAATACTATTTTATTTTTAGACGAACTATTATTTTCCTCACCACATACAATGCGTTCAACTCAGCATTGAATTGCTAGTACAAGCACTGCCTCATCTATCATCCTACTTCCACCAGTTCTGTAGCTCTGTAGTGCAATCATCGTGATATCTAAGCACATTGCTCTGCCATGAAGCTACTCTCTCTGTCACGGCATTTTAACCTCTTTTGTACTCCCCTAATAATCTCATATACAATATTAATGCTTGGCAGGAATACATTAATCCATTTCAGCGACAGCTCCAATAATTTATGTAAGTACGTTTGGCAAAAAAAGGATTATTCTTCCTATAACGGCATGGTGATTACCCTCCAGATGCTTTTTAAGATCTACTTTAAGGTTACTAGTGTTAGTATATGGGTGGTATACTTCTCATTATTGAATTTTTAAACTCGGGACTGTAAGGTTTGGTTTGGGAGGATATAGTTAAGATGTAAGTGAATTTAAGTTTGGGTTTGAGTTTGAGTTTTGATGTTGAGGTTTTTGTGTTTGTGTTTGTGATTTATATGCTTGGGTGGGTGGTCGTGGTTGAGCTAGGTAAGTAAATTGATGTATATTGTGATCTTGATTGAAATGTGCCTACCTATTGTAAGATCCTGATATATAAGGACACTTTATATAATCCGCTGGATGGAGTTGATTCATTTTTGGAGGGAAGGATATTCTAAAATTGATGTTTGTTAATTATTCGTCGAGATAGATCATAGGGCGTGTTCGCTGTAAGTTAAATTAGGATACAATCTATACAGTTATGTATTTCTTTTTAGACTTTACTTATAATTGAAATTTATAGATAGCTGTAAAACTAGTATTTGAGAAATGTACCTGAAACTTGACGCAAGTGCGACCCCTCATTTACTCCCCCGGATTCAACTCTTCGGACATCCGATCGATAATGAACTCATTTGCACAACTCTTCCGAACGAGCTTCAATACAATAAAAGTTTAAAAGTACAAAAATATTTAGCATCGTCTCAGGACAAGCTTAACAAGCTAGACGATCAATTGAACGTTGTTAAACTCCAACAACCATCAACCATCAAAAACAACCAAAAATGACAACTCCACAACGAGAAACCCTCCCAAATGGCCTACCAAATATCCAACGTCTAATCACAACCACAAACCCAAATGGCAAAGCCATCCTTGAACCCAGCATCTCCCCAACCCCCATCTGGCAACCCATCCAAAACAACGACATGTCCTTCTTCCTCGCCTACACAACCCACCAATTCCCCATCTCCCTCTCACACGCCACATCATCATCCCAAAACTCCACCTCCCCAACCCCTACCGACATAGCCTCTTACACAAACGATCTCTCTAACCCACCTGGTCTCTCCATCTCCACGGGGACAGTTGTGCGTTTTGTAGATTTTAAACCTGATGTTTCGTGTCCGATGCATAAGACGGTGAGTTTGGATTATGGTGTTGTGGTGGAGGGGGTGGTTGAGTTGGTTTTGGATTCTGGGGAGACGAGAGTTATGCACAGGGGTGATGTTTGTGTGCAGAGGGCTACGAGTCATTTGTGGAGGAATGTTACGGAGGGGCTGGGCGAGGATGATGTTTGTTTTGACGGCGGTGGAGAGGGGGTGGGGTTTGAGGAGGTGGGAGTGGAGGGATGGATGGGGTGAGGAGGAGTGAGTAGGTTTTGGTGTTTGGGGTTGGGTTGGAGGATAGGGGAGAGTCCGAGTTAGGAAGATCTGTTATATTTCATCGGTAGTTGGCGACGCAATTTACCCATAAGCACAGACTAGACTTGCTGTCTAACTTACAATAGACGAAAGATAATCTTACAATTGCACAATATATCCCCAGTTATTGCAAATTCATTTAGTTCAATTAGCATAGAAAAGAAATCATCAAGAGCCATGTCTCTGACAGTTGAAACCTCCCATCTGTATAAATCCCAAGATCTCATCACATGTTCCTTCACCCCCAGAGTCTAAGCAGCAGCTCTCCTCTCCTTCCCACTAATCAAATAAGCACCCGCCCTAACATCCAACAACGGATCACCACTAACATCTATACCCTCTACCCTAGGGATCGGATCAAAAATAATATGTTTCTGCTCCTTCTCATTATCCTCCAACAAACCCTCCAGCTTGATCGTCCCCAACTCCACAATCTTCCTCTCTTCAGGCCAATGCTCCGTCGCATCATCCGTCACATCCCCCTCCCCGGCAATCTGCACCACCAATTTAAATTCCGCCGTCGCTCCCCTCTCCAACCTCGCCTTCACCTCCTCAGTAAGATAATTCTCCCCAAAACTTCCCTTCTGCTCTTCACTCGCAATCTCAACCCCTTCTACAGGAATAATCCTATACCTTACAAACGTCACGTTTCCATCCTTTGCAATAAATTTAAAAGCATTAACACTCCAGTAAGTTTCCCTCACCCAACTCGTAGGCGCGGGTTTAGGCGCCGTTGCAAAAGCTAATGCTTTAGGATGGGATGCTAGGAATTTTTCAATAGGTTTCGGAGTTGCGACGGCTTCGCCGCTGCTGGCTGCTGCTGCTTGGAGGAATTCGAGGAATTCTTCTCCTGTGCGGGTGGGGAAGAAGGGAGTAGAGTGTGCGACGATGTCGGTATGTTTGTGTTTCTCGGAGTCGAGAATGAAGCGGATGGCTATACCGCGGGGATCGGCGTGCGCGTCGAAATCGGGGATGCTGGGGATGCCGGTGGAGTTGGAGAAGCGGATCCAGATGGGGGTGGAGGGGTGGTTGAAGTGTGGGGCTGTGGAGAGGGTGCTGGCTGCTGGGAGGGGAGTGAAGGTTCCGGCTAGGAGGAGCCCTTTTGCGTGTGCTGGGGGGTTGTTAGATTTTGATGGGGTTTTGAAGTGCGGATTTGGGGGTCTTGAGGATGCTTGGAAATCAGGATACTTACCAGGACGTTTTCCGCCGTGTTTGCCAAACATAGATTGGAGTTGATGGACTAGGTTTTCACTAGTCTTTACAACAGCGGGATCGGTTGGGAGAGGCATGACTGCGGTTTGCTACTCTTTCGATGGTATTTAAAAGTATTTGAAAGTATTGCTTGGTATTCAAATTCTCAAAATGGAGAAAGGAAATGAAGTAAAAGGTCCACTTTTAAGAAAATAAAGAATAGGATACCTACGAACTTTATACCTTTACAAGCAAAGAAAAAGACGACATCACGCTCCCAAAAGGTAAATCCCTTTAACCTGAGCATCTAATTTCAACCCAACAAAACGATTCCCTCTCAGATATCACGCTATCAGAAATCGTAAAACTACCCCTCATATCTAGGGCATTTTCCTCGCTTTTCATTGGACGATATTCTATGATGGAGGATGATTGTTTATCAATTCATTCTTAATGGTCCATACTTTGTCTCACAGGTGGATAACTAACCAATCAGGAAGTATTAGTCAGCTGGCTTGCGATATGCTGATTAGTTAATAAAAATGTGGCTGCTTGCTGACTGCATGCATATGAAACCAAATGTTGCAAGCAAAAGCGTACGCGGGTCCGGTCACGCTAAGGTCGTACGGAATGCAATTGATGCCATTCCGTGTGTAGATGTTAACATTTCCCATCAATATCCCACCCATCTCCATCACATCAAACTTACCAGGTTCCAAACTTCTGACCCGGTCGGCCTAATCAATCGGAGCGTGATTTTAAGGGTCCACGCTATACTAGGTACACCTGCAGAGTTCGTCGCCCAGAACATTTACTATCCTTCTAGTGCAATGCCGGGATCATGGGGAATCGTAAAGATGTATGGCGTTAACGCGATTCGTCTCTGATCTGTATTTACGGCATGAGTTGCTGATCCGTGTCGAGTTATGGAGAAACTGGTTACAGCGGTATCGGTTGCGATTGTGACGATTCCTCCTATATTAACAGTGGATGTAGCTGAGGAGATAACCGGGTGGATAGCAGCTGTTCCATTGGAGGTGAAGAGGTAGGCTGGACTGTAGATTTGTGCATCGGCGTGATTTGCGGCGCAGCTTAATCCGTATGATCCTCCACCGCCGGTGAAGGTCCTCCTATCGAGCGTGAGGCAGGCTACACTGTAATATGTTGTTGGTATGGCGTGAGGGGGTGAAATTGCATACGTTTGTGTTGTGGGATTCCATAAATCTGGTGTCAACACGGGCGTCAGTTTCAATGAAAGGAACAGCATGGTTATCCTTCTATCACAAATACCTCTAATCAGGTAACACGACGACATTTGCGAGAGCATATTTTGTAAGTCGTGGATTTTAGAGTTTCTACCGTAGGTGCCACTTCAGGACTCCTAATGGCGATGAGATGAACATTATTAGTCGCATCCGAATCCTGATAGCTTGGAGGTCCTCTTGCTGTGAGTATCAATCCGTTTACTGCATCATACATGACTGTAGTTCCACACATGGAGTCTGCATCTGAAGCGCGAAGGCCTGCAGCTTTTTGAAAGCCAGTATCTCTTGCCCAATACCAGTTCATTGCTTTACTGGGACCAGCCTGAAATGCATAGTCATTCTTCCATGCAGACGACCAAGCATGATTATCAGTACGGAAAGCACCTTCTGCGTCGGCTGTGGGCATAGTGCGATTGAACAGCCTACGAGTAAAGACCATGTGTTGGCACTAGGATCGTAGATCTCTCCATTTTTCCCGCCGTAACCACCGCTCCAGGAACCTCCGATAGTTAAGACCTTCACTATTGACGATGTGGTTGTTGACTGGTAACCGCTAGGAATTTCCGTAACTGCTCCTGCGACCCATTGATGGGTCGAAGAGTCATAGATGCTAGCTTGTTTGCAGTGTCATTACCGATAACAATTGCTTTGTCGTTAAATATTAAAGATATCCCGGGACAGAACATATCATGCTGAGTATTAGAGATATTTACCAATGAGGTTGCGCTAGCTGTAGGGTTATAAATGGCTGAAATGGTGTAGCCATGCAATCCTCCTTGATCTGAAAAGGGATTAGTTGCTGCGAAAGTTCAAAAATTTCCTGTAGAGTGCTCGATGAACTCAGCAACAGGTACAAGCGGCATGTTAATGACAGAGCCCCTAGAAATCCTACAGCAGTAGGAGCAAGCAAAAAATCGAATTCTGCTGCGCTGGTCCATTGGCCACAGTTTCAGTTTCAGAAGTAGCATTCAAATGGAACTATCGAGCTTTTTTATTATCAAACCCTAAATTCATTTTCTCAGCACCATCTTCGAAAGTCTAAGTGCCGACCGTGGTCCATGTCTTCTTGTCTGTACTTACAGCCAATGAATGTACGCCAATATTCCCATTATGATCCCCATCCTGACGTGGAAGATATGTAAACCCATTGAGAAGCTGCGAGAACCCTGTGTCAAGGTATATGATGTATGATAATGAAACAAGCACGGGGCTATATTCACTATTCCAAAATGTGCTGGAATTTCCATTGATGGTGTAGGAAGCTGGGTGGTAGCTTGAGAACTGGATATTTCAATGCTCATAGCTGCTTGCGCAGTTTGAGCCACTTAGTAAGAGAATGGATCATAATGTGAGCATCTTGCCGCTCGGATGGTACCGCATAAGATTTCAGAGGGTGATTTTCCTGTCGGTTGTCAGTCTAATTTACATTGGTACCATTGGAATTGGGTAATTGACTTCCGTTGGAGTGCTCAAGTAAAATAGCCTGATCTGAAACTCCATGATTGTAGTTCCCAACCTTTAATACTAGCACGAACGAGTGGCGAAGAGAAATAAGCTTCCCTCTCAATCCCAATACCGGCGACATCGATATCTAGGGTCTATGTGTGTGGTGCGCCGTTGCCAGCAAAAACCTATCGATATTAAGTTCCAAGACCCCATCTTTGTCCCGTTAAAAAAAATCAATGGATTCAGATTATCGTGACTGATGGTATATAGATACTGTAAATACACGAGTGATTATCTGTATATAATTGCGAACGACGGAACTTCTTAACGCGGCTTTGACATAGCCGTCATCATGCAGCCCTTGAACAAAATGTCATGCTTACTCGGAGCAAGCCATTTTTTTAACCTACCAGAGCCGTTTATAGCTGCATAATTTCTGGTTGCCCAATGATGTTAAACATTACACGCTTTTGCTTCGTATCAAAATAGGTGCTGCTTCTCCAACGTAGATTAGATGCGTTAATTCTGGCTGTAGAATGTAAAATGGTACATTCAACTTAATACGGAGTACTGCTTGAATACCGGTGAGTGCTATTTCTTATCTCGATAGCTTTCCAGAAGCAATAATCGTTAGTAGGACAATCAGAGATGCGCCATTCGAACCCGTCAGCGACATAAGCAAAATATTTCTTTTCAAATACTACACCAATGCATGCATAACATGGTAGTTTTTTCAATGTCGTCCCTCATTGGGTCGTTAGTCCGTTTTCCCCGAGAATGCTGGAGACTTCAGTTGAGTTGATGGCAAAATGCTAACAACCACAAGAAGTCTAGCAGCGCTACAGGCCGACACCACGCAAATTTTGAGACTTAGCAACGAGAAGTCATTACGGAAAGAGCGACGCTGACATCCAGGAGTTCTGATTCCTGTCTCCAAGCTATTAATACATCTAGATTGAATTATGCAGAAAGCGCGAGACAGTGTTGCCTAGTTCTTCAATGGTCGTGTAGGAGGTTCAGAGAAACCACATCAAGCGGTTGTCACAACAGCGCATAACTTGAGAAATGTTCCATTTATTGAACCAACAAGAAAGCTGATAACAAAAAGACCTGTTACAATGCAATGAAGACGTAATAACTAAGCGAACACATTCAGACTGGGTTCAGCAGCGGGCAGCTGGCTGGTCAGATATTCCTTTCCCTGCCCGAAGAAAGGAATCTAGTGACACGGCAATGCAATGTACATCAAAGAGCTCAAACGCGTCAGAAAGAGTGGCACAATGGTACACTTGCTTTTCTCGCGATGGAATATATAACCTTCGCATTACAAACTCTACATGAGTATCCCCCTTAATTTGTTCTCGGGTGGTGTTTCCGAAATAGAATTTCTAAGTGATCACTGATCAATGAGGGTGAATGAATACAGGTTGACAGAAGCCCCGCGGGGCGGGTTCCCATCATCGTTAAGATATTTGAGCGGTGACAATGGTAAATTTAAAGATTTCATTGTTGTTTGATTGTTGTGCTGATAACTCAGTGATGAGGATGTTTTATTTGCGGGGTGAAGTCCAGCGCGGTGACACTCTAGCGCGTTTTGTGATCACAGCATTTCCTATCGATAATTTTGTAACTTTATCATTCTAAAGCCTTTTTTCCTATACAAATACCAAACAAACCACACGTAAGGGATCATTTGTCGAAAGTTGGATATATTCTAGTCAAGCAATACCTTTTATCGCGAAGAAAATATGATATGATTCCCATTGTCTATCAATACTGTACACGTCCACAGAGCCAATGATTCTCATGTATATCGGCTCAAAATAGAATCCCCTCAACACGACATAAATCAGTTAGAGAATATTATTATGCAGTCACACTCGACTCGGATTGCTGTACGCTACAATTGCAATTTTTGCGGTCATTATAGATGCCTAGGTCCAGAAAGGGGAAGAGGGTGGAACCTCCCTCGTTTAGAATTTGAAAAGATTTTCTACCCAAAATGGAAATATGTACCTGCCGCTCTGGGTATGCTGTACAACTATTTTGTTTATCGGCTTTGTTTCAATTTCTTCTTCTTTTCATATAGTACACATTGGTTCTTCATATAACGAACTGGAGTTTTCAATCATAGCAGCCACTTTTTTCTTCATAGTCTCTATCTGACCAGTTAGGATAAAATACGGCTATGATTGGAGATTATTTTCACACCACAGCTGTGGCACTTCTTGTGAGTTTGGCTTCTTCACTTGCTTTCCTCTAACTTTACTAACTCGTATTAGCTTGCAGTTTTTGTTGCTGCCTCTGATCATGCTCTTCAAGAGGAACCCATCATATCAGGAACTTGGACGTCCCAAGGTTGTTACGTGGACATTGGTCGGACATTGTTCGAGGGAGAATACATTGACAATGCAAATATGACTGATGAGTCATGCATCTCGTATTGTACTTCCAAAAATCTCAACTATGCTGGAACGGAGTATTCTTCAGAATGTTGTGTGTTATTTTCAAGTTTTCAGGACATATAACATATCGATACTAAAAATTCATTTAGATTGTGGTAATAGTCTTGCAGCTGGAGCTGGACCTGCGCCATCTTCAGATTGTAGCATGAAATGCTCTGGGAATGCTACTGAATTTTGCGGTAAGCTTGACGGTTTCACTGAATAACTCTGCTTCTTACTAACTCGTTCTATTTCGTGATCTCAAAACCAATTCTTATCTTTCCGTTGTCTGCACTTATTTTGCAACCCAGGAATCTATTTGCTTGCCTTGGTGCCATTAAATTTTTGCTTAATAGCCATACTGATTTCCCGATCCTGCAGGTGGTCCAAATCGGTTGAATCTTTTCTGGAACGGAAATAACCCACCTCAAACTAACCCTGGTTCCGGACTTTGGAACTTTTCTGGATGTTACACGTGAGTTCTTTACCTAATTCTTGGCCGCGATGCACTCTAACAGTCGGCAGAGAAGGTCAAGGGGGCCGGCTTTTGATATACCAAGTTATAGCTTCACCCATGACGGTCAATGTGTGTACAGCAGAATGTCAAAAAGAAGGCTACTCATTAGCAGGGGTCGAATATGCGGATGAATGCTGTACGTGTATTCTGAAAGTTGTCAAGTTGCCCGGTCTAATAAATGCTTACTTTGTCTTAGGGTGTGGAAACCAATTGTCTAATGGAGGAACTCTTGCACCGGAGGGCGTCAGTGGTTGTTCGGCATTGTGTTCCGGCAACTCATCTGAATTCTGTGGTGGCACCAACAGACTTGACGTATATGACTTCAATAGTACTGCTATTGTAACAGCGCCATTTGCGACGACCACGGCTGGAACCACTCCTTCTGCTACGAGTTCTCCATCAATTCAACAAACAATTGGTGTATATAACTATTTCGGATGTCAGACTGAAGCTACTAGCGCTCGAGCACTTGCGTCTAAAGCTTCTGATACTAGCAATATGACACTCGAGTCATGTGAAGCGAGCTGCATTGGGTACACATATTTCGGAACGGAATATGGACGAGAATGTTAGTAAGCCTCCTGAATCTATAAATGGTATGAACTAATTGAAATATACCAGGCTATTGTGGAAACTCGTTCTCCGCTGGCTCTGTGTCAACCTCAAATACAGATTGCAATTTCCCCTGTGCAGGAAATAGCTCCGAATTCTGCGGGGCTAGTGGAAGACTCACTGTCTATCAGATTAATACCACTTTAAGCTCCACAGCTCCGCCTTCTACCCCATCATCATCTGTGACAGATCTTCCTACCGGGTGGGTTTACAGTGGCTGCTACATCGACGGAGCACAAGGCCGCGTCCTTATATATCAGCAACAAGATAATCAAAATCTCACCGTCGAGTCCTGCATTTTGACTTGTTCCGGTCTCGGTTATAAGGTCGCGGGCACAGAATACAGCTCGGAATGCTTTTGTGATAACTTTATCGAGAATGGAGGAGTTCTCGCCACGTCACCAGCTGATTGTAACATGCCGTGCAGTGGTAACTCGAGCGAGAATTGTGGCGCTGCAAATAGATTGTCTGTCTACTCTCTTGGAACAGTACAAACTTCTCAACCAGCGTCTGTTCAGAAGAGGGGTTTGCCCGGTGATTGGAACTATCAGGGATGCCTCGAGTCAGTTCCTCGTAAGAATTGTTAGATTTCATGCAGGCTGATAGAGTAAACTTTTAGAGATAATATAGGAGGTACTAGGACTTTTCCGTATCAAATAATCAGTTCAAATAATACTGCAACGAATTGTCTTTCGCAGTGTCAAACATTCGGGTATAATGCAGCTGGACTTGAGTACGGCTCTCAGTGCTGTAAGTCTTGGCCATTCCCTCAAAAAAAATGTCGTACATTAACAAATATATTTAGATTGCGGGGATGTAGAAAATATCGTAACGGCTGGTGCATCGTTGATTAGTGAATCTAACTGCCAGGTTGTCTGCTCAGGTAATTCCTCAACCATATGCGGCGGAGACAGTCTTCTATCTTACTACTCCTGGAATGGCCCAGCTCTCTATAATTGGTCATTTCCAGTAGGCGCCAGCGCTGGCGAACACTCGTTGTTAATAGGTGGTGTGTGTATACCATTGATGACATCCCAGATGATTACTGGCAAAGTGACATTCGTCGAGAAATTTGGAACGGGTGAACCTAATTCAACAGGAGCATACGAATTAGATCTTTCAGCCATCAATAATTTCACCCTGGCATGGAGACCCATGCATGTCAAAACTGATGTATTTTGCTCCGCTGGACTTATTCTTCCAGATATTGCGGGGAGGCAGATAGATGTAGGGGGGGTAAGAACATATATTCTTTTCCACGGTTCATTAATCGTGGTGCAACCATTGTATAGCTTGTGTTTCTGTGTCATCCTAATATCTCAGTTCAGCTTGTCACACATTCATTCCTTCCGTCATTTATCTAGCTCAAATATATGATACTAATATCTGTGACTCTTAGTGGTCCGCCGAATCGACCTACGGCGTGCGAATTTATTGGCCAAATGGATCTCCCGGAATCTGGGGCACAAATGATTGGCAAGAAAACGTCAACGAGGTACACCTTCTCGTCGCTCGGTGGTACCCTACGGCAATGATTATGGTTTGTATAACCATTCTGAGTAGCAGAATAATGTACCTATACTAAACATTCTCAAGGCAAATGGTTCAATCTTGATAATGGGCGGGGAAACTGGCAGTAATGCTCCTGCTTCACCCAGCTTAGAGCTATTACCTCCGACAGGTGCACCAGTTCTCAATTTAGACTTCCTCGCTCGTACGGACCCCAACAATTTATACCCGTTTCTCGCTGTCATTCCTTCGGGGATCTTCGTCGCGTACTATAATGAAGCACGAATTCTAGACGAAGTCACATTCGAGACTATTAAGGTATTACCTAATATTCCTGGAGCAGTAAACGATCCGAATGGTGGACGGAACTATCCTCTTGAAGGAGCTATGGTTTTACTACCTCAGTATTTCCCATATACGGATCCCCTCGGAGTACTTATTTGTGGTGGTTCCACGCCTGGGGGTGGATTTGCGATAGATAATTGTGTTTCCATGCAACCTGAAGCTGAGACTGCTTCTTGGGTGATTGAGAGAATGGTGAGGGTTCTTTTTTTGCTTTACTCCACAAAATTGTTTTACTATTCTGCCTGATACTTCTATTCGTTGGGGTCTTTTCAAAGGACAGCTGATCTCAATAAGCGGAAATATCACATATAGCAGTCACTGACTAACGTATCATAGCCCTCGCGCCGTGTAATGCCATGTTTGGCTTCACTCCCGGACGGTACAACACTCATCCTGAATGGTGCTCATCATGGATTCGCAGGATTTGGACTCGGCTCAGACCCCAATTTCAACGCCGTCCTGTACGATCCCCGCCTACCGATAAACTCACGCATGAGTGTAATGGCCAATACATCAGTTGCTCGTCTCTACCACTCCGAAGCAATTCTCCTTCTTGATGGACGAGTAATGGTATCTGGATCTGATCCGCAGGACAATGTCCATCCAGAGGAATACCGGGTCGAAGTCTTCACCCCGCCGTATCTCCTCTCCGGATTTCCCCGTCCAACCTTCTCTCTCAGTAACACAGACTGGTCATACTCGCAAGCGGTAACTTTCACCATCACCTCAAACTTTACTTCGACTTCGGACCTCAAAGTCTCTATTCTTGGATCGGTTGTAAGTACACATGGTAATTCTATGGGTAAACGAACGCTCTTCCCTCAGATGTCCTGCAGTTTTAATAATACTTGTACAATCACCACACCGCCAAATGCACATATATGTCCACCGGGCTGGTATATGGTATTTGTCCTTAACGGGCCCACTCCGGCTTTCGGGGTGTGGGTACGTATTGGCGGGGATCCAGCACATTTGGGAAATTGGCCCAAGGCTCCTGGTTTTGATACTCCGGGCCTGTGATTATCAGATTTCTTTGAGTCAAATGTAGGGTTCGGAGATTTGGTGGAGGATTTGTTGCAAAAACTGTTTACTTGCATCTTGATGTGTTTGTATGTATTTTAATGTTCTGCTGAATTTTTTTGCATTGGCTTTAGCTCTTCGTTGATATTTCTCATGTTGCTCCTTGTTAGTTCCTTGCAGATGGATTGATGGCAATATATAATCGTACAAAATGTTTCGCATACCAAGCCTGGACTTTGAACTGCATGGTATGCATAATGTAAATTAAATATCACGTCATTCTCCAAGGCGACACTGCTTGGCACCTTTCCATGTTCAAACTCGGATTCGGATTCGCACTCGGATTCAGTTGAGGAGAAGATTGCTGGTGCCGCGGGTGTAGGTGCATTGAGGTGTGAAACTTGTGGGCTATGGGGACAAAAAACGAGAGAATATTCAGAGCGGCGATTATGCAAAACGGGGATTATCAGTAGTTTAGACCGAGTACTTGCAACAACATGCGGAACTCCGATCAAAGATAACACGATCTTGGCGCTGTCTATTGTCAAATTCGCAGAAGAGAAACACAAAACTCAATCCAGGGAGAAAGAGTGATGAGCATCAGCCCAGACACTAGATAGAAGCGAAGTCGGTAAACAGATGCTTGGGATGCCAGAATAAGCCGCAGGAATATAACTATGAATAGCTGTGGATCTAAAATCGGAGTTAATGCAACCCACTTATAATTTTTATGTAGTGTATTTGAGGTGCATCCGAGAAGAAACCCGAGCACGTCCAATACATCGACGACATAGGATATAAAAGATGAGCCGGAAACACTAGCTTTAGCTAAGGAGATGCAAGAGCATTCCTTGTAACGGATATATGCTCGGCGAGGTCTTATTTTGGCGCCCTGGGCGTTGCAAACATATCTTTTGATTGTGATGGGATAGGATGACGAGAGTTGGAATATCCTCACGTCTCGATTGCAGCGTTCAATGTCATGACTACACGACCAAAGATAACTCCACCAAAAAGGAAACATTGCTCCTGGTTTCACAATACATGAGAACTGTTGTGTCCTTGCACATGAACACTTCATACTCCACACAAAGATCCAGCAATAGTGATGGGTGGACGAACACTGGAACGTTCAGACATGCAACTACAATCTATCAAGGCTTGCGTGGTTCTTGAGAATTGTTGGGAGCTTGAGATATAATTCTTGATACGTCGAGATACTCCATTTCGTTCAAGATGGGTTATGTCCGGAGTGGAAAGCACCTCAACGCTTTTAGGCTAGGCTACAATGAGAGCTCCCACCAGTAGATTATTGGGCCAGTTGATGCCTTCCATATGAGGCACATATAGCTAGTTTATATTTAGAATTTGTGTCTAACCATAGATAGTGTTTGCATTTAGACTTTTTTTCGCTAGTGACTCCTATCAAGCTTCTTAGTAGTTTCTCCTTGTTATTATTGAATAGTTGTAATACTGACTACCTAGCAATATACTAAACAGACACGCCAGCAGTGGGTTGAGGGGATGAAATGTTTCTACGAACCTCCAATTAGAATCTGTCGATCACACAGAATGTGTACCTCTCACTTGGAGAAGGTCTAAGGCCAATTCACTATAGTTGGTTTCATTGGTGAATTTACTCTGTATAGGCACATGCTTTACGTGCACGTTGACTTACATCATGTGTTTCTAATAATGGAATGTCTGGATATGCCTGTATCAGACATTCAAAGATTAGGAAATACACCCGGTATGCAAGGCTCTCTGGGCAAGATAGGACTTGGGCAAAAAAAGGATTACTGATCTGTGGACTATATAGTCACGCTATGGTTCCAAAGGATTATCTCAAATCTCACATCACCTTTAGTTGTCTCTTTCAATCTCTGAAAACATATCACCGATAACACAAACAGTCCTAAACATGGCTACTCTTGAACAACAATTCAAAGCCGCAACATCATCTCGAGAAATCCCTGGTGTTGTTCTTGTTGCCAGCAATTCCACTGGTAAAAATCCCTCTTCTTCATTCACTTACCGCGTTTGAGATACTCAAATACTAACAAAGAATAGGGTCATTTAAATATGAAAAAGCCTTCGGACCAGCAACGCCTGACTCGCAAACCGAGCTTGACTCTACTTTCGTCATGGCATCATGCACGAAGCTTGTAACTTCTATCGCTGCTTTGCGCTGCGTAGAGCAGGGCCAAATTGGTCTTGACGATGATCTCTCTCCCGTCTTAACAGAGTTCAAAGATATTCAAATTCTCGAAGGCTTTGAAGCCGGTGCCGATGGAAAAGAAGTTCCTATTCTCAAGCCAGCCAGGAACAAGATCACCCTGAGGTAAGATGTCTCGTGTTATTGGAAGCCGAATATTCGGAGTCGTTAACGTAAAAAACTAGACAATTGATCACCCATACTTCTGGAATCGGTTATGACACTTTCACACCACAGCTCATGAAATTCCGCGCCACGCAAGGTAACGACTCCACAACTACCCATGAATCCGCAATGCTCAAGACCATTACTATTCCTCTTTTGTTTGAACCCGGTACATCTTGGGTGTATGGCTACGGTCTTGACTGGGCATCTATCCTAGTCAGCCGTCTCAACAATGGTCAATCACTTGAAGAATACTTCCAAGCCCACATTTTCGGCCCACTAAATATCAAAGATATAACCTTCCGTCGCGATCTCAACCCACACGTTCAAGAAAAACTCGTCAAAATGACCGTGAGAAAGGGCTTGACAATTTCTAACCCCCTCCTTGGACTTTCCGATAACGGTGAACAGGGTGGGGAAGTAGAATGGACCGATAGCGTTCCCTATGACATTGGAGAACACGAATGTTTTGGAGGTCACGGGCTTGTCGGCTCGGCAACTTCATATCTTAAAATTCTCACCTCGATTCTTCGCGACGATGAAGTGTTACTCAAGAAATCTACCACGGCGGAAATGTTCAAGCCCCAGCTTTCTGCTAATGCTGTTGATGCTATGCGTTCCAGCCTCGTGTGCGCATTTCACTCTCAGGGATTTTTCTCCAGTCATCCCTTTGGGAGAAAGCTGAATTGGGGATTAGGCGGTTTACTGATTGAGGAGGATATTGAGGGGGGGAAGAAAAACGGTACTCTCTGCTGGAGCGGATTACCGAATTTGTTGTGGAGTATCGATAGGGAAGGAGGATTGGCTTGTCTTTATGCGGGTAATGTGTTGCCGTTCGGTGATCCGAAGAGTTATGCGATGCAGCAGATTTTTGAGGCGGAGATGTACAAGAGGTTTGGAGAGTTTAAGAGATCGTGAATTGTGTTAGGGAGAGATGGTGGAGATATTGCCCGTGGTGGTTTTTGTTAGAATAAAATTAGATCATTGAGTTATTTTTCACCAAAACAAATTCTGAATATCTCTGCATCTTATTATCGCAGCATCTATCTCACCTAAGAGCATACAGCGAACTCACTTCATCTCCAAATCATCCTGACCTATGAAACGCCGCCTCAAAAGTACTCTCAACGGAAGCTTCTCTGCTAATCTTATATCTAAGGCTTTTTTTAATACCTTATTCCAGTGACAGATAATGACAGGAGTACCGGTACTGTAAGTTACAAAAATAGATACACAAATCCTGTATAATTTCATCCACTTCGTTGGTTTTTTTTAATTCTATATAGGTAATCGAGTATACGCAACCTATACGGCTTAGCTTTCCTCAATTTTAATTGAACTGATGCGTGGATAGATGGCAAGGTTGAGCTAGTCTAGCTATAAGATGAGTAGCTCACCCACCAGCTCTGAAGGGGTAATTTTAGATGGATGATTTAAGTGATTAATACAAGAAATTTCTTAACTTTACAGAAGATTACTATACGATATTACTAGATATATATAAATAAAGCCTATCTTGGAATAAATGACCGGGTTCTGATACCAGAAATATAGGTCTTACATGGGTCATCGGGTGACTTCGCTTATCACTTTATCACTTCATCGACATACACAACCATTCTATCATAATCTCACTGAATATATAGCAGAATTAGTTCAAAATCGTCACATACGACCATAGACTGAAGAGAATTGGGCATCCCGTCCGCTCTGCCATACACAAGCTTCAGATCGGTGGATTAGTAGTTGGGTGGGTGACCACCAGCGAATCCCCACTGTTGTATGTTTTTGTTGCATTTTGCCTTTTTGAGCTCTCGTCAGCAACATATCCGTCTCCTTTTACTTCATCCTTTCTCAATCCTAGCCCTCATTTACATCTACCAGCAACGATTAAATTTTAGCACCGTTATGTCATGCACTCTGAACGTTAACGATGAATTTTTAATTGCCGAGTACTATATGTATTCATTCATCTTGAGCTTTCAAGGCAGGCGGGGCTAGGTGGGTGTGTTCGTTTTGATAATTGGATGCCCAAGATTCCGGTTCATCTGGTAAATACACATATGCTTCAACAGCATTATATAAAGTAGTGATTGGAAGAGCGTGACTATGTGATAACTAACGTCTATAAATTACTATAAAGCAATAGAGATAATAGATGATATAACAGTTAGCCCTTGATTATCTATCCCGAAATATGAAATTAGTTGTTATATCTTACTACTTTAATAACATTATATATATATATAACATAATAATTGAAAAAATATAAAAAATGATGTGATAACTTCCACGCGCAATAGAGATAATATAGCGATCAGTCCTCATCATCCATCCCGAAATATAAAGCCAGTAATTAGCCATATCTTACCGAGGAATCTCATCTGGACTAAGATGCGCGAGCAATTTACTCAGCATGCCTTTGCATCAGCGCTGCTATTATGATTTCGGGGTAATCCTACAATACATTGGATCTTGGATTGTGAGACAAGGCAGGTATATTGAATGATGTGTAATCAGTGTTAAGGATTTGCGTGGTAAGATCTTAGGAGAATATAATTGAGGGTACTAGGTAGTTACCTCTATTGCTTTTATTGCGGGTGCACATTGGGTTAATGTGAGTCTTTTTGTGTAGAAAAGGAAACTTGAGACTGTGGGAAAAAGAAGAGATGAAAAACAAATGACTCTAAGGGACCATTGGATTGTTGATGACTAGGCTCGGGTGTGCTAGATAAATAGCTAGACGTATTGACTAATCAAAGAATATTCGACTAACTCATTTATACTCCGTTGCGCAAATTGTATAAAATATTCAACGCTTTCGTGGCATGGAAACAGGGTCAGGATTGATACCAGCAGAGTCTAAACTCAAATTCAAGAGTAATCTCTTCCCCATGGACCATATCTATTCCATGTTACATGAGAACAGAAACCATCCGTTACTCCCCTTTTCCCAAAGGACTGAGTAGCCAACTCAATTCCTCCGCTTTCTCGGCGCCCACAAGCTGTTTCAACCCTTCAGGAGACAAAAAGTCATGATCACAGTACTCAAAACCAGGTACTACCGTCTCACTGATCAAAAGCCCTTGGCTGTCCTTTCCACCCTCCTCATCTGGCAACAAATAGGATGCCTTATATTTCCCTCCACCTACAATCCATTGTAACTTTTCGCCAGCAGCAACATTTTGGCCAACAATGAAGGTTTCAATTCTTTTCTCCGAACCCTCCTCATCAGCGTGTATCAAAACATATCTTCCTCGCCCTCTGTGTAAAGTATGGACGGTTCTTCCCTTATTCCGATGAAATCCGCCTTGCGGGCCATTTGGCGTAAGCAGATAGAAAATGGTAGTTGAGGAATTTCGTACAGTGGGCTCAAAACCAGGTCTTTGAGGTGCAAGGTCTGAAGTAGTGGATTTGTCGGAGCCAAATGGAGATGGAACAATATCTGGGGCTCGGTCTGTTTCTGCAAAGAAACCTCCCTCAATGTGGGGGAGTAGGTTGAGTGCTTTGACGACTTCTTGGATTTGTGGGGATGAGTCGGACTCTGTTGAAGGATTAAAGCTAGGCTTTAGAGTTTGATAATTCGAGGACATCCTGGAGAATTTTGGTCGCTTGAAGCAGAGTTGATTTTATTTTATTTGTTGGATGTTGAGAGTTTTCCATGGACGATGAAGGACTCTCATGAGAAACTGAGGGGTATCGTTCCCTCCTTCCGCGTAACACAACAAACGGTCACAATATGCGGTCAGAGAGTGGCGCACTTGAGCGCATAACTGAAAACCAACAACAATTGTTTCCTGGCACCGAATTCTCGAAGCGCCAACCAACACCACCTACCTAACGAAATAAAAGTTGGACCAAAGGAGCAAAGATTCGTCCATGATGACATGTACTCTGTATGCAGCTCGCCATTACTCCGTAGATAATTCCTATTCGATTTTTGGCATGCATGTCTGGAATATATGACGGATAATTGGCGGATGAATCTAACTGAAATTGTATAGATGGATCAACAAATAAACTATAATTATGCTGGTAGTTTTCTCCAGATGGAAATCATAATTTCGGATCTATAAGTATTGCTTCCTGAAATAACAAATTGACATTTCGCAACAAATAGAGTAAGGAAGTTCATCAGTATTAAGCTGATGTAAAATTAAACCAAAGAACTTGAAGGAAAAAAGGATTTATAACATCATGTTGTTATTTATTCATCAACGAGAGGAGTATGAGTAAATTATTTGAATAAATGAATGATTACATAATTTATGTGCAAGGCAATAAGGTTTTACGTTTACGGTATTGTACTTCCATGTTCACGCCGACCTTGGGGGATGAAGTTCTGACAAATTAGGAACCTCATCCAAAGCTCTGACTTTCTATGTTGGTGTATGGTATCTCTTTAATCTCTTTAATCTCTTTAATCTCTTTAATCTCTTTAATCTGTTTCTTCTCCTTTCTCCAATATTTTCTCTCTCTTCTGAAACTTTCCATACCTTCTAACTTCTTCATCCTCATCTCATCATCTCATCATCTCATCATCTCTACCCTTATTTGCCGACTCTCCACTTATCGTTGTTCCATCCACTTTGGTGACATTGTCTGGAAATCTAAATACACGGCCATACCGAACATAACCTGATCCGCTCCGCCATTTTCTTTTTCCTCTTCAACGATTTTACGACTGGAAACGATACTTACGAGTTCTTGTACATTCACCAGTATTTCTTTGTATAAAGCTGTAACTATACCGAAATAATTCACACTCAACTTGTCGACTTAACTTCATTGATCAACCAACTACTTCATTTTGTTTCCTTCACATCTCGAACTTATCGCAATACAACTTCTAATACTTACTTTCATTAAACAATCATGTCGGGAATTTTGAGCAAGCGACAGCTTGCGCGGAATGAAATGGCTCTTCAAGAACTTGTAAAATCTCCAGGGAATAATGTTTGTGCCGACTGCCAGGCAAGAAACCCAGGTAAGACTCAAGGCTCTATATTCAACAAACATGAACTGATCACCGATGTAGGATGGGCAAGTTGGAGTGTAAGTCCAAATCGATCGCCGGCGCACCATTCATTGAGCGGGGAGGACATGTGTTCTGACACTTACTAACAACGGCATAGTTAGGGATATTCTTGTGTATGCGTTGCGCGGCCCTACACCGAAAGCTGGGGACACATATCACAAAGGTTAAATCGCTGAGTATGGATTCATGGTCAAAAGATCAAGTAGAAGTAGGTCTGGAAAAAAAGGCATTCCAATATTGTTTCTAATGGTTTGATAGCATATGAAAAAGGTTGGAAATGTTGTGTCGAATAGAATTTACAATCCACAAAATACACGACCTCCAATCCCTATTGACGCTGATGAGGCAGATTCGGCCATGGAACGATTTATACGGCAGAAGTACAGCAATGGACCTCAAGTCCAAAGGCGGAATCACACAGGTAGTTCGAGTTCAGACGATCACCCTCCACCACTCCCGCCTAAGAATGGAGCGAAGTTTGGCTTTAGATCCGCTTCTTCAATATTCCCTCTTTCTTCGAAAGCAAAAAAAGACAATGAAGATGCGCGCGCAGAATTTAACGATTATAACCAACCGCCATCACCACCACCGAGAAACAATAAACATTCAAGGATATTTGGAACTTCTCTAGACGCAACGGATGACCTAGAATCGAAGATGGCGAAATTACGAGAATTAGGCTTTAGGGACGAGAAGAGAAATACAACAGTGCTCAAGGGCTTGAATGGAAATTTGGAGAAGTCCATTGAAACTCTAGTCCGATTGGGTGAAGGCGGATCTAGTGCAAGAACAGCATCCTCTATAAATTCTTCCGGGCCGCGAACGCCCGCTAGTCCGCCTGGTTTATCATTTGAGCGGCCTCAAGCAACCAGTCCCACAACGTCATCGGCCTCCAACAACCCATTCGATAGGCTTGATAATCCAGTCTTTCCTCATGTGCAATCTACACAGTCTACAGGTTCAATGGTACAAGCACAGCGTCAGATGATGGGAGGAAATCCATATCAGAACACTACGAGCACAAATCCATTCGGATTAATGCCATCTCAATCACAACTCAATTTGAATCAGTCATTCCAAAATATGTCGGTTTCTTCGCCACAGCCCCTTTTCCCTCACCACACAGGTGGGGTCCCTGGTCCTCAACCACCGGCAGTACAACAACTATACCAACAATCTATGGCGCCTCCTGTTCCTTCCCTACCGCAGCAGTACTATCAGCCCGTTGTATATGAAAACCAGGGCCGGCAATCTCAATCACAGCAAATCGATCGAAATAACATGAATACCAATCCATTCATGCAACAAGCACCACCGCCAGTCGTCAACACCAACCTCCAATCAAATCCTTTTATGCAACAAGCCGCAACGAATCAAACTTTGTTCGCAAGTCCGGTCGCTCAAACGCCTCAACAGCAATATCCATCTGGGAACTACAATATGGGAGGACAAAATCCTCCACCACAAATGAATCCATTCCTCAACCAAGCGAATATGCAACAGCAGCAGCAGCAACAGCAACAGCAGCAAGCATTGCAGCCACAATATGGGTACCAACAACAACCGCAATCTCAATACCAACAACCTCAGGTACAACCCCAAAGCTCTCAGTATGACCAATATCGGCAGCAAACCTACCCTATGATGCCACAGCCGACTGGGAGATTAGTAGACAAGCGCAGTATTTTGGATCTCTACAATTATCCTCAATTAGCGCCTACTCAAATTCAGCAGCAACAACAAGAGCCAGATCCCATCCAACAGCAGGCGCCTCAAGCCACGGATATGGCGCAGCCTAATGGACAAATGTCAAGCGGTAGTAACAACCCCTTCATGTCGAATGTAGCGGCAGCACCGAATGGGGGAACGAACACTAGCAATGGATCCGGGAGACAAATTAGTCGCGAGAGTATGATGATAGATGGTGGGGGTTGGCAAAATGGAAGACATAGTCCGGATGCATGGGGGCAAATTAGTGGGAGGCGATGAATAAAGACAAAATATCGTAAAAGAGAAAATAATAATTCTTGGCTTAGAAACAAGTTCACAAATGATGAGCGAGTACGAACACCGTAAGAACGTCGTCCCAACTTTTTTCCGAGACATCATATCATGCGGACTTTATCACTGTGATACTCCTGCATGTCAGCAAATACGGTGAAAGCATTAATCCTTCCGATACAACGTAAAGAGGCTAGGCGATTCCAGAAGACAGGTGGATGTAGGAGAGAAAGGATGTGGTTTGATTGAAAGCTTGGCTAGGGTAGATGAGCCACATGCCATAAGCCACCTTTCGTACTTCATAGAACCTGCAAGTACGCTAAGCGAGTGTTCATGTGACTTGATAAAACCTCACGGTCATTTCTATTTGCACTCCTTACGATTCCTTTTCCCCGCCTTTCCAACCCCGCAAAATGCAGCCACTCTGCTGTTCCTGGAAACTTGGTTTTCGATGGCTGCCAAGCGATAAGGACAAGGACGCCAACACACCAAAAAGGTAATCTTAGCAATTTCCTTCTCTCGTTCTCCATACTCTCCATGCAGGAGAAATAATCGGAAAAAAGCCAAGCAAGAATCAAGAAGCAGGAAGCGGGAAGCACGTCATCACCTGTATACTTTAAACATTCAATTGATCATCGTTGCTTCCGAGTAATGATATCTAGACCTTCATTCAACTTCTTCTCTGCTATAGATTTAGAATTGTCTCATTTAGTCTAAAGCTCAGATCTACAAATCTGAATTTTCAACATGGCACCTTCCATTCTTTGCCTCTTAGGAAGCATATGGCTATTCTCTTTAGCTGTACTTGCTGCCACCGACTTTTCCATCAGTGCCGGACTATCAACTTGGAATCAAAGTGATTGGTCCTTGACTACCACTACATTCATTCCAGGTCACTATCAATCGCGATTGTCACTTGCAAATGGGTACACTGGTGCTTCTCTTGCAGCAGCAGGTATGGCGGACCATTTTTGAATTTGGAATACATCATGCATAATATCAGTACTAATTCATAAATATTGAGCAGGTCCATTCTTTGAGAAAGATGTGAATCAAACAGATCCAAATGGTACATCGCCTTCCAATGGATGGCCATTGTTCAGTGATAGAATTTCGTTTGCCACTATTTCTGGATTTTACGACGTAGAATCTCCGCAAATACCCCCTCAAGGTACAAATTATCCTTGGTTAAATCAGTATGGCTGGGAATCTTTCATTAGTGGAATCCCACATCCCACCGCTATACTATTCTCCTTTGGATCTGATTTTCTAGATGCCACGGTTAGCAGTACCTCAATTACGAACTTTTCTTCCAAGATTTCATTTCAGACTGGTTTGGCAGAATGGGACTATACATGGTCGCCAGCTCAGAATTCTACTTTTAATGTCTCATATGCTGCATTTTTCAGTAGAGAAAGGCCTAATGTTGTGGCCGTGAAGGCTACTATCGTTTCCTCCGCCGACGTTGATGGGCAGGTTACAGATTTGCTGGACGGTCGGAGCGCCGTTCGGTCGACTCTATCATCCAAAGGATTAGATGATAATGGAACTACCATTTATTCGGCAGTGCACCCTAATAATCTTCCGGATATCACTGGATTTGTTATCTCCGGTGTCAACTTCTCAAACAGCTACACAAACTCTTCGTCGAGAACTAATGCCAGTGGAACCTACATAAGCTCTACAAACGATATAACTATCGGTCAATCTTTCGACATCAACTTAAAAGCTGGAGAAATTGCTAGCTTTTATAAATTTGTTGGAATTGCCTCAACAGACAAATTTTCGAACCCTGAAAGTGTAGCTCGAGAAGCTCAAAGGTCAGCACAAGATGCCGGATGGGATTACCTTTTAGCGGAACATGTTGCCGCTTGGGCCAAAATTTTGACACCAGATTCCGTGGATGACTTTACGGATCCAGTCACCGGGGAGTTACCAGAGGATCCCAATGTTCAAGCGCTTCATATCGCTTCAGTTGCAAACACCTACTATCTCCTCCAGAATCTACAACCCGAGGGCAGCGGGTTGAATGACAACAGTATTTCCGTCGGAGGACTATATTCTGATTCATATGCTGGATTAGTTTTCTGGGATGCTGATTATTGGATGGCACCTGGTCTCAATCTGGCATTTCCAGAATGGAGCAAGCAAATCAGCAATTTCCGCGTCAAGCAGCATAATCAATCCTTAGCGAATGCAGCATTCAACAACTATCCAAATGGAAGCTCACTTTACTCCTGGACAAGTGGGAGATATGGAAACTGTACCGGCACGGGTCCTTGTGTAGATTACCAATATCATCTCAATTATGATATTTCATTCAACTTAATACAGGAATACAACATCACAAACAACAAGACTTGGTTCAATAATGGACCTAGACAGATTATAGAGAGTACAGCCATTATGACAGAGCATTTACTAGAATTCAACGAAACGACACAAACATACTGGGTTCACAATATGACGGATCCAGATGAGTATGCCAACAACATAGACAATGGAGCATTTACGATGGCCTCGGCTGCAACTTTATTGGAATTAGTAAACAGTTTGAGAATTTCTGAGGGTTTGGAGGTCAATTCAACATGGCAACAGCAGCAACAGAATATCGAATTTCCATCTGCACCTTCTAATATCACGTTGGAGTATCAAACAATGAACAATAGTGCAGCGGTCAAACAAGCTGATGTCGTTTTGTTGAATTACCCCTTGGATTTCAATCAGAATTATACGGAGGCGGATAAACTTCTGGATTTAGATTATGTAAGTCTCCCTCATTTTATGAATATCCACTGAACTAACAAATCAAAGTATGCAAATAGACAATCACCCGATGGACCTGCCATGACTTATTCTATCTTCGCTGTTGGCGCAAACGCTTTGTCTCCATCCGGATGTTCCGCATATACATACACTCTAAATGGTTTCCTCCCATACCTTCGAGGACCATGGTATCAATTTTCTGAGCAAGTCATTGATAATGTTACACTGAATGGAGGCACAAATCCAGCATTCCCATTCTTGACTGGTCATGGAGGAGCTGACCAAATTGTACCATTCGGCTATCTGGGCATTCGAACAGATCAACCAAGTCTATTTCTCAACCCTTCACTTCCCCCTCAAATTTCCCACATCAAAGTTCGCACTTTCCACTATGCAGGGGCAACTCTTTCAGCAACCATGAATACCACACATACAAACGTTACCCGTTTTCCCTCCATAACTCTGAACGATCTCTACCAAAACACCACTCTCCCTTTCGTAGTCGGAATTCCAGGTCCCGACACCTCAAACACAACATCCTACAATATCGCTATAAACCAAACACTCACCATTCCAAACCGTCTCTACTTCCAAAACTTAACGATCAACAATAATCTCCTTCAATGTTTGCCCGTTACATCCAATGATACATTTTCGGCGGGTCAATTCCCCGTCGCAGCAATCGACGGCGCATCATCAACCTCCTGGCAACCCTCTACAAACGAATCTTCCTCCCTCCTCATAAACACCACTTCTATCCCTCCCTCGCCTGTCCGAAACATCTACTTTAACTGGGGCCTCCGACCACCTCTCCGCGCCTCCATCATCTTCGGCAACGAAACCACAGGCGAAGGACAAATTTATGGCAATGAATGGACCATTAATATTGAAGATATTTTCCCGAGTTTGCCTTATACAACGAGTGAGAGTAATGGTAATGTGACACAAACCCAAACTGCAAATACGGAAAATGTAGTTCCGGTTGTGGGGAATGAAACGAGATTGGTGGTTGATGGTGGCGCTTGGAGTGGGAATTTTGTTAGGTTGGTTGTGGAGGGATGTTGGGAGGAGGATAGAGTGGGAGCGACAGTGGGGGAGTTTGTTGTTATTGGTGATAGGGGAGTGTAGGTTAGTGGGTGAGATACTTTAATAAATAAATAAAATATGATTGATTTGAAGAAAAAATAATAATAATAATAAAAATTTGATTTATAGAAAATTATCTTATTTTATTTTATTTTTAGATTTTGAATTATAGAAATAAATTGAATCAGTTTGGGAAATAAAAAAGAGTTTAAATGAGTCAAAATAAAAAATAAATTAAAGTATAAATTAAAGAGTAAAAGAGATATATTGAAAAAGAGATATATATAAAAAGTGAGTGTTTTTATGTTAAAGATAAAACTCTCTATAGTTGTAGGATGGAAAAACTTTTAATTAAGTAACGAAATACTTAATAAAGATAAATTTTAGTAGATTTTGATGTTGACAGAATTTTGGTATTATTGTAAAGTGTGTATGCGGAAGAGAGAATACATATGTGGAAGTTAATCAATGCTCGGTCAGGCAACAAATCTAATACTCTATCTCAATCTATTGATATTTGATGTTTGATGGATGTGTTTAAAAGCAAGGCCAGTGTGGATTGGGATATTTCTCGATGTAGGATTATACATACAGATTTGTGTCTTATTCGTGCAAATAGAGGAAGTGAGTTTCATCCGTGAAATTTGATTGAAGAGATGTTGATCCCTCTTTGCCATACATAACATGACTACGTTAATCCATATTTATATGCCAGCTAGGTAGCCAATATGCAACAACTCCAGCTTTCAAAAATAATTGTAGTTTATCTGACTGAACTACCATCGACGTTCTAAGTGACACCTTTCTCAGGCTCAGGTCGAACCGGAATAATTTCGGAAGGTGTCTGATTAGAAGAAATATTGCTAGGCGATTTTTCCTCCTTTTCTTCGGGTTTTCTACCCCATACAACATATATCTTATGATAAGCGTGGATACTTCGATTCGGGATGGATTTCCGAACATTCACCAAATAGACCTATTTAGTATTTTCCATCAGCTAATAAACTAAAAATGTGGGAAATTTGAGTTTCGTAGAACTAACCTCAATCTGTTCTTGTTTCCAATCTAGGATTCGAGAAAATAAAGCCATACTGAAACTTGACAAACATGCAAGCCAATTCTCTTCAGACATCTGACCAAGCTTTTGCAGATGCTCGTCTTCAGACCAAGGATTAACCGGCAATTTGTAGATCTTTTCCTGTACGTCTACAAATCCTGCTGCTTCGTACCAAGTCTTGAGACTACTGGCAATATTCATTGATCTGCCGGCTTTTGTTGCAGCTTTGTCGACATATCCAACCCATTCCAAGAACGGCCAGTTATCCGGCATTGATTCATCGTCACAATAGGGAGTGAACATGATTTCCTGGCTCTCCATATAACCTCCGGGTTTCGTGTAATGAAAAGCTCTCTTGATGATGGCATCGAAGTCCTTAAAGCATCCTAACAACACCCGAGTATGAATATAGTCAAAATGATTAGGTGGCAAAATCCAATCGTCGTCGCTAGCGTCATCTATATAGAAATGGACATTTTCTGGGACTGATACTGGTTGGATTGGAGAGAGGTCAGTCGCCTGAACCTCGGCCTTTGGAAAGGCATCGCCCATTTGAATTGCCCATTGACCTGTCCCAGTACCGATATCGAGGATATAACGAGGATTGGACAAAGGTGCAAAGTAATTGCGGCCTGAGAAAGCAGATTTTAGCATATCGAATTGTGCTTCAAGCCTGTCTTGTTCATTGGCGTCATTTGGAAAATGATACGCTAGAAGGCCAATTAGTTATTGACAAGGAAAGCAAAATTGGATTATCAGTACTTCCTGGACGGTAGCCATGGTATGTTCTACCATTTTCTTCGGGAAAATCCACAACACTGCTTGTCAAAGACTTTGACGATGATCTAGGTATGAAGTAAGTTTTCCCGAAGCTGTTTTAACAAAGCGGTTGGAACTAACCTGTCATTTGACTCAGGAGTTACTGGTGATTGTGCCTCGGACTCACGGCGTAAATCTGCATCTAGACTTGCACCTGGGGACTTGCAACCGAGCTGTGCCTCAGTATTCTCTTCATGTTGTGGTTGAAGGGCAGTTGAGGGGCCAGTACATTCTTCAGATTCCTGACACTTAGACATATTCTTGCGTGACGAAAAGTTTAAATCATGAAAAATGCAAAAGGGAAGCACCCAAACCTTCGGGTTCGTAAATATATTTGGTACGTTAGTTTTTGCAGGAAGGAAAGTTGCGGATATTTTGTATGGCTGCCAGGTGCTTGATTCTCATGCAGCTAGGCACGATTACCGTAGCCGGGCGTGAGTTCGCATTGATGCTGCTGCTTGTAATTTCCCACACTTGATGTTCACAACCTTTCAGAATGATAGGCTAAAGCCAAGCCAATACAAAGAGTGCACCTTGAATCACCCACTCAGTTGCGACAATCATGTTATACATGTTTGTGGTTTAGGTCGATTGCATATATCTCATTCGCGAATCTAAATTCCGCCATAGTGGTCTGACATGAATGCCGGGGCATTCAATCCTTCGGAATCCGTATGTTGGGACGCGTTAGCCAGATGCATGGGAGCCCAGACTTCTGGTTGGTATTGTGTTTGCAGTGCATGCAGCTTGGCGTACGGGACTCGTGCCAGCTGCGGATAAATGCATTCAGCCTGGACCAACAAATTGTTGGAGCTGCGACATTTATGTAATGGACCACAACACTAGTAGGGAAATTGTCTGCACACTTAACCCCCTGAAATTTGCAATAATGACAGAAGTATATGCGTGATATCAAATGAGGAGGTACTCTCCAACGATGAGCACCCATTCTAATTGATGATCATGCAAGTATCCGCCTGAGTTCAACAGAGGTCCATTAATGAACCGAGTAGCCAGAATGGGAAGTCCCATCACCCGATGACATGGCAACGGAAACTGGATTGACATGCTTTCTGTCTTTCTAGTCATATACAAAGATTGTATAACCATTCGTGTCTGATTCCGACTCAGTCCAGGTCCCGACAAGACGTTAGTCGCGGGAGGGAATATCCTTTATGCATAGGAAAGGAAGGTTATCTCCGATTCATCTAGCTCTTTTCATCTACCGATGCATAACGGTAGTTTTTTCTTGTAATTCATTGTTGCTGAGGAGACTTGAGAATCGATGCAGGAGGATGGCACGCGCCTGAGTTTAGTCGTAGCACACCTAAAGCGACACACAGCACTTCTCAATTGAATTAAACTCAATACCAGTCTTTAGAGTCCTATCAAATTTCATTAGTTTTGTAGGAAGTGTTGTGCTCAAGAATATTATGCATGTTCCAAGTATATTTGTCGAATGGAAATATTACTTCAGGTTTCGTGATTTCGTAGCGCCACATGTGGCGGTGCACTCGGTGTGGTTACCAAAATTACTCCATCACGTACAAAAGACGGGTCACATCACCAGGGGTCTAACTTAAGATGGAAATTAATACACATCAAGGAAGGAGTTTGCGATCGATTGAACCATTACCAAAAGAATGAAAAAGCCGTAAGATTGCGTGTAATTATGTCTATATAAACTTCACGGCGTAGCTTCGATTCTTTAGTTGTGTAATGTGACACAGCTTTCACCACGAGATCCCACTTTTGTCCTCTACTACCTTTCATTGTTTGTGATTCTACTATGGCATTATCGGTTGCCTCATCCTACAAAAAGCTACGAATACTTCTTGATTCTACGACGAATGATGCTTTGCCCGCAGCGAATGCCATCGCACAAGCCACTGAGTCCCTTACTACAAACCTACCAGCGATAGGGCTCGGAGAAGAAGCTACGGCGGCACATCTTCTGTCTGATATAACCCTCGGCTTCAATGGTCCCAAAACTTCATCCAACTATTATGGATTTGTTACTGGTGGTGTCTTCCCAATCGCAGAAGTTGCTGACAATATTGTCACTGCTTTCGATCAAAATGTACAAGTGCATTTACCAGATCAAAGTATCAGCACAACTATCGAAGACAAGGCCCTGGGAATGCTTGCCGAGCTTTTGAATCTGGGTGAGGGCTGGGAAGGCAGAACTTTCACTACTGGAGCTACGGGATCAAATACCCTTGGATTGGCTTGTGGACGGGAAGCTGTGATTGGTCGACGACTCGAAAAGAAGGCAGAGAGTGGAGGAGTTGGAGAACTGGGGTTGCTTATGGCCTGTCATAAAGCTGGAATAACGGAAGTTCAGGTTCTGACTTCTATGGCTCATAGCTCTACATATAAAGCTGCCAGTATTGTTGGTCTTGGCCGAGGTTGTGTGAAGGATATTGGTAGCAATTCATCAGAACCATGGAAGATTGATCTGGATGTTTTGGAACACGAATTGGCTAGAGAGAAAGATGGAGTGGTTAGTATCGTGTCATTGAGTGCTGGAGAGGTCAATACTGGAAGGTTTGCAACGAATGGAAGGCACGAGATGGAAAAGGTTCGTGAACTTTGCGACCGGTATGGCGCCTGGCTACATGCTGATGGAGGTAGGTTAAGAAATTTTTGCTTTTGCTCGTGGCTAATACTTTGGCGTTACCAGCTTTCGGACTCTTTGCTCAAAGCCTTCCGGAAACTTCTGAGTTTGCCACTCTGAGGAGTGCATCGGCGGGTATTGAGTTGGCTGATTCTATCACGGGCGATTGTCATAAAATGCTCAATGTGGTATGCTATAGAAGTCTCAATGGCTTTTTTTATCCGTACTTACAATATCTGTTTAGCCTTATGATTGCGGTTTCTTCTTAAGCAGATCAGCAACAACTTTGTCATCCGTATTTCAAAACCCAAATGCAGCATACCTCTCATCTGGACCATCGACTATTCTATCACCTCTCAATATTGGCCTCGAGAATTCACGCCGATTCAGAGCTCTTCCAGTCTATGCCGTGTTATTGGCTTATGGGCGTGAGGGTTTAAGTGAGATGTTTGCTCGTCAAGTTAGATTAGCGAGGGGCATTTGTAAGTTCTTGGATGCACATGCGGCATACGAACTCCTCGCGAAAGGCAAGTTGCAGAATGAAAGTGTGATTGAGAACACGCACATCATTGCCATATTCCGAGCAAAGAACGACAGTATTAACGATGAACTGGTGAAAAGAATTAATGCTACCAGAAAGATGTATCTGTCGGGAACGAAATGGGAAGGGAAACCGGCGTGCAGAATTGCGGTCAGCACGTGGAAAGTAGATGTGGATCGGGATTTAAAACTCATCCAAGATATCTTAGAAGAAGTCCTCCGGGATTAACATTTCTACTTATTGAAAAGCCTTCCGTGTACTTGACCAAGCTCGTCCTGCATTATTATATGTCAACGGAGCCCCAATTCTACTGATGTGGCTGTATATGATGCCAATATCTGTCTGTAGTAAGCTCGCTCGTTAGAAAAATCTCCCTTCAGCAAACATTTAATACTCCCCGGTTCTGCGCGAAACACTATGAGGTAATCTTGCAAATGGTCTCTTATAACGCAGCTAGATAAGCAGTGTAGAACGTCAATCTATCCTCTTTCAGTGCTGGATAGGGTGAGATCAAACCCTTGTTTCTACTCACCTGCGCAACTTTTTCCAAAATCCTGTACATAACATGGCACGCTGGTTACCTAGATTTCAGCGCATGATTTCTATGGAGAATGAGAATTCAATTTGTTAAACCCTCAAGGTCTTTTCTTCTCGAGAAATCAGCATCCCTTCTTGTACCATCACCAGCGGTGCTCCTAAGTGGGATTCATGAATTTGAAGCCATGCTTCGTTGAGTGCGAAAACTGCGTCCACCACGAGTAGTCATTCAAGGATGAAGGTACAAAACTAGCATCTATACGCCATCATTTCGGGCCGCGAAAGCATTTTTGTAATGCATATTACATTGAGACGAGAAGGGTAGGAATCCGGGACGAGCCGTATCGGTAGTGTTTTGATCCAAAATAAAGTCTTGCCTGCTTTTACAGAGGAGTACACCATATCGGCAGATGACTTCCTCTACCCGAAAACAGTTATAACGTTTTGGGGATCTACTGTGGTTAAATTTTCGGAAGAAGCAAAATTTGCTTGGTATATCAAAAGGACCCCGAAATAAATTTTGACCGGGAAGCAAAGGTATGTTGGGGTTACAAATCAGTCGACCAACAACCATCAGATTGCCAGGTTGCAAAATACATTTCGACCCAGTAACCATATCTATGGCTTCATGTTCGATTCACCATCCCTACAAGAGTGACCAAAGTGATCGAACTTCAGACACGAGCTTGATTCTATCTTGGAGTGCTCTACCACAGTGATCATGTGTTAATATAATCCTCGAGATAGCTGGTAGTATTTTTCATAATAAACGTGTCTTCCCAGCAGAATGGGGCATAGGTAGTTCGGAGAATTCTGCTATGACGTTTGCCCGCCGTGCCTAAATGATTCGTAACCTCATCCTGATGAAGGTTAGTATTAAAATATTCCTCAGGAGTGAGGTGGCATTTGGTGGAAATGCTAGAATTTTAGACATCCAAACACAAGTAGCGCGATCAAGAACCATAAAGCGACAATGTGGATATCTATTTCAGTAAAATTTGGTTGAAGCGTATAACCCAGAAATTCCTGTTTTGGTTATATGTAATTATTGTGTTGTTAAATAGGATATTACCTACTCGAACCACAACAAAAACTTCAGTTTGAGTCGATGATTGAACTGACAACTTCAGAGAAGCAGTAAAGCCACTTAGGGGTGACTTTGTTCGGAATAATTCCAGCGACATCAAGCATCAAGCTGTTTGGTTGGTTGCTTCCATAATCTTCCTTGTTCAAAGTTACCGATGCAAGTCTTGGTAGAGCTTGCCAAAGCAGCAGTGAATAAAAGCTCTCAAAAATGGATATCTTTCATCGCTGCATCCATTGTCTGCTACTATTTAGCTTTCCGAGACGTGGCGCAATCGGGTAAATCTGATGTTATTGGTACGCGTATTGGGCTTGCATTTCCCTTTTCGTGTCCGCCGTCATCGGATGGTGAAAGCTCTCCTGCGAGTGATCTCCAGAAATCCGACCGTCGCAAAGGGCTGTGCTTTCTGCTTCCTGTCATTATTATCCACTTCTTGCAGAACTTTGACGATTTTTGTTGACCCGATTTCGCATAATAGCTGGATGCTTCTAAATCCTTCTTAGTTACTTGCCAATTTGTTTCCAGGCTATTCGTGGAGCAGACGCCACTGATTGTGGAAAGGCGCCTTTTCCTTTGTCTTGGGTTTCAGTACGTCTTGGCGATTTATAGGGAGCATGCTTGCTCAAGAATGATTCTAGCTTTGGTACATATCACAAGAAGCGGCAGGGTTGGCAACACAGGCGTTGTAAACCTATTCTTATTTGTTGGCGAAATACAAACAGCCGTTTCGTGCGGGGTTTTGGTGACTTGACAGTGACGCTCCTCCTCTAACATGCGGATCACGTATCAATCCCTCGCTCAGATTGGATTCGGACGCAGCATCAACTTGTATGTTGTTGTAGTTCAAAACATTATAAAAGCAGATGAGAGATCAGCTGCACATCGATGCTTCTGCGTGAGCGTTCTCCATCGTTCGAGTTCGATTGGAACATATGGCGCGTTTCTGTGGTTCATCGTTTTGAAGGATATTGAGTATCAAATTTGTATTAACTCCCAATCAATCGAAAATAAGTTTCTGGTAACTTCGTGAAGTTCTGTGGCTTTCAGAGGCCCGTGACATTCCGTGGGTAACGTGCAGTTGATGTAAGAATCTTTCAGGTTAGGCGGCCACATGCCGCTTTGCGGCCGCACTTACCGCCTATCTTTTGCTCAATAAAGTCCAGCTTCACGCGGCGCAAAACTTTTTACGGCTTCCTAAGTCACATCGAATCTATTATTCCATCTGGTCTACCTGGCTTATCTGGAGAAAACTCTCTTTGCTTCACTTCAACGGCCCACCATGACAGGCCTTCGAAACTTCCGAACATTAGCGGCAGGTTGTTGACGTTAAATGCCGGTCGAAGATACTGGCCTAACTACAGCGCCGTCGTATCAGATAGAACATCGACGCGACGTATTGATATGCTCAAATGTAACATTGATCTTATGCTTCACTTTCATCCCTCATTGGAATATCTAGAACAACTCTTACTTTGTTATTGTCTCCCCACCGATGCTTGTTGAGAAAGTTTTGGAATGTCTCACGAAGTGTCTATTGTACACTTCGGTGTTAAAAGAATACATGAGAGTATTCGTTGATCAACTCCAATATTCCATCTATGAGCTCTAGCTGGTCCATGAGTCAGTGAACAGAAGTGATGCTATTCCTGGCTGTGTATTTCTGCGGGCATTCGGCGTGTATATAAGAACCGAAGTTCGTCACTTGGAAAATACATATCCAGTTCCTTCCGAGCAACCATTTCTGGCATATCTTAACCTTTTTGTTGTTCTATTTTATACTTGAAACTTCTCACGAAGTATATTCATTACCATGTTTTTCATCATCTTTATTACAGTTTCACTAACATGGACACAAGTCGCCAACCTGTGCATCCACAGAACATCGAAGTTGGGTGTATATTGTTTCCTCCAAGAACAGGCCACATTGAAAATTTGAAATGCATGTGGGTGGATGTCTGTGGCCATCTGTGTTACGAACATGGAGGTTGCATTTTGATGCCAGAGGGGCACGATCATCCTGTGGTGATCATTGGGAAGCATTACGGGCTCGATAAAAAATAATCCAGACGGACTTATGCTATCGTTTGTTCAGGTAAGACACTTAAGAGTATTACCTGCTGTTCAACATCTGCTGATATGATATTGATTAGATGACTCAGTTCTCCACAGTTATCAACCTCAGGACATACGGTTCATTCCCCTTATGGACATTACGGGCGCATCCGAGCCACTGGGCGCCTAACCTTCCCCCAAAGTCTCCGTTCACGCTACTGGTTCCGGGAGCTTGAGTTTCTCCAACGCGGTCCAGGCAATTTTCGAATCCCTCATGTTTTTTATACTGAGCATAGTAACCTTAAGACCATGAACAAGGGTCTTGAGGCAAAAGCTTACGATTCACGTTTGGACGAAGGATCATATTTGAGGCTTATGCAACGATTGAATCTTGAGCCGAAACCCTATGTTCCTGATAACTACTGGGAAAATCCTGGACCTGCATCATCAAGTGACGGCTCAACCGATCAGGAGTAAACAACTTCCAACCACGATCTTAATAGAGCTCCTAGAGGCCAATCATCCAACCAACCGCGGGGCCCATCATATTGCGGATAATAGAAACCTGAGATACCCCATACAATTTGACCCAGTCGTTCCCACCCTCGATCCTGCACCTGCTAGTAAGAATTCCTTTCCTTCTCAGTCCTTCAGCATGCTTATGCTAACTTGAGCACTTGATAGGTCGGCATCGGGATACGAGTAACCTATCATTGGCTTCATTCGAGCCTACGAGGTAAGGATTACGATCAACTATGAAGCAACAGGTTTAATGTTAATATCTGACTTTTGCTAGTGAACATGACGAGCACCTGGACGAATCTTAAGATGAAATTGCGATGAGATAGATGGATTAAGTTCATACTAGGATTGTATGTTGCCATGATATTGGCGGAAGGTACCGTTACTCTAGACTGCGTTGCTTCTTGTTTTTTCTTTCTTTTTTGGTTGAACATTTTCGGTCCTTACTGCCTTCATAGCCTTATTAAGTTTAAATCTGTCGTTTCCAATTTCTTTTTTTTACGTGACTTTTAACAATTTCCCTACTTCAAATTGACACTATAGTCATAATCAGCCTCGTAAGACGGATTTGAGGCTTAGCATCGGGGAAGCAAATAATGTATTGCCGAGCACGTGCGAACCATGATAGTCCTTCAAGGCAAACCTCGTTCGTCTTACATTCTTTACTCTTTTCCCAACCAATCGCGAATCTCAATGGAGTTTATTACGACCAAACTCTATATTCAGGATGGCTTACGGTCTAAAGTCATACCGGATTTGCAAATGATTATATGGTTGATTGGGTGGTGTATTGTACGCAATTGTTTTAGAGCCTCAGAACACAGATCACCCCTCTTTTTCTTCTCTGTACTTCCTTTTACTTTCTGTTTCTTTACTTCTTCCCAAGCTTTCTTTCCATAATGGGGGATAAACATATTCATCTCTTCTCCTCTCAGATCTTCTTCCTTTAATATCAAAGAAATTTGGATTTGAATATCATATGAGTATGTGATATTTTTTATCAAATTGTTACGGTATAAAAAGACACCAAAAATTTACACGACAAGTTTAGTAGCATACAAATTGAGGAACTCGGTAGGAGAATTTTACGCGCAAGCTCCAGAACAATACGCATGGAGGGATGAACGTACGGATAGATGCAGACCAGGCTTTCAGTTATGTATCACAACTTCTCCCCAAACTTTCTGGTCATGATAAGAATCAAAGTTTTAAATGTTAACTAAACGTCCTTGATTGTTTTACTTTAAACTGGACAATTTTCCCCGATGTTTGTACGACATATCCCACATCATTTGTGAATCTAACGATCCGCTTTTGAGAGATTATCCCAAGGAAAGAACATACAAGCCTTGCACTTTTGGGGAATGTGGCTTTTTTGAACAGCCATCCACACGATTACAACACACCTGGACTATCATGACATTCCCTCACGGATTGAAGGGGCGTTCTCTGGACATTGTTCTAAAAATTATCCATTGGTCGTACAGGTAAAGTGATCGAAATCTTCTATGCCCAGCCGTAGGGCTATCCTCAACTACCCATAAAGCCCCTGGGTTTAGTTAAAATCACTATCCAATGAGTGCGAAGCTTCCGACCCCGCACCTTCACCACAGCTCGCAATGGAGGATAAAGCTATTCACATAATTATATCACATCAACTAAAAGAGAAAAATATATTTTTGTTATTGACAAGATGTTGATTTGATATAAAATAAAATGAACTGAAAATTACCGATCCTAATCACGAGAGGTTTGAAGATCGAGGTTAAAATTGGACAAAAGCACCTTCAAAAGCAGATGTAAAGCAATCGGCGGCAAAATGTGGAGATGAAAATGAAGTATTTTACAACAATCCTTTCAATTAATTAAACTCAAATCACGATGCAAGAGTACAGTTGATATTTCCCATTTATAAAATTTTCTCCAATGGATATATGCTAAACACGGCTGTCTATTCCTTTTGAAAGCCATCATGCGCCTTCGTCTTGGGACAAAGTCCTGCAGCAGAATCATAGTCCTGTATGATGCCCCTATTCCTTGATCACTCTTTGCCAATCAATCCTTCTCTATAATCTTTTGTCAGAATCCTCTTGTCAGAATTACTAAATGCGGGCGTTACTTTAGTACGTACTCCGAACGGACCCCAAACTCCTGTATATCAAACCCTAGACATCTACTTTCAGCCCCCATAATCGGCGCCAAAGTGCTGAATAGATTTCTTAATACGGCACGCAATATACGGATTAGCAATATTTGGGGTCCGGAGGATTCGCAACAGTTTCAGTAAGATGGGGGCTGGTTATGAAGCTTGAGAATATATCTGTTAGAACCTGCTCCAGACTGTGAATGTTAAAACTTCTGGTACCTTTTCAATTTTTTGTTGTTATTATTCAAAAGTTTAAGCGCACGCGTGCTGTATCCTGAACAGAGCCTTACGGACCTTCCTCTAATGCAGACGGACTTTCGACAATGGAAAGTCTTTTCTATTCCTTTCCTGAGGACAACCCTTGCAAGATGAATATGATTGCAGACTGTTAAGCTCGTCGCATCATCTGCTCTTCTTCTTCTTCATTACACAAGCTCAATACTGCTTGATGACGAACCCCAGCGAATTTATCCGACACCGAGTATCGTTCATGATGTACTTGCAGTATTCCTTCGATAGTTTTGTTGCCTAGTATGCTCGAGCTCCCAATCATCCATTTAATTCCGATGAGGCGAGGAAAGGCAAACAATAATTGCGGGTAAGATCAATATCCAGTTCATCAAGATCAATAACTAAGTACCTCAAGCACTTTACTTCTTTTCTATTGGACTCTGTCCCCCGAATAATAAGTCCTTCAACGAGTGTCACTGCCACCAAAGATTACAAATCAACGTTCATGTCGAAAGACTATGCAAGTAGCCACGAACTATTGAATCGCCGCATCTGTTTCTTGTCCTGTGAAGCTACTGCAAGCTGTAGTACGGATCGCAAATTATTCCTCCCAGTGCAACAAATGGTTATCTTTCCTTTGCCAATCATGCTGTTTTTGGTACATAAAATGATATTGCGCATAGGGATGGCATTGCATAATAGTACATGGTTGTTGGAATACAAAAGGCCCAAGTAATCTCACCGGTTGAGATTGCATTTAGCTTTGCTCTTGCTTAAAATCATTGGAAGTCTTCCGTCTTAGCTTGAATCATAAAAGTTTTGTTCTCCACCTTCACTACGGGGTTGATGATCTCTCATCTCATACCTGAAAAAGATACTGTCTCTATTTAATGCAATCCTGAACATTGATACCAAACCCTCCATGATACCAAGAAAATTTGCAAGTTTCCGCTTCTTATTTTCAAACAATATTATGGTTTTCCTTGACCTAGTCACAAACTCTGTTACTAACACTACTCCAGAGTGTTTGAACTCATTAAAAATATCCTTAGTCTCTTACCTCATACCTAAGAACAGTAAAGTCTTCGCTAAAGAGCAAGGCTTTTGATATTGGGACTGAAAAGCTCATGCACCTTCACGTCTTTAATCGCCGTTTTTGCCTTCATTGGGTCAAGATAGAAAGTATCGAAAAGTCTGATCATTCGTTACTGTGCTGTCAATTTTCCAAACAGAAAGCTAAAATAAACAAAAAGAAGAAATCGACTATTTTTGGAATGCCTTATAAACCATTCTGCTTCTCACATAGACGCAATAGCAGTGAGATAGAACCTATTGAATTACCGCATCCTTCTACAGATCCTCTCAAAAGTGTTAGTGCAATGGACTACTTCAAATCAACAGAGAATTTGCGAGATTCCATCAAGAATGGAAGTGAGATGGAACACTTCCATCCACAAAACTTCTTTCGAGATTCAATTAAGAATGGCAGTATGAAAGAATGTGTCGCATCACAGCAAATCCTATCGTCATCTAAAAATGGGGACACACCTACCAGTTTTGCCAGCTTTCCGGAGAAAACAAGAGATCTTCGTTTGCCCAAGCTTTCGGTAAATGCTACCTTTCAAGAGCTTCCAGGTAGCAATGCCGATCTGTTCATCTCAACTGCTGATCCCGGGTTCCCCAACGGTTTGGATTCGTCATCGCCTAGTCCAGGAGCCACACTTTCTCCGTGGTCACCATTCAAACGGATTTTCGCCCTACTTGACATATCAGAAAGTTTAGCAGAAGCTGACTCAACGTCCATCAAAGAGCTTCCATGTCATTACAGTGGAGGAATTGGCCCTAGAATTTCACAGCATCTGGGACCGCGAGAGGCCACTTTTGATACTGATCATCACTCATCTAAGTTCTTCAACTTGGACAGCGCTATGGACTCTAGACTTGCTGACACAAGACCCAATGAACAGCATGGGATGGAACCACTGTTTTGTTTGCCTTTCTCACCCAAGCCTTCCTATAGTCAACCTTCCAATTTACGTCAGTCATTGTGTCCTGCAATCAATACGGATATACAACAATTCAGAGATCTTTCGAATTCCTTTAAACATCGAGAGCTCCAATTCACAATAACCCCTCAGCTTTCATCGCCAGATACTGCCACCACAAACACTAGTGGTGATTCCTTTCCATCCGATTCGGGTTACGATTCTGCAGCTCCTGACCCCTGTTATACTTCTACGACCGGCCCAGGAAGTTTCTATATAGAGGATGAAGAGTCAGAATTCGATGACAAATATTTTGCCGGAGCTAGGCACTTAGTGGACGTTTCAGAATTTCACTATGCCGGGTACTTAGACCGAAGTTCCTGTCTACAGCCAACGCCAATAAATGATCCAATGCAGAAGGACCTCTTAGATACTTCAAGTGCTCGTCATGCAGTTTTCTGCTCGTGTCAAGCCCAAGGCATACAAGCTTTATGTTTCCTTGAGCATGGGGAGAGTGGATTTGAGGCCACTGAAGTTCGGGTTGATAGCAGCTGCGCGGATGCACGTATGGCTCAATCTATGACAGATGTGGATATTGATTCTCTGTGCAACAGTCTTTATACCGGAGATGAACCCGAAATTTTGCCACCAGCACCATTGAGAGAAAGTATACCTTGGGACATTATCATACCCAAAGCCGACGCACTTGCGAAAGGCGGCGCTGCTATATTTACTTCGGTCCAGGACACTGAGATTGAAAACCATTTTGATTTTTCCTTATATTGTGAAGAATACTACGCATCTGCGCCTCCTTGGTCCGCAGAAAATATACGGTGATAATTTTCGTCACTTCTTTGAGAACCTAAATTCTGACTTGTTTTGTAGTGGATTTGATTGGAATGTTGATTTTAGCTCTTTACCTGACTCCCAATTGCAAATGGAAGAAGGAGCAAAAACACCTGTCCACGATACTCCGTCCCCAAAATCCGAAAGCAAATCATTGAAATGTGACCAAGAAGGCTGTACTTATGAGCCGAGCGGGCAGTATCAATGGAGAAAGGGCAACTTGGCACGCCATAAAAAAGAAACGCATAATATGAAATCCGAGAATCGACTTATCTGTGATATAAAGGACTGCAAAGAAACATTCACAAGAATATCAAATCTTAATGTGCACCTAGAGAACAAACATGGCGTCTTAATCGTTAGGAAAACAAGGAATAGAAGAAGTTCAGTGGCGGGAATTATCAACAAGCCGAAGGCTGGTAGGAGGATTACAAAAGCTCCAAAAACGGTCGCCTTGACAAATATCCCTGAATGCAATCGATCACAATCAGTCCCTGGAATATTTGGACCACTTTGAAGCTTGGAACTTGAAGGTGTTTATTAGCGGGCTATTTTAACTTTCCACTTTCCTTGAATGAGAATTGTTCGATGTTTCCTTCGACTTATCATGAAAGATTTTACGGTATTTAAGTTGCAGGAGAGCTGGTTCTCCTATTTTTCTAACCAATGATTCACCATTCGGAGAAAGGTCCATGTATCTGATGGGAGTTTATTCTGATATTGGCTGGATGGATCAGTGTTGGGCTGAATATTTCTTTCATTCTTCTTTAGGGGCTGTTCAGCAGTGAGGACGTCTTTCTCTTCTATTTTATCATTTAATAGCATTGATTTTTCCCTTCTTTTTATAATCTATCGGGGCTGGTTTTCAATCGGTGCATAGTTTATTAATAAAATACTTTTCCTAATGACTTAGGTATGCTTTGATCATTGTGACATTGGCCAGTATTTATTTACCATTCGCTCGAATGATGCGTTTCAAGTGATTGAAAATTCTGACTAGACTCTCCTCATCTTCGATTTCAAGCAGATGTTGATACTCACATCTAAGGTTAAGGGACATTCGCATGTTATGTGTACATTCACCGCGAACCCAGGATAGACCGCATTTTCGTTCCTCTAGCAAGAAGAACAAAATGGTATTTACGGCTACGATTAAACCCGTCTTCAGGCTCGGATTGCTATGTTTTCCTAATATCTTTTATCGAGGAAATAACCAGGAACTAATGACAAGGAGCAGCTCGAAGCTTTTTTTTTTTCGTTTAACAGTATGGACATTTCGTACCCAGTGCTACCCGTGTCTGCAATTTGAGCACCTTAATTCTACGCATTATAGTATAATATGAAAGGAATAGTTTGAAGTTTGAGAGATGGGACTAGAAAATTCAGGATTTGTGTCAAAGGGGTTATGCGTACATTCCAAGGCTCGAGAGTGAAGGACGCCAAGATCTAGTGGTGCAGTTGTTTTGACCCTCGTTAAATCATGAGGCTTACATCAGTTATTCCTACCAAAGAATAAAAGAACAATACCCACATCTGGTGTTGCTTTAAAAGCAGTTCAATTTAGTAAGAAAAGTCCTGCGTATTCAAGTCCTGTGTATTCCTTTCCGTAGTCGTTTGTCCTGCACGATCTATGTTTAGCTTGAATATACTCCCAGACTAGCGGTGCTGCGCACATGCACAAGAGAGAAAATCCTCCCGAATAGCCCAAGCATCATATGAAGTAAAACTTATCTAAGAATCCGCTTATATTCTCCTCGGTATGACCATTATTCCAGCCACCAACTCACATCTTGAATTATCCCTCCATTAAAACAACATATTCAAGCCCTAACAGCAATAGTTGGGGGCTTGTATTACCACAATAGATTCAGGACTTTGGGGGCAATTATTCTTGAACATGCATGAATTAAGCTATATTGTCCACCTTTTCCCCCACTACAGCATATTAAGAGGAAAAACACTTCAAAAAAATTATGGCTCTCCCTTTTCCAATCCAGCGACCTGGGATACCGAAATTAATCTCCGATCAATCAATTCACAAATCATTGTTCCAATCATCTCATCCCAAGTAACCATGAAATTAACCCAACACTCAAACATAACACCAAATAAACAAGGCCCACAACACAAACCAAACTATCTCCTCCCAGCCGCATCCCACCCTCTCTCCCATTCCGCAAGCCCCGTATCGCGTCTCGTTTCCAAACTTTGAGGTACCCTCTCAAAGTTCTGATCATCTCTCAAATACACATTCACATTATTTCTCCCAGGAGTGGGCAAACTCTGGAGTGATTGCCGCGTAAGCTGCGTAGGCTGCACGTATTGGTGTTGTGTTTGGGTTTGTTGCTGCTGGTATTGCGGAGCCCATGTTGTTGCTCTGTTTTGATAAGTGGTTTGCTCATGTTGATTAGTGTGGTAGGAGGGATTTTGGTAGGTTAGTTGTTGATTTCCGGGATGTGTGGAATGAAATTGCGTGTGTGGGTTCTGTTGGTATGTTTGTCCTTGCAATTGGTGGGTGGAGTTTTGATACTGGTATTGTGGGTGGTAGCCTTGTGATTGCTGGTATTGATTGTATTGAGGCTGTTGACCAGTGCTATAATGGTTGGGCCTAGGGTGTTTGGTGAGTTATGAACATTTATGTTTGAGGACCTTTTGCTTACTGGTATGCAGAATTATTCCTCGACATTTTAGATTTGATATTGCGGAATTTAATCGTTATCAGCTTAAGGGGAAGCTCTTAATCCTAAATCTTTCGAGTTGGTTGCAAGGGAATTGATTGTTTGTTGAATGAGAGTAAGAGAATATTGCCGGCATTGATTTGGTCTTTATACCTCTTTCGTTACTTTACTTCCATTCAATTCTTCCTTTAGTAAAATGCTGTACACTTTTTCATCAATCAACTTCTACAAGCAGAACAAGATTCCAAGATTTTCGCCTTGCCATCATGCCATGGCGATTCCTGTGCGATATCATGAGCGCTATCTAGTTGGCTCGCTTAATTCAGGAGGCCGGCAATAATGCGTTTCACCACCTCTAATTTCAATCGCGTCCAAAAATGTTTCCGTAGCAGGTGTTGCCCATATCAAGTGAAGAGAATTTCACGAACCAAATGCAGGTTCAATAAAAGTCCTTTCGTCACATAAAGCCAATATCATTATCCTGAGCCGAAATTTCAAAATAAGGACTTTGGCCATCGCATCCGAAATGTATTGATTGGCATCCATAGCCGATTTCCTTCAGAACAGTCCTTTACTAATTTATAGCAGGACTCGCAGGACTTGTCCCGATATCCTGGCTATCGTTCCGTTCATGCAAAGGACTTAATTTATGCTAATGTGAGCCTGATGGCAGGAACTACTGCCAAGAAACTCACGGGATCATGTACAAACTAATGCGAGGACCAGATATTGAGACGGAATTGAACTGAGGAGAATGAAGAGATCAGGAATAATATCTGAAATATTAAGGAATCGGGAAGAGAAAAGCAGAGGCGATTATGATAGAGTAGGCTCCTAGTCGTTAATCAGTCAATCCCGATCTATCCAACAATCTGAAGTATGTCAAAAGAGTGAACATTAGTTAATCCATTATAAATATAAACCATACTAGCTAATACCCACCCATCCGAAGTTCGGCATAAATGCTATCCTATTTTTCTTCGGAAAACAATACATCTTCAATCCCGAGATCTCCAGTTATCCAAAAATCATTTGATATTTATTATTCGTTAGATAACGCAGAATCCTAGAATGCCGCCTAGACTAACTCAAATCAAGCCAAATAGTCCTGTCCTCCTACTGATCAATAGTTATGTAGTTCCTTTCCGGTGATGGGATCCGTATACGGTGTGATTCCTGTAATTACCCACCCAATATTGAGACGCGCCACTTTTCTTTTTTACATTTATTGGAGTAATATAGAGTGGAGTATTGAATTCTATATCACTGGTATCATCGAATTTTGTATCAAATGTCATTGTATCACTAGCAATATACAAAAGTACTAGAATTCGATAAACTCTTTTCCAAAATAGCAATAATGAAGCTATATTCGTCCCGTCCGACAAATTTCAATAGAATATATAGAATTCTAGTATATAACAGCCTAAAGGTACAAAGACAATGGATTAAACAAATACATCCAAAAAACACTACACAGATAAAATTTAAATGAAAACGAACTCCACCTAATATTACAAAATTCATGAATTCCCATTCCCAAAGTCTGTCACATCTTATACCTGTATCCTACTCGAGTATAGATCGAAAAATTATCTACGGCGAAGAATGATATAGGTTCCCGGCTATAATGCAAGAATTCAACTTACTGGGGGAAAAACTGAAAAAGGGTGGAAGAGAGTCTCACCGGGGTTGTGAGTAGGATAATCATGGAGCCGACATGCGCAATAGTGTACACTGGACTGGCAGAGTAGAGGTGAAGCTAAAAGCCCTGAATCTTCAAGTTCAATGCAGTGATTTAAAATTGATTTAATTATTCCAAAAATATTCAAGAATTAAAACCTCTCATTATATATCAGACTATGGTTCTGATCATCCGAGACGCCCCATGGGACGTCTAGCTAGTGTACAAAGCTCTATCTTTATTTTTTCTCTCTCAAATATTATGTACCTGCAGCGAGTATTCGCAAGATCACCAAGCCTAAACCTCATGGCTTAACAAAGCAGTAGATATCCCACAAGTCTTTATCAAAAACGCCAAGCTCACAAAATGGTATAGTAATACAGATCTGTACCACGAATTATATGCAACCGTATTATCTTTTCTCAACATAATAAACGCTTTGTGTCTCCAGAAACCCTTGATGCCTCAATAGGGAGGCATACCAGCATTCCCCTTTTCATCCCCACCAATTTCAATACCACTAAGCAAGTCCTGAAGATCTACCACCTTTCCATTTTCCTCGTCCCATGGCATACTTTGATATCCACCTGCTCTACTCTTTGTATTTCTTTTCGTACCTCGACCGGTTTCTGGAGAATGATTTTGCGCTTGATCGTGAATGGAGACGTTTTCACCCACAAGCGAAGATGGAAGTGGTGGAACAGGGGGTACCGTAGAACCATCCTGTGCTACATCTGTGGGGTTGGCAGAAAAAGGTCGATCCATATAACTTGGAACTCTGTCTCGTGACTTCGATCTCGATCGGCCGGCTGAACGCATAGAAGCTGATCGTTCTACACCGGATGCATTCTGCTGATTGTATGTGTTGATAGATATATCTGAAGCTGAGAAGTCATAACTAACCATGCTCTCACTACTCGCATCACTCTGCGGTGCGCCTGCCCTAGTACCTGGTGCAGTTGCTGTCTGACCAGAGAGAACTCGCTTCAATTGATCAACCCTCATTACCGATCCACGGCTTGATTCACTAGCAGGAGCATTCGAATTTCCGCTACCTTTTCGTACTTTCTGCATTGCGCCAATGCCACCGGCTGTTCCGTAAGAAGAATTTGGTCCACTTTTGTAGTTCTGACCGCCGATAGGCGATGCTGTTCCGCTGTTGCTACCATTATTCAGCCCATTAATGGTAAGGAAATTGCGATGGCCAGTGGTCATCGTGCCTGCGCGTGATCCGCTGATTGAGACAGTCTTGCTAATTTCCTGCGCAACGGCAATCACTGACTCCTTGTTCCATTCTGCCATCATCTCTTCCTTAATTCTTTCCGGTATGATGGTATCTCGCGTGGAGGAAGGGATATCTACACTTAGTATCGGATGGGTAAAGCTTCGACCTGGAGAAGTTGGAGGGCTACTTGGAGGAGAGTTTAGAGATGCCGCATACGACAACGAGATGAGTTTGACCATTTGGAAGCGATCATCGAATGTTGATAAGGCATCTGCTCCAGCATAATTGGGAGCTTGTCTTTGTTGGGGTGTAGTACTACCTGGCGTACCAATATCATGAAGCTGAATGGGAGGGAATCGAATGCTATCAGGCCAAAACATGGCTTTTTGGCGTTGACGAATCTCATCTTGAATTGTTTTGCCGACAGGTGACATTTCGATTTCGAATTTTTCGCACAACGTCCAGAAATACCCATGACATAAACTTCCAACACGGACTTTGTGAATTGGTAGCTCAAATGACTGTATGTCCTCTTGTAATCGGAACATCATTGGCAACCCACTTCTGACTGCGTTCACTCCCAAACTCTTGACAAGATTTGTGAGAAGAAGATGTAGCAGGACTATGTCATTCTCGTTATCGACGTATTGCAAAACATTTTCGTAAATGGCAAGATGCAGAAGCTGTAGAAATGTTGTCCGTGATGATCTATAAGGTTTCTCTGTTTTTGACGCATTTGACACTGCCCTCTTCGTGAGGTCTGTAGATGATTCGTCACGTGCACTCTTTGTCATTCCCTTCGACTTCTCATCGAAAACTTGTTGATCAGCCTTGGTGACTTCTCTATCAAGCCATGTCAATAGAGCATCAGCGTACGCTTTCCTTACGCGCCCGTCCACGTCACGCAACAACCATTGCGTGCCCTCCCAAGTCTTGACTGGAACTTTGTTTCTTCCCAAATTCCCCGCAGTCATCGTTTTGTGGCTTGCTATAAGTAAGATTGACTTTATGGATTGAAGCGCCGTGATCTTGGCGGTAGCAAACGAGAAAAATCCATCAGTATTTGGGTCCTCGGTCATATTAGTGCCAGATAAGAGAGCCTCTGTTGCAGATTTGGGGTCCTCAATAGCTGCAGCAGTGCTTGGAACAGGTGATAATGGCGAAGGCTTCAAGCGTGACAGGATTGCAGAAACCATGTCTGATATTTGATCGGCATAGTAAACGTGAGTGGCCAAATCTCCTAGACAATGCTGCAGCCGAGCCAAAAGGTCTCTTCTAGTGTCTGTTGGAACTAAGGCACTTTCAGAGGCGATTGGGGCATTCAAATTACCGACATCGTTCTTTTCATCTGCTCCATTATCTGGCTGAAGATGAGGTCCACCAACGTTTCCAAGTTGGAGAATTATCAATATGTGCTGTATCAATCCCAGCAAGACATCCATTACACTTAATCCTATCAAATTAATATCGGATTTCAGTAAGGAGTCTACCATTGTTGCAAGGACAAGCTGTTGCATGAGAGTTGCCTCAACTTGGTCAGCTCGTACCAAGCTATCCATGGCCGTCACCAAAATGACATATCGGTCCTGGACAGGGGTCCATCTGGCAATCATTTCGAAGATACGAGGTGCCCATCCCTTGCAATTCTCGTTCGGACCAGGCTCAATAACAGATTCTCGTTGAGCAACTCGATCCGCAACAAACTTCAAAACTGCAGCTGCAGCTCCATGAATTTGAGCTCGGTTATTGACAACAAATATCTGTTTCAAACATTGGGTAGCCAAAACACCAATGTTCTCCTCTGCCAATTTATCCGCATCAGCAGTGGTTCCGGATAAAGCGGTAGCATTCTCCCCTGCAGTGTCAGACGTTCCTGCCGTTGCGTTGCTTGCCCTTCTCTTCGACAATGATTTTTCCGTCCCCATATGCTCTCCCATTTCAGCTCGTTGTTGTAGCACGTCAATGGAGTCAGCATTGTCTGCCCAAATATTCTCCAGTAGTATCGGTACAATCACGTCCAACTGTCTCCCTGCCACTGTAGCTAAAGCTTCAGAAGATGCCACGCTCTTGACTGCTTGTAACCCAAGGCTCCTCCATTTTTTGGCGACTGGTGCACTTTGAGCGTTACTACTTGTTTGTGCCCTCGTAGAAGCGAACGACGCGTAGATTTGCACAATCTCCTCGTACTGATGTAGGTATTCTTGGTCCGCGGAAAGACTTGCCATATCATGATTTTCACAAAAGACCTGGAAAGTAGGTATTGAGGACTCCACCATGGTAACATCTCGCGCACGAAGTATGATATTGAAGATTTTCAGAACATAAGGTGCATAAAGAGGTAAGTCTCGGGGGGCTTTTTCGATCAAAGCTGACAGTATTTGGAGGGTAACCTGGACATCTCTGTCTCCAATCAGCATGTTTCACAGCATAACATTTAATTCATCAACGAACCCTATTTTAGCTCTCCAAACATCACTTGCAGTCTTCTTCTCCAGGAACTCCCCAACCTTCTGCACCTTACTCCTTCGCGTCGTTGCATAGAACAAAAGATAGCTCAGTTCACTCGAATTCGGCTTCACATCAACTGCCCCTTTTGCCGTTTTGGGGTAGCATTTTAGTATGAGAACCTGATGCTTGGGACGGCATTTCTGCCGTATGGCATGCATTGGATTCACGGCGCGAAGAAGTCAAATTAGAATCTCGGAGATCTGTTCAAGTTCGCACAATCGTAGTGATTTGATAAGTGGTTAATTGAGTGTTTCGTCCGAGTGAAGTGTGTCTAGAAACCAAGTCTCAAAGATGGAGTACGAGCAACTGTTATCACAAACACGTCGTCAGCTGAAATAGATTAATATTGAAATAGTTTGGGCCCTGCTGACCGGAAACTTCCAGATGTTGTGAGTTTGAAATTGCCAGGCACCAAAATAGGTTAAACAAGATTCCGGAAAACGGAGCTCAAAACCTCCGAGGTGATGTAAACAAGGCTGAAATGAGTAGCTGGATTAGCGAGGCTATGATTAGCTACGAGTGGTAGATAATGAGAGACTATTGAAGAATAGGGTTGCTCTAAAAGTTAAAAAGACTTAGATTGGTGAGGATATAAAAGCATCTGTCATGTTGTTTTGCTAAACTTACTAAGGATGCGCGACAACTTTGTTGTCAAACAATCGGTCAGCTAGATGATCCACAGTCACATGTCAACGCACTGTCGTCGCAGACAGCTCTATGTGTATTAAGTTGTGCATTGGATGTTCCAGCAAGCGTTTTTGATATATTTAGTTATTTAAAAGTTTCTATATTAATAAGTAAGAAATGTGATTCCAGTATCCAATACAGAATCCAGAATGTCTAACGCCTCCTCGAAATATCTGTAGGTTTGCCCTAGGTTTGCCTCAAGAGCCAAACCTACGAAGATGGTATGGTAAATGAAACCTAAAAAGTCTAATAAAATACAACTTGCCAAATCCTTCTACCCCGTTCTTTGCCCTCACCTTATCCCAGCGATGATACTTACAGGCAAGATTCACCAGTATCTCTCCATCGTAGCCGAAATCCTCTTACAACTTGGCTTTCTCCGAGTCATCCTGCTTGAGTCTCACAACGCCCTATACAATTCGTTAGCAACATGCCAACCGTTAGTCCAAAAAAGACAATATACCTCTTGAAAACAAGTAGCAATCAATGTGCCATCCTGAGCAAACAGATGTTGTGTGACCACCCCTCTCCCTTCCCCAGACCATGGACTGGACATCTCGGCAAACATCCACTCATCCGCCCTAAACCTCCTGGGCTCATGGAAATATATTGTGTGGTCTAAACTAACTACCATCCCAATCTCCGGTCTCTTCTTATCGTTGTTCAAATCATCTCCGAATCCTTCTGCTTCTTTCAGTTTCTTCACGTACTTATCCTTCTCGGTCTCCTCCGGGTTGTCACCTTCCTTCCTCTTTACTTCGTCACCAAATCTCCAGAGCTTATGTATTCTACCAACAGTGCCAATGAAATAGCTGTCACTCATATAAGCCAAGGCATTCAAATGCGCCTGATGTCCACCTTCCTCACTAATCCTTCCCCTCGCCTTGATCCACTGCCTCATTTTCTGCTCATGCGGCTTCCCAGACTCGGCATTCAATACCTCAAGCCTCTGACTGATAAACGGACTATCAATATTCATCTCCATTTGGAACAATTCGTCATCCTCCTTGGGTGGTCTAATATTCTTTGGAATTGGAACCGCATGGTTAACCTTCTGTTTGCCTCCGCTGTCCTCCCTCACGAAAGACATTGTGGTCGTGAATATACATTGCCCCTTTTGACGTGCTTGCACTGTGCGGGTAGCGAACGAACGACCTTCGCGGACATGTTCAACGTAGTACATGACTGGTAAACTAGAGTTGCCAGCTAGGACGAAATAACAGTGCATGCTGTGTACGGTAAAGTTACGCGGGACAGTGCATTGTGCCGCTGCAAGACATTGTGCGATGATTGCTCCTCCGTATACACCTCGTGCATTAGGAGGAAGCCATAAGGGGTGAGTGTTTGTGAAGATGTCCTGGGGAGAGGTTTTGTTAGCCCATGAAGACTGATCAACTACTGTGCGAGGTTATAGGATACCCAACGCTTACCGGCCCAATTTGACTGAGTTCTCGAAGTTCTAATACATTCTCAATGGCAGATTTCGAAGGGTTAATAGGAGGAGGTGGGACAAGCGTCGGACGATTCGCCATTTTTCTGTTGTAGAAGTGTAGGATTTGGGTAATAGGTGTCTAGGTGAAAGGTCTATTCTAATGGATGAGGTGCAATCTCGAATGGACGAAGATTGAATAGAAGCATATCCGGGATCTAAAATATGAGACAATTATAGAGCTTCTTAACAAACTTCGCATCACGGATTAATTATTTCTTTGATAAGGAATTCGGTTTGACCGAGGTTCATTCATGAAGAGCAGACCGACATGACCATGTCTCACATTTGCCGAAGTGACCCCTGAAGTAACCTGGAAAGAGACTCCTTGGGAATTTGAAACCTCATTGAAATGGCAGGGTTCGCCATTTCGAGAATTGAATCTTTGGTGAATAGTTACGTTTGATAAACATTCGAAGGATCCTCCTTGGAACTACAATGCCGACGGTTATTTTGTACAACATCGACCTGTAGACAGCTGAACACAAGACATTTGATGCTTAAAGCTTGCCACAATATTAAACGGGCATAGTATGAAAGTTCGTACATAAAGTGTTGATGTCTGATATCTGTATACATTCTGGGCATTGATGAACTACACAAGGGTGAAGATTTACCCGCTGAAGTTCAGATATCCAATGAACTGCCTTCTCAAGTAAAGATGTCACGTAATGGTCCTGCATTGAAACGCAATGTCTGCGAATCTGCTTCCGATCTTTCGTTACGCTTTCTTTGCGGAAAATGTCCCATTTACATGACCAGAAGAAAATACCCTTGCTATATTATGTACTTATACGCTATCAAAAGACTGTACAGAGTCTTTTTCTTAGGAATCTCTATAATCTTTTCGATGCCTGCCTTCCCTTCCAACCATGTTTGATATATGGTAAAATAGCATATATCAGTCAAAATCGAAATCATGAAGGTTAATTGTAAGATCTTACAACTCAAATTCAGACGATAGAGATCGGAACAATGTGAGTGGGAAACTGCATGTTTAGTAATCATCCGTGTCCCATTTTGGCAGATTCTCAAGGTCACTGATGTCCATAAACTGCAATTTGAGGGCATTGTTCTTTCCACATTGCTACTTCCAAACATTTTCGTAAGCCTTTTTGCAACTATCACGAGGAGCTTAGTTGTCGAGCAGAATGATGTCGTTGCCCATATTGCCTAGCCACGTGTCATTGACTCTGCTCATATACGGATGCCCGCGGATAGCTATGAAGAATACGCGGTGTGTAGCCATAGCCAATTTATGGCTCGCAATAAGGTGGCTCACCAGGCTCACCATAGACTTCCCCCGTAATCAGTATTACTCCGTAACCCCTCGAGAGCGGGGAATAAGTCGGAGAAATATCCATATCCACACTGTCTGGAACATCACCATTGAAGAGCAGACTGTCCCTCTAGAGCGGAGAATTACCAGTAATTTCCCTAAAAACACTAGATACTATAGCCCAGGTCAAAGGCGTAGCTAAAGAACATATTTGATGTGTTCTTAGCTCCAACCTGATCCTTTCAAATAAACTATGTTGTCTCCAGCGCCAGTTTCCAAATGCCGCTGTGTCTATTTTGACTGTACCATATTCCGACCGAAACCAAGCCTCCGGACACTTAATCACGTTGTAATATTCCGACACAGCTACCACACGCGGATTGAATGTGCAGGACTTATGAGTAACAAGCGCAAATATGCTTGAATATTGGCTGATATGCAACAACTTTGCGTGTTCCAAACGTTGCAAATCCAAAAAGCTGCCAAGGAACAGACTTTTGGTTTGACCCTAATGAATTCTTACCAGGAGCTGCCGGGTGATATAAAACCCTAGGTCATCTTGTGTAGCTCCAATGATAGCTCTCGCAATTTTGGATATGTTGTTGGCGAAGCTTTCATTCAGGTACACACCACAGATAACAAGAAAATGACGTTCAGTCCTACAAGTTACATTTCCATTACCAAATGGCGCAAGGTAAGAAGCTTCATGCGCAAACATTAATTCAAGAGGTACATCGAATCTATTCTCGGCAATTTCTTGACCGTGGCATACAAAAGGCCGAGTTTTGCCATGCCTTGAACGACGATCAAGCTAATCACTTACTCTCCAGACGGAACTGCCTTTATGTCCTCTTTCCCTCACCACTACAGCGGTACTTGTGGCTCGAAACTGGACAAACGCATCGCCGGTCTGTGTATTTTTGAATACGTATCATATAATTCGATCCACTTCTAAGAACAGCTTAACCGGCGTAGGACTGTCAGATTGTTCCGTCTTCTACTTTGCCTCAAGAAGGGTTTGGTGAAATGAGGACAAGGGCTTGCAATACTATGCGTTCTCTTTTCACTGGTGACAGCAACTTATGATCGGGGACTAGGACACTAGAAGCTCGGTGGATCATACTCTCGTTCTTTGGGATAGCTTGGTTGATCAGATAGGACGCTGAAAATGCAAGGGCTCGATTTTATCAACATAGCGACTGAAATGGTGAAGTGTAACCACAGATGTTGTTTCGAAGAGTGATTTCCTGTAATCTGCAGGGGTGGTCTTAGTGCAGCAATCCTCCGCAAGGCTACACAAGCCAAAGAACCTATCCCTTTGATCAGTGCATAATGCCTCGCTATGAGCGAGAAACAGATCTAGTAATGGGACCCGGTCTTTAATCTCCTGTCTCCTCTGGGACAACCAATTAGGCACACTATTCCGAATGACTCCCAGTGTTTGTACAAGCTAAAGTAACCTTTATCACGACCACCAGCTAACGACGCCCCGACGCATAAGTTCAAAGTTCATAGCTGCCTCTTGAGTAGTGGCCATTTACCGAAACACCCCATCTAGGCGCCCCCAATCAAAAATTCAAAGATGCGCAGTGAACTTTGATATCTGCAGCGAGGGCTACCTCCTGTGTAATCTGGAATCTTTGTTAATATGGCCTGTAGCATAAAAGAGTAATCCGTCCAAAATTTGGCATACGCAACAACTGCACGCTTTGATATTAATCTTAAAGGTCTTTTGTGGACGTTTCGAAGCTCCCTAGACTGCCGAGCAAGACCATTGCACTCCGGCAGTCCCTTCCAGCTTTCCCAACCTCACGATTACTTCATCGGCTTTTGCAAAAATCTAACTCATAAAAGCAACTTGCCTTACGCTCACCAAACTTCTCCTGATTGATGCAAACAGCATTCACCCATAGACGATGACGGCGATTTAGCAGTCGAGGAGAATCTGGCCCGGCAAAGAAATTGTCTCGTAAGTTTTAAACTGTTTGATCAATCGTGGTTGCTTTATTCACTAGTAGATCTCCCCATGCATAAGACAATGCCTCATACTTGAGGTTCGTGAGTAGGAAACATGAATGAATCCAAACTCCTGGCTATCAAAGCCAACGCATGGAAGTATAAGGAGTGCATCTCTTCTCTCAATACATAATGGTTTATACGATGGCTGGGGCCTTTGGGCTTATAGTGATGTAAATCTGTAGCAAACAGGTAATTTGAGTTTTCAATAGGAGGGGAAGTAGTAAAGGCAATGTGTAACCATTCATTGCCATCATTGATACGATTGCTTTTTTCGACCGCCCATCAGTATTTGAAAGAGGTTTGGTTTGATGCATGAGTGTTCAAAATTCTTGGATATGATATCCCCAGCATCACCACTTTGATTTTGTACGTCAATAGCTTGATTCATTATAGTATGCATATATAGTACACTCGTTGATGTTATCGATTCGTCGCTGCATGTGTTTGAAAGAGTTAAGTAACTTGAACCTTGCACATGCATCACTAGCGGAAGTCCGCTCAGGTCACACGCTCACCTTGAGATGAATGGCCCTGATGATCACATCAATTTCAAGAAAACCATGGTACTCAAATCTCGAATGCAGGTCCCATAGTACTTTGCTTAAACAAAGCTTGTACAAATATCAAGATTGTGACCGCGCTGGGATGTTTGGCAATTTGGGTAGGTCACGAAATCCCCAAAAGCTCGATATACCGAACCCCTTTGAGTGCACAATGCAGAGACCCTTAGGACTGATTCATATGGAGAGCAGTCAAACTAACTGGCTGAGAGGATTGTAGAACAAGGAGAGTCACAGTCTCACAGAAGGGCGACATGAGACGAAGCTCTCAAGCTGGGAGTATGTGTTTTCGCAGTGCTGGCATATATTCGTTCACACTGGCAAAACATAGGATATTGAATGCCACCCTAGAAACATCTTAGACGTGGGTTTTCTGACAGCCTGTTTATAAATCTTTTATTCTCCGAAACGCCCGATCAGGATACCACACCGCTGATCCCAAATATGCTACTAACAACATTGTATACTCCGAAGCCCAGCTCCAAGCTTAATCGAACTAAAGGCACAACATTAGCTTATGTTATAAATATCCAAGGAATACTTACAGGTGTTAAAAACGACTCCGCAACGAATCTTGCACGAGCATTCAACTATTTCCCCATGTTAGCGATAGAACCCCCTCGAGGAGAAAGTATAGAGCCCACAAATAGCTTCATCTCCGAGATTTCTTTATCAACTTCCTCCATGAATTGTATGATGAAATCCACCAGCTTATGCTTCAACATCTCCTCTGTATGGAAGTTCGTAATCAAAAACGAAATATCGTAGCCCTGGTATTATATCAGCCTCCTCTCCTCACATATCCAAGTCCAACACCCACCTTAACCGGCTTTCTTCTAAGAATAAAGAACGCTTCCGCTCTTTGGGTCAAGAATCTGGTAAATTTGTGTACAAGAATGTGCTCAATTTCGTCCGCTTGTTTAATCTTAATACTGATTCGGACACTGTTGATACTTGGTTCAATGAGAACTCTTTCGTTTTCGTTTCGTGCGACAGTCAAAGGATTTAAGAGGACTTCCGGTGAAGTTTTAGCTTCAATCTCTGGCACATTGTGCCTTTCGGAGGTCTGCGATGCGAAGTTCGAGAGGCATAGAGCCGCTGTTAAGGAAGATCGTACGCATTGAAGGTAAGGTCGCAATGATTGAGACTATCATGATTCAATTAAGAATATGTCAGCTAATTATCGAAGGTACTAAAGCTATAATAAGAATCAGAATTGTTACATACCATCTTGTTGAAGTTTCTTGTCTCGAGTTTCTCCTTAAGATGGATGTCATTACCGACCGGAATGGAGTATCTTACAATCGTGTTGTCGATGCTTTGGTGGGGCTGGGTGGTCTGTCTCTAGCGGTTCAGGCATCCTACGAGCTACGTAAGGCGCAAGGGGCGCTAAGAAGGACAGTACAGTTTTGATTGTGTTTATCTATCATTTTCCCAATTTTGTTTGTTAAGATCTAACAACTTCATAGAGAACTTATTTTCAAGCCCATATACAACCAAACAGGGACAAGAAATTCCAATTCTAATCTCTGGTTTAACAAATCCTACAAAGCAACAAACACTACTCGCAGATAGTAACCTTCGAACAATCCACCCCGCCGCCACCATGGCAACCATACCTGGTAGCTATACTCTGTCCGCAAATGTTTTCACAATCTAACCATTACTGTAGTTATTATCAAGCATCAGGGGAAGAAATACGATGTTGAGCTCGATCCTACATCCAACGGCGAAACGTTGAAATACCAGCTCTATTCCCTCACTGGTGTTGAGCCAGAACGTCAAAAGATTTTGGTCAAAGGTGGCCAACTTAAAGATGACACCGACCTCTCGAAGATTGGTGCCAAGCCAGGTCAGACATTTATGATGATGGGAACACCTGCAGAAGGAGGAACATTCTCTAGACCGAAGGAAGCAGTTAAATTTGTTGAGGACATGACCGAAGCAGAAGCTGCACAACAAGTAGGCGCAACGCCGGCTGGATTGCAGAACCTGGGAAATACCTGTTATCTCAACTCATCTCTACAAACTCTCAGAGTAATTCCAGAATTGCAAAATTCGCTGCAGAAATACACACCGGATGGGCAAAGTGGCTCTAATCTGCTCGGTGGATTTGGACTTGGACCTTTGGATTTGACAGCTGCGATGCGAGATTTATACAAGCAGATGTCAGAAACACAAGACGGGTTCCCACCACTTATGTTCCTCAACGCTCTACGACAAGCGTTCCCACAATTCAACGAGAAAGCGAAGAATGGACATGGCTTCGCGCAACAAGATGCCGAAGAAGCCTGGACGCAAATCCTCCAGGTACTACGATCAAAATTGAAGATTAAAAATGAAGGTGGCATCCTCGGAGGGTCTTCATCTGCTGAAGTCTCTTTTGTCGACAAATATATGGCTGGAGCATTCAAATCTGTTACTGAGTGTGATGAGCCAGCGGCAAAGGATGGAGGTGAACAACCGGTCCATGGAGAAGATGTTTTCTTGAAGCTGGATTGTCACATTAGTGGCGCAACCAACCATCTCCGGGATGGGATCGTTGCAGGATTGGAGGAGAAGATTGAAAAGAGATCCGAAGTTCTTGGTCGCGATGCAATCTACACCAAGAAATCGAAAATTTCACGCCTGCCTAAATATCTTACTGTCCATTTCGTCCGATTCTTCTGGAAACGCGAGGCTCAAAAGAAAGCAAAGATTATGCGCAAGGTCACATTCCCTGATGAACTGGACGTCGTTGAATTCTGTACGGATGAGCTCAAGCAAATGTTGATCCCTGTTAGAGACAAGGTTCGTGAGGTACGAAAGGAAGAGGAAGACGTTGAACGTGCTCGCAAGCGTCAAAAGCGTCTCCATGATAAAGAAGAGGCTGACAAAAAAGCTGGCCTTGTTGACGAAACACCTTCATCTTCATCAAACAAAGACGAGAAGAAGGAGACTAAATCCAAAGATGGCGATACTGAAATGGAGGAGGTTGTTTATAAGACCGACGCGGAGATTGATGCCGAAAAGACCGCTGCAATCTTGGAAGCCAAGAAGGAGTTACACGCATTGATCAATCCTGAGCTTGCCAAGGATGATGGGGCGAACAAATCTGGTCTTTACGAACTTCGTGGCATTGTTACCCATCAAGGTTCCAGTGCAGATAGTGGCCACTATACTTCATATGTCAAGAAGCAAGGACCACTTGATCCCAAGACAGGCGTACGTGGTGAGGAAGATGGAAAATGGTGGTGGTTCAATGATGACAAGGTATCGGAGGTTGAACCTGAGAAGATCGCTACTCTTTCTGGTGGTGGAGAATCTCATTCTGCGCTCATCTTGCTTTACAAGGCCATTCCTTTGCCTACCGCTGAAGGTCTCAACCAGTAAATTTCAGATGATTGCTTTGGAGATGAGGGATTGCATAGATAGTGAGCGAAAATGTGTGCATTGTACGTGGTGGGAAATAAAGTAGCGATGAATAACGAGAGACCACGATTATGAGAACGAGATACAGGATTAGAATTTAAAAACCTATGGTATCATGTTATCTTTTCATCTGATATCATATGATTTTGTGCTATGCATCGATGAAAAGAATTAATCATACCTTTGAATGAGTATTGAGTAACTAAAAGTCACATCTCTTCCCAGCCAAGCCTAGTTACACCAAACAGCATCAAGATCTCGCGAATTCTCGAACCTCTCCACACTCAAAATTCAATTTTTTTCCCAATCAATCTCATCAGTAAATTCCTCACTCACCCATCCTCAAACCAAGAAAATAAATCTCCGAAGTTCTTATGCTCAAATCACCGCATCTCACCTAAACATCCTAACTCGGAGACATATCAAACCCCCCTATTCCCTTCCATCCTAGCACGTACACAAAAGTCCCCGAAAGCTATCCGACAAGCGAGATCTTCGTTCTTTGTTCTTTTTTAAGGGTTAGGTGATCCCCACTATTGTAACGAATCTACACCCCACTATTTTGACTACATTCTTGGGTAACCTATGGATATGTGAATATAAATATAAAGAACTTTCTTTCCTTCTTTCTTATCTATATCTTTTTTCTTTTTCTATTGTGCTTTTGCATACTTAGAACTTTGCGTCATATATTGTTCTTCGTTTATTACCCCTATTTTTCTATCTTTGATTTGATTTGTGGTTTTTTGTTTGACTTTGGAATTTGTCCGAATTGTTGGGACCTTCGGGATCATTGAACATTGTCAATTGAAAATGGCGGGTCATGATCATACACATAAGGGGGATGTGACGGAGAAGAATCGAACACATTGGGAGTATGTACTCTTATCTCGTTTTTTTCTTCCTTGCAGGAAAGTTTTGGGATGGAGATGTAGTGTGGTACTGGAGTGTGGCGTCTCCACATGCTCGTTTTATATCTTGAGGATTGATACTTCATGCCCTGACAAGCGTCGGAGGTTGTGATTCTTATCAAGAACTAGTCTTCGTGCAAACTAAGAGGATTTCCCCCTCCATAAATCACAAACATCCAACGCCCTTTACCTCTCGCGTTCCACCCCCCACACCCATGAATCCTCTCTGCAAATCCAAACTAACCCCACACAGCACCCACGCCTCATCCTACGACACGCGTTTCCAAAAGACCATCGAGCAACTAATCTCCATAATCCAAGAGCCACGCGTCCTATCATTCATCGGCGCCCCCTGGCAAACCGACTCCACACCACCATCTAAACCGCTCAAACTCCTCGATTACGCTTGCGGCACCGGTCTTATAACCCGCGCACTACTCCCTTATATCACCCGCTCTATTGGTATCGATCTCTCTTCTTCCATGGTAGAGCAATACAACCTTCGAGCATCTAATCAGGGACTTGACGCTTCGGAAATGTTTGCTTATCAGGGAAATTTGTTATCTTTGGATCCGGCCCCACAATTGGAAGGGGAAGATCTTTATGATTTTGATATTGCAGTAGTAGGATTGGGATTTCATCACTTTGAAAATCCAGCGTTGGCAGCGAGGAAACTAGGTGAGAGATTAAAGAAGGGGGGGATTTTAGCCGTGGTCGATTTCGAAAGTCATGATGGGTATGGGAATCCTCATTCTCACTCCCATTCCCACTCCCATGATCATAACCATTCCCACGAGAAACCAACCCCGCCCCAAGAACAACTAAATACCGAAACTCAAAAAGCCCAAGAAACAGTAACCCATCACGGATTCTCCCAAGAGGAAATCCAGAAGATCTTTGAAGATGCGGGTGTAGGTATGGATTTTGGATATATGGTTTTGGGGAAGGGAATAGTGTTTCATGGAACGGGGGTGGAGGGACAGAGAAAGGATATGAAGAGGGCGGTTTTTATGGCGAGGGGAGTTAAATCGTGAGAACTTGTCTAGAGGGGTGTAGCTTGAGGGAATGAGAAGGGGGGAGGAAGAGGTTATTTAGGTGGGATTAGAGTGAATGGTTGTGAGGGCTCAGAAGCTATGTTGTGGATTACTTGAATATTTTGAGGATAGATTGTGAAACTATTTATCAGTTTTCAAAAAGTTCTAGAATACAATCTTACATAGGTCAAATACTTCATTCCACCCTTTTCTTCGTGAATTCTCACATCTATACACATTGGATATATCAATATACAAATATAAAATAACATGAAGATTAGATAGATTGATAGAAATTCCAATCTAGTAGATATTATATCATTAAAGAACCTCTAATCACCCACCCTCCCCCTCCAAACTTCCCTTTCGATATAAGAGACCTTTTTTTATATCATTATAATTATCATAATCAGAAATGACATTAAACGAAAGTATCACCAACTGATACACACGAACAGTACCAAAAGATGCTAACATGAGCCCTACTTCCTTTCTTCCCTTCCCTCCACTTCCCACTGTTCTCAATAAATCTATCTCCTCTCAAAACCCAACACAAAATCTCAAATTCCCAAGTATATCCCACTAGAAATGACAAACTGCAGGCCGATTATTCTTCAACCCATACTCGAGCCGCAAAGCGGAAGGGTATCAGGCCTAGAAATCTCAAACGTCGATGTAAGTATTTATAGAAAGATCCTACAGAGATCCAACACGAACAAGAATCCGAACCCGAAGACCACCACGACCTTAAACTTATAATATTATAAAGCCTATAATCTCTCCTCTACTTTCTGCTCAGCTGAGGAATTGCAGTGGTTTATCTCTGTGGTTTCTAGGATGTTAATGAGATCTTATCTTTGTGAGGTATCGGTTTTGATACTCTGCTAGTAATTATGGGTAACTAGGTAGGTAAATATTGTTGATTAGCCTATAATTATTCGATGATAAAGATATAATGTTAAGATTACAATGGTGAGATTATACCACTTACGGGTATTTCGCCTCTAGTATCCAAATCATTGCTTGATAAACAGTATCTAATAACCTTTATAATTCCTGCGCCATACGCTGTATTGCATTGAAAGATCGTATACCACTCATCCATATCGCTCGCATACAAAAGGAAACCCAAGCGTGAAATGGCAGCGAATCTCGTGTAGTGTGCTCTAATGACTTGGAAGTGGTGAGGGCCATTTGGCGATGCTCCGTAACTAGATTGTTGAATGGTTGGTATGGATGCTGGTTTCCGCATATTGTAAAAGTGGTAGGTCGAGATACGTGCGTCCCGATAGCATGTTGTGAGGAGGGAATTGGAAGAGGAAGCTGAATTAGATTATATTGTAATATATTATTTATGGAGAAAACGGGATTCATAATGGTTTTGGGGTTTATATTATATGGATTCAAATGTATATATATAGAAGATTGATTATTGTAAAAAGAAAAAGTAAAAGTTTTCTTTTTATATCTAATTATAGAAGGTTATGTGATTGATTAATTAAAAATCTTTATGTATTTGGTTTATAATTCCAACTTTCTTATAATATCAGAACCGAAATATCGCGGCAGAGCTCCGCGGATGACATTCGTTGGAGAGTTTTATGATGAAGATGATGTTAATGTATGGGTTTGAATACTGGTTAGGAGGATTTGGTTCTTTTCGTCTGAATTATCGAGCATGAGGTCGATGGTTAGTAGGTGGTTCGCGATCCATAATCGGTATTCCTTGTTGGTTCGAAGGATTTATGGGTTGGAATTTTTATGCTTCTCTTTGTGTATTTTTGCTCAGAGGTGTTTTTCGATTTGGCAGTTTCTTGATAGGATCGTAAAGGGCTTCATGTTTATGGAATTTGGTGATGATTGCTTAACTTTAACTAACACTCTATTGTTGATCAAAGTTTCCTTTTTGGTTGGAGTTGTAAGATTTTAAGACCTTAGCTTGTGGGAAGGAACAACCAGTTCTAGAATATAATATTATTATTATGTTACTTAATCTCCTCAGACTACAGACTAATTCTAGTATACTAGTAAAGTATACTGTTGAGTTTAGTTGTATGAAGTAATGGATATTTCTAGGTGCCTAGTAAAGGATACACATCCAACAGCAGTCTCAAATATTTATATCGATATAGTCAATAAAATAACACAATTCCCATTTTGTCTTCTGAGACTTGTCAAATACCTCCTCCGGTTATGATGAAAATACTAAAGAAGCAAAAAGCCTTTGAATATTCAATTCCGCACCAAATTACTCTCATACTAATATTCAAAATGAAATGAATTCCTCTCATATCCCTCGAATTGAATACACTTTACTTCCATACTTCTTAGAATTCAATCTATAATGGCTAGATTCTATACTATTATTATAGCTTCTGCCCTCTCACTATAGATTCTATTTCATTACTTCATTATTCTATATAGATTCTATTCTCCTGTTATACACACCATGCTCCTATTATAGATTCTGACATCTCACTATAAAGATTCTATTTCATTATTTTATATAGATGCTATCCTCCTATCATCTACACTATGCTCCTATTATAAACCCAGCTCTCACATTTATCAAAGATTCCAAATTAATGATAATCTTGGTTATATTATATTAGATTAGTATTGTAAAAAGTAAACTTACAAGAATGAAACAAATTCAAGTTTTGATGGTAATTATAATTAAGAGTAATTTGGCCCATGACTCACTCATTAATTCAAATTATTCAAACACTTCAAAAGGAAAAAAAAAGTAATATGAAACATTGTCATTACAGAATTCTAGTCTAGACTATTGAATACACTGTATGGAAGTAAGGAAATAACTAACTGAAGGAGATCAGATCAAGCCAAAAGGGTCCTATCCAAGGCCCATTTTCCCGATGATTCCAACACAATCGAATAAACAAACACCTTAAATAGCAATGCCAGTGCCGCGAGGCAAGCCTATCCCTTTCTAAAGAGATTTTTTGAAACATACAAACAACTCCAATCCCCGACCAGCCAGCCTTTAGATAAATGTCCCCACTAATATGAGGTTTTTGTTCATGCAATTCTTAATTTCGTATATAGACTGCAAGAGCCTTTGTTGTTCGTATTGTGTCCAATCCTGGGAGCTTAATTTGTCGTTGTTTAGAAGTATAGAGGGAAAAAAGTAGAAATCGAAGTGAATTTAAAAAGAAAACAGAGAAGTGTAGAAAGCCACAATTTTGGCAGAAGCTCGAATCAGATGTACAACATGGATTCGTCAGTCAGTTCCTGAATTACAATTGGCATGTTGAAAAGCCAATTTACAGAAAAGCTGAAATAGATAAGGAAAAATTGCCTCTACCAGAATCCATCTCGAAATTCACATGTGAATTTTCAAGGTCACTTGTGTAGCCCTGAATATCGCAGCCTTTCTACCATCATACGGTCAATGTTTCTTTTCCGTTCAAGAGCTTCATTGTCTGGTGCTAAGACACTTGATATTGCCATTGGATGCGAGAATCTAGGACTAAGGCTTCTTCGAAGAGGAGGCTCTTGAGGCAACTGAAAGGGCTCGGATCGGCGAGGGGATAATTGCATGGATGGATAATAACTATATGGTAGCTGGGATTGAAACGATGACGCTGACCCATTTGAAGAAGAGGACTTTCGTGGGACTTCGTATGGGTTTAAAGAGGCCAATTGTCGGCTCTCTTCCGCGAAACGGTATACCAAGGGGTTTTCTCTTTGCTGATATCCAAAATGTTGGCTGGGGGCTGGTGACGAGAATGAGGAACGGCGTTGTCCACCTTGAAGGGCAGTCGAGAGTGATGGGATGTTTACTCCTCGCTGGTTTTCGGTGTATTGATCTGGAAAAGATGGTGGTGATCTGGCATAATGTTGCTCATCTGCTTCGCGCTTACGTTTTTGAGAACCCAATGAGTCTGTGGGGGAGGGCAAGGTAGTAGCATCCCGGTTACGTGGCGATATGTTTAAAGGAGGCAAATTAACCGGATGATGTGATCGGGACATCCGTCGACGAAACTCTGGTATGGACGGGTTGAACATTGATTGTGGTGGGGCAAACATCCCATGCGATGTAGGGGGGGATTGCTCCAAAAATTCCTTTGGCATGGGTTGACCATGAGCACCATAAACCTGTTGATCCGGACCGACAGCTCCACCTTTTGCTGCGTAAAGGGCCTGAAGTGGTACAAATGCCTGCGCTGAAGATACAGGAGTAAAAATGCACTCCTGTTTGAAGCGCGTACAATTACTGCATTTCCCTGAGGAGCCGTCCGCATTGAAACCCGTGCAACGAATCTGCTTATGATATTAGCACTGTCGATTGGTCTCCTTATGAAATATGATTTTCGAATCAAACAATTTTTTAGAGAGAATATGAATGAATCAAACTCACCTTGCGTCTCCTGCAATATTGGCATGCAATTGCGGTCCTTTGTCTAGGAGCGCTCTGTTTAAAAGCCATTGGCTGTGCAGAAGGGCCTGGATCTTGCGTATAACCTCTCCCATCATGATAAGCAAAGGACGGAAGCGCATCGTAAGCAGTTGTGGGGTATCTGGGATCTTGAGAGGTAGCCATTGATTGTTCGGAATACTGCGGTCCATTGGTTGACCGAGTTTGATAGAGTTCTTGGTAGCCGCTGGATGGGTGGGTTTCTTGGCTCCAACTACTTTGCGGGTGATACTCCAAAGTTGGCGAGGTATGGTAACGCGTTTGATGGTATGGGTTAGATGGCTCCATGCGATTGTCGGCAGGATGCTGCGGCTCGTGGCTTGTACGATGCAAGACTCGGTTATCTGCAGCGTCTTGGCGGATATGATCCTGATATTGCGATCCATTATTTGATGAAGGGTGCGATGCCGAATTATCCCGAAGTGCAGGGGCCGAGGGAGGATAAGATCTGCTGTTTGATGATGTGGATTCATTGTTGTGAATCCCTTGATTCGCAGCATTTTGCGGCGGAGTTATGTTCAAAAGAGCCATATCCGAAGGATAAAGGGATTCTGTACCAGTTGATGAACTATATCTTACAGTGCTTGTGTATGAAGGTAGGCGCTCGAGAGTTGCAGAACTTGAAGCATAATTTGATATACGACTTGGGGAAGGTTGTATAGGCGGATAGTATTCATAGCCTGGCCTATCACCAGGAGGGTGGCTATTCATTTTATATAACGGTTAATGTAATTCTTGATGATGAATATAAAGTAAGATGTCAAGGAACTATGTCGTAATATCCCTTAAAGAAATGTAATCTAAGGGATGCGACAGCCCAGCTGTAAATGATTGCTTGGTTGTAAAGAATTGAAGTCGATTAAGATTATTATGATTAAAGGGGAAAGAAAGTTGGCTCGTTGGCTGTTTGAGCGGTTGTGTGGTTGAACGGGAACAAAGTGGTTCAGAACAAAAAGGAAGAGCAGGGGAGGACTGCTTGTTATTTATATGATGTAGAGCGTATTGGATTTTCGAATTGTCTTTAATGAATAAGGACTAATGGCTAATGGCCAAGAGCTAAGAGCTAATAGTTGATGGCTGGTGGCTGGTGGCCGATAGTTGAAGAGGTAGTTAGTCTGTGAAGGTTAGTGATGAATGGAGCGGATTGTCAGGTTGACCATCTTAAACTCACTTACTTTTTTAAGTACCTGGTAGTCATGTATGTGCTCGACAGTCCTGTAATAGTCTACCCGGAATACCTAAAGATACCTAAGATCGCCTAGGCTAGAAACTCTATCTTTAGTAATAGCTTGCAATCGGGAAAAACCTAGTCGACAATTTAAATAATCTAAATAATCTAAATAAGCTAAATAAGCTAAATAACCTCCGATATCGAAAGATATTAATTTAGTGCTTCATGGTATTTCCAAGTGGATAAAAAAAGATAGAATGTTGTACTACTTAATTCGCCCAGCTATCAAATAATACTCAATTCTCTAAGAATCGCTCCAAAAGGATAATGAAGAGATGCGAATATTTTGATAGGTCGAACTCGGAACTAGAAATGATGATATGAAAATTCGTTTAAGTATGTTTTGTCCCTCTAATGTTGATTGACTCGTTCAAGGACTTTTGTTGTGAGGTCGGTTGTACCAGAACTTTTATGAACTGGGATCCTGAAATTTGACCTCCCTGCAAGCTAGGGATTTCCCGGTATTCGACGATTTCTTCTTTAAAAAGAGGGGTGTGGGGGCCCGGTTCGAACAGTGTACTTTCTAATGTCTGTTACTCAGATTTCAGGTGGAAGGACCGGTGGATGTGTCACGTGTGTTTGTGTGTTCTCCCGCCAGGCAGATATGGATATATGATCCTAAAGCGTAGAAATGATGATGATGATGATGATGATATTATAATGTAAGGTATGCGAGGGACAGGAGTCAGAGTCCGATGAAACCCCAATTCCGTGAACAAAAAGGTATGACTCAACTCAGTTAGGGTTGGAGGATCGACGATGATATAGTTGTGGTAAAGGCACAAGATAATCGTGCGTGATAAATAATGGCACTGGTAAATTTCAAGTTGCGCCTTGATGCAATTCAGAGCTCAATTTGATGATGGTGTGATGTTCTCAACTAATGGTGTAGTGTGCGGGCTACGGTGTTAGTATTCGGTGTTTGGTATTTGGCGCTTGGTGAAAGGCAAAGCTATGCTCGGAAGGAGCCAGCACAACTCGAAAAGCAAACGGTCAGTCGCCGCTTTCACTGGTCAATTGATCACTATTGAGGAAGTTTAAAGTGCGTTGGATGCCCCCCGTTGTCGTCGTTTTGTATGTAGCCCCACTATTAGAACTGTTTAGGTTTGCTTTCAATAATCCTCGAGGAAGAATGACCTGCTTCACAAGTCACATTCCAACTCTTCTAAGCCCGAGTAAGTGTTACTATACTGAAACAAGCCTTACATACGGCTTTGAATCAGGTTGTTTCAATATTTTGCCTTCAAAAAAGTGTACTTTGTGAAATGAACTGGCCCAATTTGGATTCCGGCTTCAGTAGTTCAAGGCAGTAGAAAATATACCTTGATATGGTGGCTTTATCGATGAATTGTTTTTTTTAGAGAATTATGGCTACCAAGCCAAGGCTTTGGTTAAGATGGTGCGCTGGTAGATGGTGCGTGGTCGATGTGTCTAGGTTGAACCAGCGGCCCGAGGAAGACAATGCCAAAGTGGATTATAGACTATCGCATTTGCTTAAATTTCCTTGGTAGCTTTAAAATACTTCGATTTTATGTGGATGGGTTGATATATGAGCAGTATCAAAGGAATCGAGACAAAACTTCCGGTTTGACTATTGAGTTCCGGACGTCCTAAGTCAAAAACTAACGTCGACCCGGTAACACGCGTACGAATGCGAAAGCCGATCTCCTAGTGCTGCTGTTTATAAAAGACAGATCTGGTGAGTCGTGTAGAAATGACGAAAGGTCTTGGTTCGGCAATCCACGGAACAAGGCATGTAAGAGAAATTTTAAGTAATTACGTCGGCAGAATATATAGCGGATGCGGGCGCGTGGTTGTGACTGACAATTTGAAGTTTTGAAGCTTTGAAGCTTTTGATGCGCCGGAAATTACTACTATGCGACAAAACTAATGAGCTAACACCTCCTATGAACCACCATATGTGTGCGTCATAAAGCTGAAAAAGAACACAACTGTTTTTGAGTATGCTGTATTTAAACTAGCTCGAATCAAAAGATCGCCTACGTCTGTTCGAAAATGAGCGATATACGTGTAAAGTAAAGAGAAGAAACCGGTGCCGGGAAATGATTGACTTCAGTCTAGTAGGTATAGTCGGATAAGACTAAACTAGGTAGTTCCCAAAGGCAGAATGGAAGTATGTGTAAAAAGATTGAAAGGAAGACTAGGGGCAAGCATGTGTAATGTTGACGGAACTGATGATTTAGTGTAGAAAATTATGACCACCTTCCTTGAAATGGTAGATAAAGTAGAAGGGAGGAATGGTAATACCATATATGATTGGGTAGGGACTGTAAGTGTGAACCGTGGAAATCTAGAGCAAGATTCCAAGAAAGACAAATTGATGATTGACGATGATTGATGATGATGCCGCTCGAGAGGTCCGGAACAAAGCTCAATATCGAAAGGAGGTGTTCTTACAAATTTGAGTGTATATCCAAGGAAGCCTTGTCTTGCCTCTTCTCTTCCCTTTCCTTCCAACCTTCTTCCTTAGTTTACTTGGTGTGAAATAAATTATCCTCTACACGCTCCAATTGGGTACCAAAGCGGCCAATCTCGATGCCGCTGCGGTGCCAGTCTGCTGCACCCTTTCTTTGCAGTTCCTTGCCGCGTTGTCTTGTCTTGTCTCCCCTTCCCTTGCCTTGCCTTCCCTTGCCGTCCTGTCAGCAAAGCCTCAGTCTCGAAGTAAGCAATGGGGCCTCAGATAAATTCCTCCTGTGCCGAGGGAAATTCCTATAACGTATTAAAAAAGGTCGTAGTCCGTCTCAAAGTTAAATCCAAGGTTCTAAATGTTCGAATCTGGGGACTTATTGCGTGGCTTTACTTTCGTCCTCGTAAGTGAATGTTTTTGTTGTTGTAAGATTATCGCAAGCGCAAAACCAAACAACCACCAAAATTGCTCAATTTCCTGAAGAGAAATGAAATTTGTTCCTATTTGATTCAATGGGCGAAAAGACCGTAAAATGCTATTATTTGTTGTGTTCTTGTCCTGCTGTGCTGTCCTTCAGGCTGTGCGGTGTAGTATGTTTAGCCCTCGGCTTTAAATAACAATATCGATAGGGCGATGTTGCGATACACAGTTCTAGGCTAAGTTACATATTTTTCAACTCGGGACTTTCCAGTAATAAGTTCACTTCCTTCAGGCGGCGACCAATCCTAATGGGTCACAGATTAACCTGTGGATGGATTGATGGGTAGTAAGAAACTAGGAGGGGGCGGAAAGGGAGTGAGAAAGGCATGGATGAGATGGTAACGGATAGTATGTGGATTGCTCGGGGAAACGTGGGAATGGAGAAAGGGTGATTTACTAAAGTGGATATACAACCCGTTCCTAGGATCAGCCTGTTGCAAATGGGTTGGTTGTTCTTTTCGTCGGTGGTTAGGTTACAGAAATCTTGCCATGTTGATGTAGTTATTGGCAATTGATTCTTGAGACTGCGAGAGGTGAACGCCGTTTTTGTTAAATCAAATCTCCGAATCAAACCTCGTTTCTTTCCTTCTTACTCGCGTTCTCTTCCCAAATAGCCAATACCTTGGACGCGTTTTTTTATTTTTATTTTGGGTGTTGGTTTGGTTGAAAGAATTCTTTGGAAAAATTGTGGCTGATTTTACTTGCTAGCACACGACCCAAACTGATGACCCCAGTAGCATGACGGCTTGATATCCTTGAAGAGATTTCGAAATAACCATAGATCGAACCAATAACCCTGTCAATAAGGCGTTTCTTCCACCTGCACTGCTGGGTATTGGAAAAGTTGGAGATACCAGGGTATATTGAAGACGTACCCGCTGAAGCATCCGCAGCAACACGAACTCAGCCTTTTAGCTCGATCTTTGTGGCAAGCAAACCAGCGTGTACGACTTGGTAGAATCGACCAAACGTTCTTTTCACAACGTTGGGGTTAGTTTGACAGAACGGGATGGAGCGTGGCGTGGGTGCGATCAAACCATGTACAAGGATTTGAACATCGCGTAAATCATTGAGAATATATTTGATTGGGTGATAGGAGGGAAGTTGCGAAAGAAATTTATATTCTGGACTAACACTTTTCTTATAGGTTAACACACTGATTAGGGGAAAACAGAAATTTATTTTTGAGTCGAAAAGAATAGGTGTGCATATCTTCGGTTAAAATGGTATGATGGCATTTTTTATGGACTGCATCTTTCTCTCCACAAATTCATCTTCATACATGCTTTACAATATTCCTATTTCCTGCAGCGACCAGGTCCCAGCCCACATGCCTCGAGGGAACGGGAGCCAAGGGCCGTTTTCAACGTCTAGACACGCGCGCGCCCTCATTTGGTCTAAGTCTAGACTTACGCGCTTCCAGGCCTCGTGGTTAAAGGGAGGACTCTCATCTTAATTAGATTATCTTCGAGGCGCTGATAAAAATTCCAACGATTGGAATGGAAGGAATAAAACGTGGCATTCTCTTTTGCTATTGGAACACAACATAATTAGTTTATGGCTACAACAGATGAGATCGTTACCACCAAGCGGCAAGATCATGCCACACTGCCACCATTCCCACATTCCGTTGTCAAACTGGACGGGCCGTCCAGTTCGTACATCTGCAGGATTACTGTTGCATGGTCTGTACTCGTGACGAATTACACACGGCCTAGGGGCATATTTATCTGATGTCATATTTTAAGCCTTAATCTACTCTATTGGTAACCTCCCACTTTACCTTCACCTATATGGCTTCACACCATCGTAACTTTTGACCTTCCCGTGAATATTTATTAAAATGAAGATGTAACAATACTAAATACAGAAGCCTACAGTAGTTTATGACTTAAGCTCATGCAGACGAAAGATCGCCTATTGCGGGAAGACGGGAATCCCGTAGTTTAGCTTACCGTACGCGAGATGATGAAGGGGTCTCATCCAAATTCCAACGTCAAATAATTAAGAGAGCTCCGCATGTAATCCTCCGAAATGAAAAAAATGGAAAACAAAGAGGGGAAGGTAAAGTAATTAAGAAAGAGAAGAAAGGCGTCCGGCATTATTCGTATTTCGAGTATGTGTATGATTGGAATAAATGAATCCCTCAAATTAGGCTGTGCTTAATGTTTCATCGACAGAGAAAATCGGAGATCAACAATGTGCCAGCAAAACAACAGTCGACAAATATCGGGGGGTGAGCTTACCATTACATTACTATGTAGGGACCGCATTGTGGTGTAACATCAATTAAATTATGGTGGTGTGGTCATTGTGTGTGGTAGAAGACGACTCTTTTCAGCCCCGGCTCGGCTTCCTACGTATGGAACGACCCGAGATGTGATCACCCAAACCCCTGGTTCATGGGATTTTGAATCAGTTCTTGTGGAAATAAATAGCCGCTGTTGACGATGAAAAAAGAAAAGGGGAAATGAAAAATAATGTTTCTTCTATTTGTTCCTTGAGAATTCTAAAGATATTCCAAGCGAGCGAGATTTCTCAATTATTCTATCAAGCATTCCTGGATGTGACCGAGACAATTTATTAGTGTTTCCATTGGAATGTTTAGTGTGATTTTTATTTTATTTTAATATAGGTCGGCGAAGTCAAACATATTAATTCCATGAATTTTGTGGGAATAACACATGGTAAATGATTTATTTTGGAAATTTAATGCGGAGAAATACCGATTATTTTGAGAGACCTGAATTGATCCACTCAGGTAACAACATCAGACGAGAGCTTGAATACTACCAAAGCCACATAATCAACGCATTGTCAGCCAAAAAAATGATGACACAGTAACGCCAAGTTTTTGAGCATTCGGGCTGACCTTTCTTGGGAGCATACCGGCAGCGACGGAAAGCAAAAGTCGGCTCAACCCCCGAATAGGCCAAGGGTGACCATACATTCGGGACACTAGCAACAAACGAACAATGGGAAATCCTTGAAACTTGCCGAAAAATATGTGGTTGTCCATTCTTCATCAATCTCCACATCTGATGACTTCTACCTGTCCAATTACGACATCGAGAAGACGATGATTACCTTACCTCTATTCCGTACTACGGGGCTGCCACAATGCCACTCCTACCAGCATCTATCAAGTTATCAACAAAACCAAAAATCTATCATTGTGATGCATCCTGTGCCTCTCGCACGAGGCACCCCACTATCGACAACGCATCTTGCATTGACCATCAAAGCGTTTTTTTTTGTTCATGTCGTTCTTGATTCTTTACTGCGTACTCTTCTGACCCCATCTTACCCCATCTATTACTACTCATTGGTTTGATCGCTTCACCGCTAACTACATCTGAAGGTCACATTACTTTCTGTTCATGCGGGCACCCGTTAGTCTTGTTTCTAAAACTGCAAATATGGTGCATTCCCGCCCGCGAAAGCGGCGCGGAACGAGGACACCCCTCGCATTGCATACTCACATGGATCATGCTGGTGTCGCAGGCAACGAATTAAAAATATCAATGGATCAATTATGTTTTTTACGAGGATAATGTGCAAAAAAAATGTCAGTCGGACTAAGCTGTGCCGTTCCTGCACTTGTTGACGGTTGCGGTTTTCTCTTCATCCAGCCATATAAGTTTCCTACAATTAAAGGTAATTCTGCCTATATGTACGGAGGTTATACAAGAAGGTCGAATTTCCGCCCTTGCTCCCACACCTTTTACTACGAAGCTTGAGGTTTGCTGGATAAATGATGTAGCAGATCTATTCAGTCTAGTTCTAAACCCGCATATATTTGTCCTTTGTCATGAAACTAAACGAAAAAAGACTAGTTAATTAGAGAGGTTCTGAATCTGTAAGAGCATGCTCAGAAACAGAACAGATTTGTTCTCAATCTTAAGGTACTTTCGTACGTACTCGAATAGCTGAAGGATCAGCAAGGGCTATACCGGGGTAACCATGCCGAATAGTCTGAAAAACTAAGTTGCCAGCTGAATGGCACCTGGAAGTTACCTCCGTATAGGGCAATAAATAAAATAATGGGAACGAATATTAATAAACATAGACAGGAATCTGAATAGGGCTATTTGCCGATGCATCAATACATAAATAACAAAAGATTTTTGATTAGCTAGGTACTCCTGAGCAAGGCCCTAGATTACGGGGCATACGATGAGTGCACCTAGTGAGAAAGGCGAAAACCGTCCTGCAGCGGGCCGAGCAGACAAACTAATTCAGTTACATCGTGTCGTGTATTAATAACACGCTTGATCCAACAAAAAGATCTTACCGTTGTATGGCGTTACCTCGATTGAATCGTTAAAACAATTGAGTTCTGTACAACGACTATTTTTCATGGAGAAAACCTGCTTACATCTCCCCTTTTTGGAAGGCTCAATCAAATCTTTTGAACCATCCATTCCCATCCGAGATTGGATAAGACATGGACGCATCATCTAAAGATACATTGAATCACGTCAAGGATTTCCCTGTCTTTGACGGACAGCAGCGATGGAAAAGTTGGAAGGCAGCAAGGTTACTGATTGGAATTTTCCGTCCATGAAATGAGGGGTTAAACACTGTGTTTGCTTGCACACCGCTGAAATATTTGCATATCATACAATATTTCAATCTAATTTAAACAATCCGGCAATCATTCACATCAAAGTATTTCCCGAAACGATTTACACGCTTGGAGCAGCCCGTTCCTCCTCCGAGGAACACAGATATTCCTCGAGAATACCTAGTTAGGTACAACACTCCGTGCTCTCTCTTTTTCTTGCTACACCAGCTTGATTTTTGCGCCCCAGTCCCGCAGCACAAGCCCTACGGCCAAGGCGTAATGCTACCGTGCTAGTAAAGTTTATGTACACCGTACGGACATCACAAATAGTAAGCACTACAGGTCCATGTGCTCTTTTTCAATTTTCAAGCCCAAACAAAACGAATGTTGCAGGAGAGACTATTTGTTCCTGCAAATATGTGTGCTACAGCGATATATCCTTATCCCTTTCGCTCGGCTATATTTATTGCATCCAAGCATTTTGGGCGATGATACATGGGTAACAAGTATTGGTACGGGCATTGACCTGCCTTGTGGCTTTGTGGGGTTCAAATATTTACGGGAGTATTTCGAACTCCGCGCCCACCCACTAATTCACAACTTGGTTTTGACAATCTACTCGTCGTTATTTAGATGATTATCTATTTCAGTCATTCACTAGCCTCCTTTCTCCTCGTCAACAAAACAAATGAACTACATTTTTCAATACCTTTAGATGGGCGGGTTGGCGACCAATCTAAGTGATGTATCCTGTATGTCTGAGTCGACATTGTGTATATTGCAGAACCATAAAGATTGAATGGTATACGAAGTACATGCTACAGGTTTCCACCACAATATTTACGGCAAGATACCATACATTGGGCCACTTGAAGATATGTGCATATGTTGGTAAGTAATCTCGTCATCTGACTGCTAAGATATTAATGAAGTCCTCTTCCATTGGACTTTACTCGCATACCTGGTTAGGGACCGACTCTTCTGCTTTATACTACTGTATGAGCTAGGAGTAAAGCTGCAGGCTACCGTATTTGGCAAGTGGCAAGTGGCATGCGAAGCATGCTGGCTACTGTTGCATCGACGTATCTCCATTGCGGACGGGAATTAATCGCGGAAGGGAAGAGGCGAGCGAGTGCTTGGCTGGCAGGCTGGGATATATTTGGGTATGCCGGCGAGTCCCAAAATAGAAGGAAAAGATGGGATTAAAATACCGATGTTGAAATGTGGAGAGGTTAAGTATTCGTTCTAGACGAAGGATGCTTACATACAAAACCACAATCCGGTGCCCATGTTCATCTTATGACCCGATTGGCAAAGATTACAACACAATTCATGCAAAAACAGCTCTCGGATTCAAAAACAAGTCGGCATGATTTACGGCTCACCGATCAAAACGGTCTCGGGCATTGAACCGATCAACAGGGTATTCTAAATATGACATCTCACATTTCTTCAATTTGTCAACTTAACTAAATGCAGAAA